TAAAGCAAAAATTATAAAGAATTTAAATTTAATTTCAATCCTAGTACATAGATTTTTTTTGTTGTATTAATTTCTAATAATAACTGTTTAATTTTTAATAAAAATTAAATATCATAAATAGTAAATGATATGAGATATTTTAATCTAAGCCAATTTTTCTTTTTATTTTTATTTTCCTTTATACTTTTTTCATTATTTGCACTTTTCCATTCTCTGAGAAAGTTCATAAATTTTTATTAATTCTCTTATCGTTCCAATATTTCTTTAAAATTTTTTCTGCTTCAATTCATTTCAATAATTGCCAGGTGAAATATAAAAATACATTTCATTCAATTAATTGTTTAACACTTTTTAACATAAATGAAACTAAAAATTTTTTAAAAAAAAAAAGTTATATTACTTTGAAGTAAAATGTAATTAATTATGTAGCATCTTTATCATTAATATTTTCAATTAAAATAAAGTAAAATACTTTATCAGTTAAGTAATATGATAATAGCTAAATAGATTAATATTTCAAATAATTCATTTATTTTCCGTCAAATAAGTAATAATAATAATAATAATAATAATAATAATAATAATAATAATAATAATAATAATAATAATAATAATAATCTTTTTTCACTTTTTATTAAATTGAAATTAATTTTTAAATATTTTAATTGATTAATGCTTATTTTAGCTAAATCTAATTTATTATTTTAATCATTTATATGCAATATTTTTTTTTTTGAATAAATTTAATAATTTAATATTCTTAATCAATTAATTAATATTTCAGGAAAAAATAACTTAATATATTACTATATAAATTAACTTATTTAACTTACTATATAATATTATATTAATTTTTTTTTTTCGTTTTAGAAGAAAAAGAAGAGAAAAAGAATTTTTTTTTTTTTTTTTTAGTTTGACAGTTTAGTATAATCGAAAAGTGTTACTTGAAAATGAGAAATGATGTAATTAATCCATAGGGATTACGTATTCTTCGTTTTCTTCTTTTACTTTCATTTACTTTTCTTTAGAGGACACAAAAAAAAAAAAAAGGAGGGAGAGAGAGAGTAAGTAAGTAAGTAAGTAAGTAAGTAAGATTCTATTTATTGTTATTTGTCGTTGTCCGAGTAACCAACTCTCATTCTCAAAATTGACAAAATAATTCTCAATCACTAAGAATTATTTGTTGCCTTGGTAACTTAGATTGTATCAAGCATAAAAAGCCCATTTTTATTGACTTCATTTTTATTTATTAATGAAATGATTTAACAAATTTTCACTTATTTAATCTACTATTTATTGATTTAGTTAATTTAAATGCATTTTTGTTTTTTTTTTTTTTTTTTTAAATTTATTATCTAATTTATGATTCATTTTAAATTGTGTAAAAATTGTTGCATATTTGAAATAATTTCAATTGCTTCAATTTTCTTTTTAATTTTAAATTTATCACAACTTATTTTATATCTTTTAAATTTTATTATTAAAAATTAATTAATTTAAAATTTTAATAAAAAAAAAATAGTTTTATGATGATAGTTAAAATATCATGTAAACAAATGCATTTAATTAATTTTATAATAGAATAAAATAAAAATTGAGCTATTTTATTTGTATAAAAATTTAACGCACAATTTCTTATTTTTTTTTTTTAAATCTTAAAAATTATCGTTTTGAAATATTTTAAAATTGTTTTTTGAATACAATTTCATGATTTTAATTAATAATAATTAAGTAATAATAATCTATCATTTATCATTTATCAACAACAAATTATCATTCATTTCTAAATGTCAAATGATGAACGAGCCAGTCATAATCTGGCAAAACAGGTATGTTTTTTTTTTTTGTTTATTTAATTTTATTCATAATGTCATTTGTAATTATACAATTTTATATAATTAAAATAAAATATTTTACTTTCCCGAGAATGATAACTTTTTTTTCGGGAATGTTAAATTGATTATATTTGATATTATTATCGATTAAATCATCAATATTTTCATAAAATAACTAACATGCAACAAGCATTTTGTTAATTTTATTTGGATTAATTGTTATTGACAAAAAATTTAAGCCATAATTTGTGAAAATATTTGATTTAAAAAGTATTAAAAGTTTTATGAAAAGTATTTTTTTTTTTTGTAAGGCATAAATTTGCATAAAAATGTAAAATGTCGTCGTTGTTGTCATTATTAAAGGTCAACGAATGAGATAAATAAACAAAATAAAATGAAAAAAGAAAAAAAAATTTGAAGGAAAAATGATTTTATTATGAGACATAAATGAATGATTTTTATGCAAAGTGTACACATTCAAGAAACAAAAAAAAAAGCCTTATGGCTATATTGTCCTCACTTGGCTCAAGACATCACAACTCTTGTGTTTGTCCTCATTTGGCTTGAGACATTATAATTTTTATGTTTGCCCTTATTTAGCTCAAAACTTCACAATTCTTATGTTTGTCCTCATTTGGCTCAAAACTTCATAATTCTTATGTTTGTCCTCATTTGGCTCAAGACATTATAATTTTTATGTTTGTCCTCATTTGGCTCAAGACTTCATAATTCTTATGTTTGTCCTCATTTGGCTCGACACATTATAATTCTTATGTTTGTCCTCATTTGGCTCAAAACTTCATAATTCTTATGTTTGTCCTCATTTGGCTCAAAACTTCATAATTTTTATGTTTGTCCTCATTTGGCTCAAAACTTCATAATTCTTATGTTTGTCCTCATTTGGCTCAAGACTTCATAATTCTTATGTTTGTCCTCATTTGGCTCGAGACATCATAATTCTTATGTTTGTCCTCATTTGGCTCGAGACATTATAATTTTTATATTTGTCCTCATTTGGCTCAAAACTTCATAATTCTTATGTTTGTCCTCATTTGGCTCAAAACTTCATAATTCTTATGTTTGTCCTCATTTGGCTCAAAACTTCATAATTCTTATGTTTGTCCTCATTTGGCTCGAGACATTATAATTTTTATGTTTGTCCTCATTTGGCTTGAGACATTATAATTTTATGTTTGTCCTCATTTGGCTCAAAACTTCATAATTCTTATATTTGTCCTCATTTGGCTCAAATTATCATAATTTTTCTGTTTTTAGGAAGTCATTGTTTTAAAATACGGAAAAGGATTATTTTATTTTTCATTTTTTTATTGTAAACAATTTCTTTATTTAGTCATAAATAAAGCCAAAATAAATCACAACGCATTTCATTTCCTTATATTATTCAATAGTTATTGAAAAAATTTTAATAATCTTTCGAAATGTGTTAATTTCGAATCAAATTTTTTCCTAAATTATAATTTTTTTTTAATTTTAATTTTAGTTCAAAATATTTATAATAAATCATTGGTTATTACAGTAATTTCATGCATTAATCATGATAATGATAGTAAGATAATGATTGCTGATCATAATTGTAATTAACTGTTATTCACTAATTAGCTGCATTATGATTAAAAATATTCATATTGCTGTTCTATATATGATTAGTATCATCAAAAATTATCATAATTATGACAATCATTATCAAAAATTATCGTAATTATGATAACCATTATCAAAAAATATCATAATTATGATAATCATCATCAAAAATTATCATAATTATGACAATCATTATCAAAAATTATCATAATTATGATAACCATCATCAAAAAATATCATAATTATGACAATCATTATCAAAAATTATCATAATTATGATAACCATTATCAAAAAATATCATAATTATGATGATCATCATAAAAAATTATCATAATTATGACAATCATTATCAAAAATTATCGTAATTATGATAATCATTATCAAAAAATATCATAATTATGATGATCATCAAAAATTATCATAATTATGACAAACATTATCATAAATTATGATATGATAACCATTATCAAAAATTATCATAATTATGATAATCATTATCAAAAAATATCATAATTACGATCATGCAGCGATCATCAATTCAGTCAGAATAATTTTTCTTTTCCCGTTTTTTGCATTTGATATTATTAATGAATTAGAAGTAAATATAAGTTTAAAATTTTTTAAATTTCAAAATTTCATTCCTGCAAATCAAAATTTCTTTTGCTTAAAATCAGCAAATTATTTATTAATTAAAAAAAAAAGTGGCATATATGCTCTTTGCATTTCAGCGCAAAATTTTTAATTTCCAAATTCAGTTTACATTTTAAAATAGTATTCAAAAAGTATGTTCAAATACAATTATAAATTTAATTGTAACCTTTAATTTTACATTTTAAATTCAATGATGAATTTTGTTTTGTGAATATTTGAAATTCGAGCTGACATATTTCAATTTCAAATATTTTTATTTTTATTAATTATTATTTTTCTTTTCATCCATCGAAGACTATGAAAATAAAAAGGGCAAAGTGCTCTTTGCTTTGTTTATTTCAGCCAAGAAAAGGAAAAAAAAAGTTTATTTTTGGGAGAAAAAAATTTTTTTTAAATGTTATTTGCTTATTTACTAATCTATTATTGTAATTTATCAAAAACAAAACAATAACAATTGATAAGGCTTATCACTACTTTATATTCTTTCCTCCATTATCAATTTATAATAAATTATTTATGATAAAACATTCCATCTATCATTTTAAATGGATTAAATGAAAGAAAAGTAAATGTTTTTGTGAAAATCTCTGAGAAATAACTAAGCAATTGATAAATGTTATTTGATTTAAAATACAAAATAATTTATATATTTTATTATTTATCCTTTAATAATTTAATATTTATTAAAATGAATATTAAAATAAATAATTTTGCTTTTTATTTTTTTAAAAAAAAAAATATTTTTACTTTAAATTTTTATTTCTTAATACAAAATTTTAATTTTTGAGTAAAATAATTTACTTATAATGAAAACAATTTTTCCGTTTATTTAATTTCATATAATTGTGAAAAATTTTTTTAATTAATTAATTAATTTTAATTTTTTTTTTTTTGTTTTATAGAAAAAATTTATGGAAGAACGTCAACGGCAAAAGCGTAGACTTTCATCAGCTAACATTCGAACAAATGACACATCGATGATGATGATGGTGACATCTAAAAGTAGTCATAAATTACACGGTTATAAAGGACCGTTATGTTTTACGTCACCGGAAGATCCGGATCGTATATCACCGACTACGGCTTCCGCATCAACCGTTACAACAGTTATAACATCACAGTATAATGAAAGGTTTAGCATTTATTCAAATAATAATTCAAATAAATATTTATTTATCAAAAACTAACAGTAATATTTGATATTAAAAACTGTCAAATTTATCTTTGCTGATATTTCAGTATTTAATTTTGATATTTCACAAATATTTATTTATCAAAAACAAACAATAATATTTGATATTAAAAATTATCAAATTTATCTTTGCTGATATATCAGTATTCAATTTCGATATTTCACCTGATATTTCAGTATTTAATTTCGATATTTCACAAATATTTATTTATCAAAAACAAACAATAATATTTGATATTAAAAATTATCAAATTTATCTTTACTGATATTTCAGTACTCAATTTCTGATATTTCATATTCACATTAATATATTCGATTTTAGTATTTCTTAATTTCTTTCTTTGTTATTTAATTACTGCAATAATGTAATGGTATTGAAGAAATAAATTAGACTTACGTCAAATAAAAATAAAATTTAAAGAGAGAAAAATTTTATTAACTAATAGATTAAATCATTAATTAAAAAGACATTATAAGTCATATTTTTCAAACTATATTTTATTATACATTTAACTTTTTAAAAATCTTTTTTCTGTACATAAATTTATAAATTGATGTAAATAATATAAACTTTTTAAAAGTGATTTTACATAGTTTTATAAAAAATGAAATTATTAACTTCTAAATTTTCATTGATAACAAAAGTTATTGTGTATTTCGATAATTTCTTTTTTATTCTATTTAAAAAAAAAAAAAAAACTTTAAAAAAGAACTTTAAAAAAAAAACTAATTTTAAAAATAAACAATTAATTATAGTTCATCAGAGGAAGATATTAATAAATCAACATACAATCCATCAACAACTACAACATTTGTCCCAAATAGCACAAGTGCGACATTTGAGCCAGACGATGAACCATTGGTAGAACCATGGAAAGATGAAATTGAAGAAAATGTTTTACCATTTAAGTTTATTACTAAGTTTATTACTGATTTTTTCATTTTCTCATTTTTAAAAAAAGAAAAAAAAAGTAAAAAAATGGATGAAAAAAAGATTTCAATTTTTTAATTTTTTTTTTTCATCAAAAATATATTTAATAAAAATTTTGCTATTAAAAAAAAAAAATGAAATAAATGAATTATAAAAAAAAAAAACTTTTTTTTTTTTAGTGGTTGAAAATCCAGATATGAATGAAATTATGACAAATTTGGAAATATTTGTAACATCACCAGCAAGAAGAAATGTCACCTATAAATGTCGCATAACACGAGATAAGAAAGGAGTGGATCGTGGAATTTATCCAACTTATTATTTACATCTTGAAAAAGATGAGGAAAAAAGGGTTTGCAATTGTTTATTTATGTAAAATATATTTAATTAGAAAAATAAAAAATATAAATGAATGAATGAAGTTGAAATTATATAAAATTTGAAATGAATAAAAACTATTATAATAAATTATTGAAATAAATTTTATAATTATTTAACTAAATTTTATAAAATAATTTTAATAATTTAAAAAAAAAATATTTTTATAATTAGTTAACTGATTAAAAAATTGATTAAAAATTAAAAAAACATTTGATTAATTTGTGTAAATGAAATAGTATGGAATGCTTTGAAGATAGTTTTATGAATAAAATTCATAACATCAAATAATAATTTAAATAAAATAAAATATTTAATTATATTTTAACAATTAATTAATTTTAAATTGTTATTAAGTAATTAATTTCCAAACAAAATTTACAGTAATTATGAAATTTAACTTTTTCTTCTTTTTAAAAATATAAATGTTAAAATTTTTAGATTTTTCTTTTGGCTGCACGAAAACGAAAAAAAAGTACCACAGCTAATTATTTAATAATTAATTTTAAATTGTTATTAAGTAATTAAATTCCAAAAAAAAATTTACAATAATTATGAAATTTAACTTTTTCTTCTTTTAAAAATATAAATGTTAAAATTTTTAGATTTTTCTTTTGGCTGCACGAAAACGAAAAAAAAGTACCACAGCTAATTATTTAATTTCCATTGATCCAACTGATTTGAAACGTTATGGTAATTCGTTTGTTGGAAAAGTCAGGTAAATAAATATTAATTTAAATTTGAAATAAACTAATTTAAAATATAAAATATTGGTAATCTATAAAAACGAAAGTTTAATTTATACTATCAGGAAAGTTACAGGATTTATTATTCCGTTAGTTTTATTAGAAAAAAACGATTGTCATCAGGAATATTTGCACAGTATTAATTTCTTGACAGTAAAACATTTTTGGATCATACAGAAATTTAAAAAAAAAAAAAATTCTAATAGGTCAGTAAACTTATTGAATACTTTTTGAATTATTTATGCAAAATTTGTTCAACTTTAGCAATTTCAAAAGTGTCAACTAAATATTTCAATTAATAATTAATTAAATAAATTATTATTTAAATATTTATCATATTTCACACAATTATTCAAATATTTGCATCTAATTAAATTGAAATAAAAGATAATTTTATCGATTAAATGTTAATATATGCTAATTAATGAGATAAATAAGTGTATTAATATTACAATAATATAAATATTTTTAAAATAAACATTTTGTTTTTTTGTTTTTGTTTTTTGTTATTTCAAAATTTAGATCAAATGCTTTGGGTACACAATTTACATTATACGATAATGGTGAAAATCCAAAAAAATCATGGGTAATTGGTGATTCAGTAAGGCAAGAACTTGCAGCTGTCATTTATGTAAGCATTTTTTTTTTTTTTTTGTCAACAAATTGTTTACAAATAAAATTTCCACTTAAATTTGCATATTTCATTGAATGCAATTATAAGTGGAATATGATTATTAAATTTAAATTATAAATTATTACACAAAATTTTAAATGAAAAAGCAAAAAAAATTGAATTATGCCATAATGTTTACATTAATTAAATTTAAAATTAATAAAATTTGAAATTTTAAAAATTCCCCTTAAATTTGCATGTATCATTGAATGCAATTATAAGTGGAATATGATTATTAAATTCAAATTATAAATTATTACACAAAATTTTAAATGAAAATAATTGGAATAGCAAAAAAAAAAAGTTGAATTATGCCATAATGTTTACATTAATTAAATTATTTCTTTTGATGTGAATGCAACAATTTTAGTTACTAAATTTTATTTATGTTTTTTTTAGTAATTCAAATTTGAAATTTTAATTTTACATTTTAGGATACTAATGTTCTTGGTTTCAAAGGTCCACGTAAAATGACTGTTTTGATTCCTGGTATATGTGATGCTGAAAATTATCGACGTCGAGAAATTCGTCCTTTATTGGCAAATTTTTTAAGACATTTACCAAAATTAGAAATCTATCTAAATTTTAATTTAATTTCTTTTTTTTTTTTGAGCAAAAAAAAATAATTTTAAAAAATTTTTAATTACTTATTTGACATTAAATTTTATGAGAAATTTTTGATAACTTTAAAAATTTGTGATTGTTTTTTTTTTTAGGAACAAGAATCTATCCTAGAAAGGTGGAAGAGTCGAAAAGCAGATGATTTGATTGCTATGCATAACAAAAGTCCTGTTTGGAATGAAGGTTTTATTTATTATTATTATTTATTTATTATTATTTATTATTGTTATTGTTATTATTACTATTATTTATTATTATTATTTATTTATTATTATTTATTATTGTTATTGTTATTATTACTATTATTTATTATTATTATTTATTTATTATTGCTATTTATTTATTATTATTATTGTTATTTATTATTATTGTTATTTATTATTATTTATTATTAGTTTTGTTATTATCATTGTCATTGTTATTACTACTATTATTTATTATTATTATTATCGTTATTGTTACTATAATTATTATTATTGCTATTATTATTATTTTTAAAATAATTCCATTCAAATTTTAATCCATTTATTTTGAAATTAAAATTAAATAAAAACAAAATCTACCAGTAAAATCTTTCAGATACACAATCATACGTACTTAATTTTTACGGACGTGTTACACAGCCATCAGTAAAGAATTTTCAAATCATTCATGATGCTGATCGTATGCATTTTCAAATTTTTATTCCAAATTTTCAATTTGAAATAATTTAAAAAAATTTCATAGAAATATCTAAAAATGAATTTTCTTGCAAGTAATAATCTTCATTGCTATAACAAAACATATAAATTCTTTCATTCCATAATGTAACTTTATCAAATTGATTATAATTTTATGTAACTTTATCAAAGTAACTTTATCAAATTGATTATAATTTTATGTAACTTTATCAAAGTAACTTTATCAAATTGATTATAATTTTATGTAACTTTATCAAAGTAACTTTATCAAATTGATTATAATTTTATGTAACTTTATCAAAGTAACTTTATCAAATTGATAATAATTTTATGTAACTTTATCAAAGTAACTTTATCAAATTGATTAAAATTCATATCAAACATTCTTATCTCTCTTTATTTTTTTAGCCAAATATATTGTAATGCAATTTGGTCGAATTGGTTACGATGTATTTACGATGGATTTTCGTTATCCATTATCAGCATTACAAGCATTTGGTATTGCTATGACTAGTTTTCATGGAAAAATTGCCTGCGAATAATTCATTAATTTATTATTTGATTTCTTTCTTTTTTTGTAAACATTTTAATATTTTTTCTTTTCTAATTCTATTAATGAATAAAAATTTGTTGTATTTCTATTAGTATTACTGTTAGCAAATAACAAAATTTTTGCTTAATGATAAGAAAATGTTGATAAATTCAAATAATTTAATATCAACAATAAAGTTTAGAAGAATAAAACATTGCATCTAAAATGGTAAGGATAAAAATGAATTATCAAACAAACAAAATGCAATATTTAAAAAAAAAACAAAAAATAATTTTTTGGAAATTTCAAATAATGTTAAACAAATAAGAAAAAAAATAATCCTTCTGTTGATTTTATTCGATATGCAGAATAAATGTTTGAGAACATCTCATAAAGTTGAAAAAGCTAAAAAGTAAACAGAATTTTAAAGATGGTTTAACAGTTGACAGAATCTTAAAGATGGTTTGACAGTTGACAGAATCTTAAAGATGGTTTGACAGTTGACAGAATCTTAAAGATGGTTGACAGTTGACAGAATCCTAAAGATGGTTTGACAGTTGACAGAATCTTAAAGATGGTTGACAGTTGACAGAATCCTAAAGATGGTTGACAGTTGACAGAATCTTAAAGATGGTTTGACAGTTGACAGAATCTTAAAGATGGTTGACAGTTGACATTCTCAAACATACATTATCATAATGATAGGATGAAATGAAGATGAACAATGAAATGGAAATTTTCAATTTTGTTCAAATTAATCATTAGCATATGCTAGCTTAATAAAAATACATGATAGAATTAATTTCCGCTTAAATTTTATGCTAAATTTATTTTGCAAACAATTAATAGAAAAACTTTTTAGTGTTAAAATTTAAATCTAAATTTGAATAATAAAAAAATGTCTTTGTTAATCGAATAATAATGCTATTTGCAAACAATTAATATAATTTTTAGTGTTAAAATTTAAATCTAAATTTAACTAATAATTTTGGTTTTTTTTTTTTTAGTCAAATAACAATGCTACGAAATAAACAACGCATCTTCGTTCTTTGTTATTTCTCCCAAAACCAAAGAATCAAATCGTATTTTTGATTTCACATACTTATAATAATTTTTTTTTTGATCTTTGGTCTTTACTTTATTTTAGAAACTTTACCAGAAAATTCCATACGCCTATTTGATACAAATATATGATTCAACAATTTGTCATACAATAATTTCAACTTAAAGCTTTCACGTTTCACGTGTATATCAATCACTTATGCGTCATGCAATAATTTCAACTTAAAGCTTTCACGTTTCACGTGTATATCAATCACTTATGCGTCATGCAATAATTTCAACTTAAAGCTTTCACGTTTCACGTGTATATCAATCACTTATGCGTCATGCAATAATTTCAACTTAAAGCTTTCACGTTTCACGTGTATATCAATCACTTATGCGTCATGCAATAATTTCAATTTAAAGCTTTCACGTTTCACGTGTATATCAATCACTTGCGCAATCATTTGCAAATTAATTAACATTGAGGGAGCAAAGAAAAATTGGATTGGAATGAAATTGACGTAAAATGACGGATCTAAATTTTGTAATACTATTTGAAAAGATCTGATAAGAAGGAAAAAAAAAGAAAGAAAGAAAAAGAAACCTGTTTAAAAATGAATAAATATGACTCATTATGGGTGTTGACAAAATTCTACTAACGACATTTTTAATAGTTACTATCACATTTATTTCTTTTACATTAAAAATAATTCATATTAAAAATTACTATTAATAATTTTAATAAACGTTTATTAAATTATAAACTTTTTCTTTTACATTAAAAATAACTCATATTAAAAATTACTATTAATAATTTTAATAAACGTTTATTAAATTATAAACTTTTTCTTTTACATTAAAAATAACTCATATTAAAAATTACTATTAATAATTTTAATAAACGTTTATTAAATTATAACTTATCAATTTTCCCATTATTCTTTTTTTTTTTCAAAAAACTCAACTTTGATATAATTATTCATTCCTCTCTCCTCCTCCCCCTTTTTTTTAATTAAATTTAAAAAAAAAATAGAAATGTTTCTTGCAATGGAGTAATTTAGTGGGGGATTCACTAACATGAGATGATTTAGATTTTTTTAGTTTGGTTTTGTTTGCAAATTTAGAAACTAATAAGATTGGGTAAGCAATGCAAACCAAAACAATCGATTCTTTGATCAACTAATCGATCGATCAATTAATCAATCAATAGGAAATCACAAAAATTATCTATCAATGGAAAATCATAAAATTACCAAATTGAGAACATTTAAGTTGGTATTACTTAGCCAACTAATATACTTACCTTCTTTTACAACTTTGATTAGGTTAACAAATCAAATCAACCAAGAATGTTTGTCAAAATTTATTTGCTAAAAAGTGTAATAAATTATTCTCTCTCTCTCTCTCTCTCTCTCTCCCTCTTTCACTATTTTACCTTTATCCTCTCTCACTCATTGGTGACACTTTTCGTGACAATTTATTTAAATAACAAATTTTATATCACTAATACTACAATTTCCGATAATATACCCAAACTTTCGATCAAAAAAAAAAATCTTAAAAAGAATTGATATTAACCTAAAATGATTTTCATATTTCCCAAAAAATAATCTTTTCAATTAACGTATTTTTTTCATTATAATAAATTTCAATAAAATTTTCAAGAAAAAATCTCAAAAAAAAAAAATAATAATTTCATTTTTAATTTCAAAAAATAATCTTTTTTAATTATAATAAATTTTTTTTTAGGAAAATATGCAAAGAAAAAATACTTTTCTATTCCTAATTTTTACAATATTCCATTTACAAGTAATAGTAATTAGTTTTCGACAACAATCTGTTGGTGTACGAGGTCGTCTTTTATGTGGTAATCAAAGTTTACCAAATACACAAATCAAATTATGGAATCAAAATAAAATTGGTTAGCAAATCTTTCTGAAAAACAAAAAAAAAAAAATTAGCTTATTTTCAAATTAATAAGCTAATTTTTAAATATTTATTTATTGTTGAAGAACTATTTTCAACATTTTATTTTGTTATTTAATGTTTAACAATTGATTTATTATTAAAAAAATGATTTAAATTATCAAAATTCTTAATGAATATCATATTTCTTAATAATTTAATACAAAAATAATTGTATGATAATTATTATAATATTAATTTTTCATTTATCAATTCAGGTACGGATGATCAATTAGCAGCAACAAAAACGAAAGCAGATGGTAGTTATGAATTAAAAGGTGGAGTTGGATCAATTTTTGGCATGGATGTTGTCTTAAAAATTTATCATGATTGTGATGATGGAATCAAGGTAAAATAAACATTGATAATAGATTGATATTTTTGATAATATCATATCATATCATGATAAAATTTATCATCTATTGATCACCATAGATTTATCATGATGTGATATTGATCACCATAGATGAATTTTATCATGATATCATCTATAGTGATTAATATCTAATTTTCGGAAATCATTAATATAATTATATAAGTTGATTGCTAATATGAAATATGAGCGTAATGAATTTTTTAGCCTTGTCAACGAAAAGTTGTCCTCCGTATTCCGGATCAGTATGTTACTCGTTCGAGTGATGTGAAACAATGGTTTAATGGAGGAGAACTGAACATGGAATTCAAATTTCCGGATGAAGAAAGAAGTTGTATCAATTAGCAAAAATCAGAAATGTTATATCAGTTATCAATTATGTTAATCTGTATGAATTATATCACTTATATCAGTTGTTGTGATTCGCTTATCAGTGCTTATTCATTTACTCGTTTATCACTACTTTTTATAACTTACACTATGATTTGTTAATGAGAAATGATAAATGAATATGGTTGCATTTGTTAAATTCTTTCTCTTTTCCAAACTTTAAGGTTTTTCTTTTTCCTTTATTTCTTTCAAATTTCTTTTAAAATTAAGCATTATCTTATATTAATTTGAAATTTCAAATTTCGATTTTAAATAGAAATTTTAATGAAACTTAAATTATGCTAACTACCTTAAATTGTTATTTGGAAGTTATAAGCACTGATAAAAATGATCAAATTTTATAGTTTAATCAGTTAACTTCCTGCTACTTGCTTAAATTTGAAATTATTGAAATCTGAATTTAAACTTAACAAAACATATACTAAACAACAATATCTCAACATTGATTTATATAATTGATTTCTAATATTTCAATATTAACTTATATTCATTAAATTACTTTTTTAACTTCAAATTCCCATAGTAAATTTCAATGAAATTATCTCCTAGCTGAAAGCTCATACTCAATACTAATTTAAAATATTCTTTTTTAAACAAAAAGAAGGAAAAAAGATAAGAGAAGAGACAGAGAGAGAGAGAGGAGAGAGAGAGGAAAAAGAATGAATTTAACAAAAGTATTAATCGTACCATAATAATAAGAAAGCAATGAACAATGAATAATTAATACCTGTTATTCACCTTCTAAATCACCTGAGAAATGTCAAAGGTCATGAAGAGAGTCACCAATATTCTATTTCTTTCAGTTTCTGAATAATGTTCATATCATAGTTTAATTCCGGTAGACCATTCCCAAACAATTAATCCTGAAAAATCGACCCATACACTTTCCGGCCGTGTACCGGAAAGTGTACCTTCAGTCCCTCTCTGAGCTCTCAAAATATGCACTATTACGCTTCATTATTTCAGTGTCACAGTGAGTCTCTCAATAAAATCCCTCGGCCGTGTTAATTTCAGTGTTCCGTGTCTTCGCGGATGTTCCGATGATACGTTGAGGATTTGGGAAAGGGCGAAGGTTAAAAGTTAAGGTTGAAGTTAAGATTATGTTGTTTTGTGGAATTATATTTACTAAATAAAGTTACAGTTTTAGTAGGAATGATAAATTGCATATTAATAGATTTGAAATTTAATGTTAAATAAATTACAGTTTTAGTAGAAATAATAAATTGCATATTAATAGATTTAAATTTGTAGATTAGGTATTAGAAATCTGTAAACAAGGTATTTATATACATTTTATTTAACTTTATAGCAGTAAGTTTTTGCTTTTAATGGATTAGATATGTAGATGTATGCAGTGTTTATTTTTTTCGCTTTTAATTTTGATAAGGTTTTTTTAATTGCAATATATTCTGAAACAAACTTATTTATTCGATTTAAGTTTTGAAACAAATTCAACTTCATTTAATGTTGAATTTCGATTACAAATTATGATTGATTACTAATATTTATTTCGTTGTTGATTTAACGCTGGATGTAAGTTAATCTTTTTTGTGTTCATCCAACTGTATTTTTCTGTCCATCCAATAGTCCGTTTCTAACTGAGCAGATTGATTTGTCAGTTCTAATTGATTTATAAACTTTTTACAAACTTCATTTTATTCATCAACCAAAGGGAGGATGTTACTGAATTTGTCTTTTACCTGTCAGGTTAGCGCATGTATTTTTTTTTTTTGGTTGTTTGGAAAGTTGTTTTTTTTTTTCAGTTTCTGGCGTAAAGTAGTGACGGCGGAATAGTATCACGCGTCAATGGCAGCTTTCAGTAAGCTTGCTAGACAATGTCTTTGTGTTGCACGATTAACCAGTAAGTTTCACATCATTTGAACATTTTTCTTATTAATATATCGTAAATGGTTAAATATTTTAATATGTCGATTTTGTTCATTTAAAATGTGTTTTGTTTTTGCAAGTAAATACTATCCAAATAGGTATTAATATAGAATGTAAGCAAATAGATTATCTATGTAAATAAGAGGTAATTTAAGTAAATATATATGGTTAGCATAAGTGTAACTAAATAAAATAGAGGTAAACAATGAAGATAATCTGGGTAGTGCACGAGTTATACATAATACAGCTTTAGTATGTTTGAAATACCTGCATCAATAAACTTAATTCATATGAGGGTTTTTATTGTGATTTTTCATCTATCTAGAACTGACTTAAGTGATTACTAAATCAAAAAATGATACTTCATCTTTTGTTTCTTCGATGAAAACTAATCTGTTTTTGGATTTCTAATTCTTTGCTTCTCCTTCGAGTAGTTATGAGCACGAAAAGTGTTCCATACAAACCGCTCTACATCGAAATGTAATGAGATTTAGTATTTCAATAAAATATCTCATTTTCGAATCTTAAAATAGGCACAGCATTTCTTTTAAAATGACAACACAGGCAGTTCAGTTAAGTTCAAAACTGTTTAAATTTTAAATCGTTATTCAGTATTTCGTATTTCATTGCTGCTTTCAGGTAGATATTTTGTTGACATAATTAAGAAATGTTTCAGTTTTACCGGCAAGATTTTCATCTGATCGAGTTTTCTATAGACGTCCATCGGTTCTTTATTTTAATCGTTGCAAAGATATCGCTCATTTCTATGTTATTTGCCTTGGTATTATGCCGATGGTTTTACTTCTTGGATTTATCCATGTTGTTTATGGTAATTTCCATTTGACGTTAATGCAATTCAAATAATTTTAACCTCCCAGTAACTTGCTTTTCTACAATTTATTCCATACTGTAGTGATTACATTGCTATAATTTTCATATTAGTTAAGCAAAAATCGCTATTTGGGAAAATATCATATTGCAGGACCTTGTGAATTGCAAGATTTGCCAACTGATGGATCCGCAGTTCACTACTGGCAGTTCGAAAGAACGAAATTGAAACAATGGGCTGCGAAATATCTTTGCCCATCAGATATTGAGCAGTACGAACGCAATCTTGCATATTTCGAGAAAGCAAATATCTTGAGCAGATGGAGGTTTGTTTAATCTTTCTTTCTTTTTTTAGAAAGATTTTTCTTTTCTCTAATTGTAGAACGTATAATTAATGTAGAATGTATAGAAACAATTATGAATCTACATAACTATTGATGCTATTTCAGGAAAATTGAACAACGTGTGGAGCATTTGCAAGGTGAACGTTGGGATTATAAAGCATGGTGGTATGAGCCAGTTTCAGCTGTATGGACTGATTATGGAAAATGGACTGCAGAAAGGATGAAACATCAACCTTCCGAATTTTAAACAAATTTGTATTTAATATTCAAAGTTAGAGTTGTAGATGCTAAGCTTTTGTTTTTCTCTCTTGTCTGATTTGCACATGTTCATGGATAATAAGATGTTTAAGATTGTCCACTGTTATATTTCTAGATCTCCTAAGCTTCTTAGCTTTTTTTAAAAATGTAAAAAATATGCTGTCTATTAAAAGGATCTAGAATACCGGATTTTTGAGAAATGCAGTATTAAAATATGAATCTTCTACTCTAAGATCAATGGAATTACCACTGATTTCAAAATTACATATCTCCTTAAACGGAAGTTTTACATATCAAAGTCAGAATTCTTTCCTTAAGATTGGTAACCTGCCTTGGAATCAGTTTACTTCCTGAACAGATAAAATTTTGACTTAAGAAAGGTTTGAGCATTTCCGTTAGAGCATTTATATCTTCATAGCTTACCAAGAAACAGCAACACTTATACCATATCTAACTCTAACTTTAAGGAAACTTGTGTTTTTTTTTTCGATAAAATCGAGATCTTTCATTTCTAAAAAAAAAGAATTTAGCTTGAATTGTGAATTTCAAATATTTGGATGTAGTATGTTTGACAAATGAATATTTCCTCAGAATATTTAATCAACAATTCATCCAAGAATGACATGAATGTGACGAATTTCCAAAATCCCTGTACATATGTCTAAATGATAACTTATGGAATGAACAATCTTTTATAAACACTTATAAACAGAATTACTCAACAAATTACAAGTACATTAAGCGGAAGTATGTTGAAACAAATAATGGCATCCAAAGTCAATAGTGGTTCTAAATGGTAGTACGAATATGATGACATTCGTTTTGTGTCAACAACCATAAATGTCAAGAAAATCAATAATTACATAGTCTTGGGTAATTTTGAATTTTTTTTTTCTAATTCTTAAATAATTTTTAGCAGTTGATTGTCATGAGATTCTCCGTCACAGAAGTCCTATGGCATTATTGGATTTCAGAGAATTTGGATGCCTTTCAAATGTTTTTGATTCCATTCTTTATGAAAAAAATCGCAACAGGCTTAGGAAAAAGGAAAAAAAAAACACTAAAGCTTAGTTTCAAACATATTTAGCTGTGATGAGACCTTTCATCATGTCAAAAGTGTTGCCATCCGGATGTACAATCATCATTTTTCCACTTTGACGACTACGAACTTTCAAAAATCCGTGACGATCCAGTCCACGAATTACAGCTTTTTCATTAGTATTCGAAATAGTTACTTCTTCTCGACTACAAATGTCCAAAAGTTAATTCAGAATCAAAATCCAATTAAAGTAAGTTATTGAGGGAGGTTTTTTTCTTTTAATTTCTGAAGAATCATTTTTTTTTTTTTTGATTTTTGAATTAATTTTCTAATTTCTAAATATGAGTTAGGACTCAATTTTAATTTCAAAAACTGAAAATTCCATTTAGAAATGATATTTAACTATTTATTTCTTCATCATTATTATTAATAATAATCACTAAAACACTCCACTAACGAAAAATCTTAAAACTGTAAAATCGTTGGTATTATATATACCTGTGTAGCCAAAATCGATAATAATGCTTCAAAAATGCATTCTCACCCTCATTTTCATATAAATCAATGTAATCTGCAAAATATCTAATTGAAATTCTTCGTGATAACATAACTGCATGCTGACTATGATTTGTTATCATTTTTGAAACTATCAAAAAAAAAAAGAGTTTATGATGTCCATAATTTAATTACTTGCATTAATCACTAATTAAATACAACAAAAGATAATTCAAAGAAGAAACTGATAAAATATCCTAGTCTATATCGCTTCCTATATCGTAAATTAATTATACTTAGTTCAATTCATAAACTTTTTCTATTCTCTTATACTTCCTAGGCTAGTATTACTTCTCCATATTATCTGAAAATATCACCAGAAAAAAATATATTGAACTAAATTACAAATGAAAACAACAATATAACTTACATTGAAACTTATTTAGGGTATTAGCAATGTAATCCTCTTGACGTATCCTTAAATCTGCAGGTAAGAAATCATTAATGCAGGCAGTTGGCTTACTGTTAGACAAATTCAATCCAGCACCTATAATTGTAAAAATAATTTGAACCAAATTATATCAAATATAAATGTATGAAAGAATAAAAAATCTCAACAAAAATCCGATCTTCTTATTTCATCACAATATGATAATAGCAAAAATTAGATAAAGTTAAGTACAACAAAAGCTTATCTGTGATTATTTCAAGGAAAACAAGAAAATCATCCCATCCTAAATATATTTCAATTTAAACAATTACCAATTGTACAAACAGTTCTGTCATTAATTGTTGTAGCATTGACAATTAAACCACCTAGTTTACATGTTCGACCATAATAAAGATCATTTGGCCATTTAATTTTCAACGGAAAATTCTGCAATATATTTGATTAATACGACTATATCAATTTTTTCAACCATATTTGAGAGTTAGATTTCCAGCAAAATTTTGCAATTTTTGAGATGAAATTTTATCGATATAAAAAGATTATATTCTGGTATTTCATTAGAAGAAAGGGATAGATATTAGACATGAAATAACACAAAATGAGAAAAATATTCGTTTTTTATAAATCATTTTCCACTGCAAAAATTTTTAGCAAATTTTATATACCTCGTATACCTAAACTATATGAAAGAATAACAAAAAAAAAAAAAAATTCTCTATGGAAACATACAATTTCAAAAGTGATACTTCCGAATCTTCCTAAGTAACAAAACTATTTTCTGATATGATAACAATCTAAAATGATAAGGTCAGTAGAGATAAATTTTACTAAATGTCCCACTAATCAGTTTATCATCATCATATAACAAGTGCTACAAGTGTGATAGAATTCTGGCATTATATGAATGACAGAAGAAACTAAACTGAATAAAATTAGCTATTAATTTTAGATTTATATCTAACAAATAACACTAAATCCTTCTAAAATTATTTAAATAGTAAATTTAAAAGATTATCGCAAAGATAAGTTAAAAGATAAAAAGTATGAAAAGGAGTAAAAATTGTTGCTATCTTGAATATTTTATATTTGAAAGATAAAGAAAGAGACAAATTTTTTAGTTCAGTACAATCATCTATTATCATTACTGATCTACAAGGAGATAGGACAAAAATAAAAATCATGAAAAAAAAAATTTCTTGAAATTAGAAAAAAGAAAAAAAGGATTTCCAAAAATCAAAAATATATCAACTTTTATTACCTCTAATTCCTTTCGAAGTGAACAAATGCCACTGACAATTGCAACACAGAAAATATGCTGAATAATGCTAATATTATTATTAAGCGACGATTCAGGTGACAACATGTAATTAACTGTAAACATGGCACATCCAACCGGACTAAGCCATTGATTTCCTGATCGACCTAGAAATAATACAAATGATTGCTTTAAACCAGAAATCTCTCTTACATACATACAACTTCAAAATTTGTCAAGTTGTAACACAATTTCTAAAATACAAGTAAAAATTACGAGTTTTGATGAATGATTTCATTTATCTTCCTTTTCATTCATGGTATAAATACTAGTAATTATCGCTATTGTTAAGAAATTAATAATATTAAAATATATTGAAATTTATTTTTCACCAAATGATTCATTGCAAAGTTTTATTCTTCGTTGAATTTTAGTAAAAAATTAAATGATAATGCTACTCTAAACTGAGAAAAAACACAATTTACCCGCTCCTTTGATTTGTTGTCGTGCAACGATCACAATAGGCTCTTCCGGCATTGCACATGCCAAACTAAAATAGAAAGTAATAATGAAGAAAATTATCACTAATTCTTGGACAATTATTGAATTAATTAAATGGAAAATTGTACAATAAACAATTCAGTTTCTAAACTTTGGGATAGTAAAAAAAAAAAAAAAAAAACTACGTATATGTATCAAACATCAAACTTTACAATAAATAACACAAATGCAAAACTTTACGATGCTGAACTAAATTTCAAACTTTATAAGAAGCAAATTATTGTAAAATTAAATAAAATGATAGTCAAATTCCCAAATATCGAATTATTAAATCATTCAGTGCTAAATAATTAGCTATTGATAGTGGATGCATTTTCAGATATAATAGGTAACTGATCTTTTTTTATAACAAAGAGTACATTCAATTGGCGTCAGGAATTTGAGTAACTTAAGGATTATATTACAATGATTTGAGTAACTCAAACTTCAATAAATCATATGGTACTCAATAATTTTGAAAAAAAAAATTATGAAATATAAATTTAATCATATGTTTCGATATTTATTAGTTAAAAAGAATGCATTTTATAAAAAAATTTTGTTTTAAAATTTCACAACTCAGTGCCAATATTTAATATTAAAATTTAAAATACAGATTTTTTTTTTTAAAATATAGATAGTTAATTGAAAAAAAAAACCGGAAATTTCATCAACCTCTTTCCAATATCCATTGTTGTCTCACATACTGGAATGTAAAGTAAAGCTTTGCCAAGTCTCACAGTTTTAAGTCTCCTATAAATTCATCCATCATTTGAATTACATCGTCAAACAAAAATTTCAGTCTTTTAATAAATCAAGAAAAGAAAAGTACAGAAAAAAAAAAAAAAAAAACTGAAAGATTACTTAAAATAAATTTCATCATCAAAATCATGTAAATGTTCTGCCCGTGTTCGAACTTCAACCGGAAGTAACTTGTTTGAAACCTCTGGTAATGGTCCATGCTTGTTGATTTGTTTGAGCAATAGTTTTGGTTTGCTACCGAATGGTTCATTGAAATGCATACCCTGTAATGAATTGTGTAAATCATTAATTTCAAATTTCTTTAATTGCTTAAACTTCTTTGGCATTTGTTTATGAGATTAAATTAATTTAATTAATATCTCACAAAAAAAAAAAAAGAAAAATGCAGACAATAAATTCATAAACAATTAAGTACAACAATAAATTAAACAATAACATTTTCAATTAAATAACCATCATAATTATGCAGTATGATAAGCTTAATTTAGCCAAATATCTAATTCACTAAATAAATAATTTTTTCAAAAATTTTAGTTATTTGTTTAATAAATTAATTAAAGCAATTTAATAATTGTTTGTAACAAACATATATCATTAACTGTTACTTTTTTTTTTCCCATTCACTATAAAAAGTTTAATTAAATTAGCTAGTTTGAAAACAATAACATTTTTAGTTAAATAACAATCGATATGATTATATAATTTCTCAAACATCTAATAACTTACTTCCATATCCCATGGCATTCGATCATATTCACAAATAAAATATCCAGGTGTGAGTGATGGTACTGCTACATTTGTTGTAATTTTTATAGAAAGACGTGAAAGAGCATCAGCAATAAGTGTTGAACCGGAATGAAGTAATTGCTCACTTGTTGCATCACTAAACAGTGCACTAGCACGTTGTGCTGCATTTTCCATATATAACAAAAATGGACTATCTAAAATTAAGTAAATGAGAAATTTTTGAAAGAAAGAAACAAATGATATTATATAAATTACAAAAAAAAAAAAAAATGATATTATATAAATTATAAAAGAAAAAAGAAAAATTATTATAAAATAAGTAAAAAAAAAACGAAAAAAGAAAAACGTTATAAAATAAACAAACAAAAGTGAGACAGGTTCAAAGATTAAAAAAATTTCTAATAATTGAAATTTGGAAACACACAAAAAAAAAAAAAAAAACAGGGAATAAATGATAAATGAGAAAGAAACAAACCTTCAGTTTTATATAGCACAACAGAATATTTACAACTACCAAAAAGATCTTTTGCATGAAATGTTTGATTTACCTGAAAAATTTCCAATACTTAGGTATTATTATTAGATTAGTTACTCCATTTTGGCCTTTGCTCTTTCATATTAGAACTTTCAAAGTTTTACTATATTGTATAATATCATTTCAATACTCATTTTTCCCATCTAATAATAACTTATTTAATTTATGACAATAATTGAAGTTGCATGACGTTTTTTTTTTCCTTTTTTTCTTTTTTATTTGAATTTAAAAAGGACACAAAAAGTGGAAACTCAGTGGCATAATGATGAATGAAAAAATTTTCAGTGACGAGCTTAATGACCAATCATATCTCTTCAAATCCCATAAAAAAGTGCCAAAGAATTTAACTCAGCTAAGCTATAATAATCTTTCAGTATTTGAAATCAATTGAAAAGATGAAAAGCTCATCAGATACACATATCTCATAAACTTATCCATAATCAAAAAAAAAGAAAAATATAACCTACAATGATTATCACTAAAGCAAAATTGATATAATCACTGTTATCTCTATACTGTCTATGATATCAATGAATATTCAAGAATTTATCATTAATCGGTATTTAAAAGCAAATTTTTTTTTTCCGGCAAAAGTACCTGATTATATGTCGGAGAATATGAAAACCGAAAAAAGATGGATTGCAAACTTTTTTTTTTAAACTATCGATAACTTTATAGCTCCATCATCTCACTTCCTATATTCAGCTGTCATTTCCGAAATTTAATTTAAAAAAAAAAAAAAAAAAAGATGTGCCTATATTAAAATTATAATAAATTGAATTTTATATATCTATATATTAAAATTTACAATAACATATATATATATGTATTGAAATTTTATTCAAGTTAGCATACAAATTTTTTTTGCTAAAAACATTATTGTTTTTTAAAACAGTATTTAAAAAAATGCTATTATGCTTTATTTTCATTCTTTATGTAAATCACACCTAGAAATATTATTTGAAAAAAGAAATTATAAATTCTACTATATACCTTTTTCTCCTTATGTAACATTTTTAAAGTCTTCTTTAGAAAATGTTCAAAATCTTTTCCAAGTTTCTTTGACTGTCGTTCACCAAATGCCATCTTCAGCAATTTAGTAGTCTTTTTTGAATTGTCACAAGCCGATAAACTTGCCAAAAGCTTATTTTGACATAGGAAGAGAATTTTGCCTGACTGAAATAGCAAAAATTTGCTATTTCACATCATTTTTTTTTTGTCAAAAAAAAAAAAAAAAAAAAACATCAACGGACTAAAGGAAAACGTAGTCCTCCGAGAATAACATGGAACTTTTTAAGTGCTTCAAAATGGAAAAAATTGTTCAATCAAGAGAATAAAAAATGGTTATGCCTCAAGATTTTAAATCATATCCGATGTGTAATGACTTTAGAATTAAAACTTGCTGATCAATTGAATGGAAAATAGAATAAAAGTATAAAAGTATCATTTATTTTGCCTATAACTTTATTCAAAAAAACAATCATCTTTTATAGTAATTCTTCACTAATAGTTCATTTTGTTTAAACTGTAAAACTATGTAGAAATAATTTTATTGTTTGAAATTTGAATGAAAATTTAAAATATCCCTCTCCAAAAAAAAAAAAAAAGAAAACCTTACACAACTAAAATATTGCTGAAGTCGAATCCAACATTTATCATCCAAATGTGATGTATCAGCTACAATCAAGCATGCAATATTTTGTCCAATCCATGGATGTTTACAGAATGCTTCATATGATAAATGATAAACAGTATGAGTATCAGATGGTATCATCGTATTTAGAGTTTCTAAGATACGATTAAACAAATCATCATTGTCACCAGTAAATACCAAAATCTGTAATGTAAACATAATTTAAACATATATTTGATAGCATCATTGCAAATAATTTCGCTATTCGGGAATTTAAAATTCTTCATCTGGAATCTTTTCCTTCTAATTATTATTATTATTATTATTATTATTATTATTATTATTATTATTATTATTAAGCAAGAGGAAAAATAATTTGTGCATATATTCAAACGCTTGCATAAATCTAATTTTTTAAATATAGAAATAATGAAAGAATACAATTTAGTAGAATGGAAAAATTCCATAATTAAATGTTCTGATTCATTGTAAAATTTAAGATTCAACAAATCTTTCAAATATCTAATTATAGAACAAAATAATATGTATATATATATAATTTTTTTAGCATAATAACCTTTAAAAATTCACCATTAAAGGTTTCGTAAGAATTTTTCCGCCATCTTTTGCTGTATGCAAATGAGAACCGTTAAAAATTCGAAACATTTTTTTACTCAATAATACTGATTGTTCTTTCGAGCTCAGAAATAATGATGGCGATTGAATCAATGCAGAAGTTGGAAAGATATTATAACAATCTGAAAAAAAAAAAAAGTGAGAAAATTATTTGAGAATATTATAATCATAAAGAAGTACTAACAATTTTTGGATTAAGCATGAATAAACACTGTAAAAAACTTCTAAACTTAAAAGCATGAAAAGGCAATGCTTAAAAGTGACAAGGACAGACAATCAATCAACAACGGATAGAGTTAAGATGAAATTGATCCAAGAGAGAAATAACTCACTTTCTTGTTGCAAGATTATTTCAGCTTTAAATCTTGAAATTAAAATTTAAACCAAACTTTTCAACCTTAACCTAAATTAATTTGTCTAAAATTATTCTCTTTTTCTGTCAAATTCGTAATTTTCTTTTCACACTAAGAAATGCGAGAAATGCCAACTTTAAAAATGACTGATATTTGATCATTATAATAACAAAACATTCTCCTTCTTTTCGTCATTATTTGTGATTAACTTCATAAATCATTTTATGCAATATTAAAAAAAATTGGCTGTCTCAAAAAAAAAAACACAATTTTGCGCTTATCACTGGTCATATCGTTAAAATTGGTACTTATATATTATATAGGTTTATTATACGAGCAATAATTTTGCCAGTATTGCACAAGCAATATAATTTTATGCTTAACACTGATAAGGAATTGTTAAAGAAACAAAGCATTTTGAAAAGTGCGAAAAGCTCAAGTGCATAGCACAAAGATAATAATTTTGCTTACCTGTTGCTGATAAAAATTTACATGCACCCTGAAATTTATACTATGTTAAAATATATAAGAAAATAAGTAATATCAGATATGGGATAGTTACATAATAGAAATGTATAAAGTTCACTGCAAATATTTTTTGATTCTAATCAGACGAATTTCAATTTAAATTGATTGAATCAAATTACCTCGTTGACCGAAGTTGATGAATTTGATTCGTTTTTTTCGGAAGCAATTGCATTTACAATCCTTTTTGAAAATTGCTTTCGCTCAGTTTTACCTATAGATCCAGCATTTGAAGTATTTTGATTTTCAACTTTTCCAATAGCTGTTCCTTGATCTGATCGAATCAAAATCTGGCTAGGTTTCATTTGAACTCGATTTTGGTAACTACTAATCTGATCTGATGTAATGCGATCATCTTTCAATTGGAGTTGAGTTTGATCCATTTTATTCGAGATTAAATTCTGCTCGACTGAAGAAGGATGGTTCAGCTCGTTTGAAAACTGATATTTTCCGATATTACAAACATTGTCTTTCGTAAGTTTAACTGGTGTATTAGCATCATCAACGTGTACTGAACTGTAATCTATGAAAAGTTGACCGTTGATTTCTTTCGGAACGACATCAGTCGAGACTCTTGACAGCAAACAGTTCGCATGACCATCCATTTCCCGCAATTCTCTTTTCTGATTACATAATGAATTCACAGATGAATGCAACATGTGTTGTTCAACACGAGCAAATCTTGTTTTTGAACCAAACTGTTGACTTTTTGAATAACTGAAAATTGAAATAATTAAGTGCTAATAAGCCTAAAATTCATTTTCAATACCACCGCAGTTTGATTGTTTTTGTTAAAAACACTCGAAAAAAATTTTTTTTTTTGAAATTAAAAGGAAACACACACATACACACACATACATACATACATACACACGCATAAGTATGTCCACACACAAGCAATGTGATATCTGTTTTAAATGATGTCAATAAGTTAAAAAAAAAGAAAGAAGTAATGTTTCTTCATAAACAAAGACAAAGGACAGAAAGTATTATAAAACAGAAAGAGAAAAGATGCAAAAAAAGTAAATTTAAAATAAGTTAGTTAAGAAAGAAAAAAAATATTTTTGATATGAAAGCAAAATTTTAATAACATTTAAAAAGTTTTTTTTTTTTTTTTAGTATGCAATCTTTAAAAGTTTCACACACTAAAAAGGAGAAACATTTCCAAAAAAAAAAAAATTTTCTAATTTAACTAAACTATTTTTATGGATTACTTAAACAAACAAACAAAAAAAAAAAAAAAAGAGATAAAACAAGAAAAATCCGAAAAACAATAAAATTAACAGGAATAGATGACATGCCAAAGAATAACCGGATCCATTTTTTTTTTTCCCCGATTCTTCTTAATATAATTTTTGTACAATAAAAGAGTTATTTTCATCTATCCATTATTATTAAACCAGTACTTTCATCGCGCATTCTGCCATCCTAGTTGTCAACTTGATGTCAATTTCCATAAAAATCGTACAAATATAAATTATGCATAAAGATAAAAAAAAAAAAAACAAGTACTGAGTTGATTTTTCAGCAGATTCCTGATATATTTGTATCCTTAGTGGAAACTCACATTCCAAATCGTCATGAACCTATAACCAAAGCATGCAAATGATTTAAATTTTATGATAAAATGTAGATACTTGTGAAATGCCACCTTCTCTATGATATATCGACCTATTCTTTTCAATTTCTTAAAAAAGATATCTCTCTCTCCCTCTCCCTCTCTCTCTCTCTCTCTCTCCGTCTCTCACAACATGATTTACATGAAGTGTTTTTTTTTTTTCATATAGGAAATGAAAATTTATAATTTCTTCAAATTCAACTTAAACAATAACATTGAATAACCTTTTGTTCATTTTATTTTGCTCTTTGAGATATCTGATATAGAATGAAGCAGCTTCATTCAGTACTGTTTTGGTTCGTTCAAGTGAAACAGAACATGCTCTCGATCTCGATAAATTAGATCTCCTAACACATCCAAAGTAGTCATTGTTTGGAGTATCAACTGATAATCTTAAAATTAACATATTTAAATCTAAATTAATTTATTTACCAACTGATCTAGCATTAGTTTTTTTTTTTTTTTTATACTTTGCAAAAGAAAAGTTTTGAAGTAATTACTAAAAAAGTGAACTAATTAATTAATTTCATGAAACAATGAACAATTAGAATATGAGTCTAGGGTGATCATTATCATATCCAGAATGATTATTTTAAAAATGTTAACAAATTTGAAGCAAAAGATAACTTTTTCTAGTTTTATAAGGTTTACATTTTGCAACAAAGAACAACCAAATGAATCATTGAAATTTTCATTAATTAATTCTAGTGTTAATTAGCAAAATATTCTATTTTTTGGTCTTTTTTTTTTGGTATTTGAATGCAATATATGAAAATTTAATTGAATGTAATGAGTGATACATTCATTACATAATATTTCAAATATTTCAAATGCATAATATTTCGAATAAAACATTCAAAAAAAAAAAAAGCATACATAGATGGAGCAGGAAATCCTTGCCGATTATCATAATGTAATGCTGAATCATTATTATGAAACGATGATAAAACTGAAGAATCGTAAAAATTCCGGCAATCATCTTTATCCATCATACAACTATGTTCTCGTTCATAAAGTAATTCCAGTAATGAAAGTGGCTCTGGTGATAGACTATTATGTGATGAATTTATACCCCATTCGCCACCAAAAAATAAACAATTAATTAACTGATTAATTAACTAATTAATTAATTATTTATTAAGTTTATTATAAAAATCATTTTATTCTCATTCTTTTCTTATATTTTATTCAATATATAGCTGATTATTTTATAATTGCTTACAGTTTCAACATTATATGTGAATGAATTATTAATCAACTAATTTTAGCAATTTAATTTACAAAGGATTCAAACTTTTTTTTTCATGTCCATTTTCATATCAGCCAATCGTTTGCTAAATAATTTATTTGTTTAGTATGCTACCTAATTCGTCCTCCTATTTTAGTTAATATATATCATTTCATCAATAGAAATTTCGATTACTATTATAAAATGCTAACTAACTAAAGAGAAATCATGAATATTAAAAATTGAAATGAGCAAGAGATAAATTAATATCTTTTTGCGTTATTTGTTTTTAGTTGAAAAAAAAAGAAAACTCCCCACTGTGAAGTACTACTATACAAATTGATAATAATAATAAAACTTACAACTAAGAGGAGGTGATACACACCTTTGTAAACTGTTACTATCATCCAGTTGAAGAAAAAATTTCGCTGGCAACGTTACCACTGTAAATATGTACATTATAAAAGATAAATTTTCATTTGAACACTTGCAAATTCCACTTATAAAACTATCTTTATTAATTTTCAACCATAAAAGAAAAGAAAATCCTTTTTAAGAAAAAAATTTGTTAAATTAAAATATTAAAAAAAAAAAAAATGATTTTAAAAGAGAGAATAGTTCTTATATTCGTTCAATACTCTCCAAAATTCTTGCCAAAAAGAAAAATTTATTGCATTTTTAATCACTTATCTATAGAACTGTATACAAAAGATGACCATAGGATAATTATAAATTATCCACATGAACCATCTTTTTTTCAAAAAAAAAATAAACTTTAGATTCCTTCATTTGAATAAATAAAAGAAGAAATAGAAATTAAAAAGAAAAGAATTGCAACTTTCACTAACCTTTCATCATTTTAACCACTGCTTTACCACCAATATCAAATAATATATTCTGTGACCATGCAAAAGCAATATCATAAAAATCATATAATGTACATTCATAAAGGATTTCCCATGGACGTCCTCGTCGATGAGCAATTTTATTACATAAATTACCAACCTAATATGAAAATATATATAAAAATAAAATATAAAAATTAAAGTTAATATTAATTTCGAATAAAATAAATATAATAAAAATCCCTTAATTTTTATTCCTTTTATTATTATTCTCTTCTTTCCTCTTCATTTTCTTAATAATTTTTATCATACAAATAACACTTACAGTACTCTATTGAATTCTATTTTTTTTTTCTGTAATATCTCAGCAATAAAGTAAAAAAAGAAAAAAAGAAAATTAAACAAGTAAATTTACCAGAACTGATGGTAAACCGGAAGAGAAAATCGTATTATTGATTATGCTTGATTGTTCATCGATGATATCTACTGAATCGGTAACAGTAATACCATCCAAAGTTTCGTTATATTCATCAGTTTTCTTATCCAAAAAAGCAATAAAATGAACACGTGGAATAGAACCATGAATTGGTGGAGTAAATATATTCCAGTCCACAATATCCAATTGTGTCTAAAAGCAAAAATAAAGGCAAAAAAAAAAAAATTAAAACAAATTTTAAAAAATTGAAAACAAATATTATATGCTTCTCTTTCATCCATTTTGAAAAAAATGGAATGTCAGAAAGGAGTTTTCAAATTTTGAGAAAAGTTTTGCTTTGCTTCGATTATTTTTGAGAAGTCAAAACATAATGGATGAGTTCGTTTCAGTTTGAAAATTTGGTGATAAAAATGGAAAATTTAATTTTGAAATACTAACTTATGCTTTTTTTTTTTTTTTTTTAATCGAATCTATTTCGAATAAAATATGAGAACGAGATTGTTACATATGAGTGTGAAATTTTAAAACTATGCCATGTTTCTATGAAAATCCAATCATTGGAAAACATTTCCATAGTTATACTAGTTAGGGTCATATCAAGGTCACGTGTATACCATCTAGTTTTCTCATACCACACAATTTAAAAAGTTATGTGTAAAATTATCAACAATTCTCAGTAATGCTGATAATATAGTACTAATGCTGTTAAGTTTTGAATTTAAACTTCAGTTCAATTTCAGTTTCACTTTAAATCTAGCTTTAATAATCCAAGCTGAAGGATTTTTTTTTCTAAGAAAATGTTCGTATAATTTTCATTCTTTAAAAAAAAAAATTGAAAACAAAAATTTTATAAAACAGCTTACAGCATCTGACTGAACAACAAATTCCATTTCTTCATTACGATAAATTGGTCTTGCAATAAGTTCACCTGGAAGACATGGTTCACTACTTGTCTTTCTTAGCATATCCACTGTATCGGTTAATCTTTCATAACTGAAATGTTAGCAAAAGGTTAATTAATTAAGCTAATGTTATAAATTAATTTAAAAAAAAAAAATACCAAACATTAATTCATTCATATCTACAAGCATTTTTTCCAGGAAATAATTAAGCAAATAAATGTTGAAAAATCAAAAAAAAAAAGAAATAATTACAAAAATCTACCTAAGTACTAACTTAACTAATGTAATTAAGTGAACAAATAAAACAAATAAAAAAAAAAAAAAAAGCATATGAAACTAAATAACTTATATAACAAAAAATAAAAATAAAAAACAAAAAGTGCAAAAAAAAAAAATACTCAATGAATTGAATAAACAAATAAATAAATAAATGATAAGAAAAATAATCATTCAAATGATCGATAATGATAAATAGAGAGATACAAACAAGTATGAAGTAAATGAAATATTTTTTTTTTTTGTAAAATAATAAAACTAAGATTTACCTTTTTTTTTTACTTGAAGAACACGAAAAACAAGGAATTTTACGACATAAAAGTACTGAATTATGTGAAAGATTCCAAATGAAATACTCCGATAATACTGATACTAATCGTTGACGTCGTGCAAACTGCACTGCAGATAACACAAGCGACCATACAAAAAATATCATTGCAATATTCTGCAAACAGTAATTGTTTATACTCAAAATAATTCCATAATATTATTTAAAAAAAAAAAAATTAATTTTCATATTATCTTATAAATAATTTTTTAGCTTTTTTTTTTTTTACATATAGCTTAATTTTTAATTCTTTAAATTTATTATTATATAACTCATTCAGACATCAAAAAAATTATACATTTTATCATAAATTTCAAGCAATAATTTTAATAACTTGTACTACTGTAAATATGTTAAAGACAAACAAAAAAAAAAAAAACGTACTTTTTATGTAAAACTCATAATATCATAATTGAATGGAAAAGTTTAGTTTTATGAGAATGAACTAAAGGATAGTTGATTATTTATTTTTAAAAAGCTATAAATCAAACATTCTTACAATTTTGTTTTCAAATTACATATCATTTTGTCATTAAAATACCATAACTTTTATTACTATTTTCTCTTCTACTTATTAAAATAGAAAATAAAAAGTTTTCTCACAAAATTTTACATTAAAATCACATTACAATATGTTATTCAAATCAAGTATGACTATTTTATTTATTAAAACCAACAAAAAAAAAAAAAAACCATAAATTAGATTACATATCGATGAAATTAAGCTAAATTAAATATTTATATGACAAAAATTTAACATCTATCACGTTAATAAACTCACTTTCTATACGAATATTATATTTTTCAAACAATCTAAGTTAAACAATTCAAGCAAAAAAGTAAAAATTAAAAAAAAAAAAAGAAAGAAAAATAAACAAAATAATATTCCACTTTGTTGAATTGATAAATTATAAATACTTGTAGCTAATAAATAAATACCAGAAGAAACAAATTTCACTGTTCCCATGACAACATAATTGCATAACCTTTATTTATTTAATCTTACCTATTTTCTATTTATATTAATGCAGTGTTAACTTATAAAATATTAACTTTTAGATGATAATTCAAACACATTCTACACTGTTCACATTAAAACATAACTTTTCTTTAAAAAAAAAAAGAATTTAATCACTGACTACTTCAGGTAGTAAAATTTAAACTTCAAAGTTCTGTCAACTTTACAAGGTTGTTATAAACGAATGAATACAAATATGTATTAAGAATGAATAAATTAAATGTATTACTTTCTTTGTATAATTTCACTTTAATAAGGATGTACAAATGTCACAATTGCCATCGATTATTACGATCATCAAATATTATTATTCCATCTAAAATGGATAAAAAATTTTGAAATATATTAATTGGAAATATTAAAATAAACGATGTTAAAACAAAGACAATTGATATTCCTTTTTTTTTTTATTTTTTGCTCATTTTCTGATTTAAACTGAAGAAAAATTTTTTAATTTAAAAATTAATGAATATTCCTTTAAGCAGAATCGTATTGGATTAATAAATTTTAAATTGCATAAAAATTTAATAACAAATTTAAGTTATCGCTTTGCAAATATTATTCATCATGAATTTAATGCAAACTTCAAAGTAATCAAAAAAGTAATGAAATGGTAAGTTATAGTTATAACAAATTTTGCTTTTGAAATTGCTGCTAGCAATGTAAACAACAGTGACAAGTATGACACTTGCTTTTTCTCAAGTTTAATTATTTACGTGGAATTTACGTGGAATTACAAATCTTCATAAATGGTATGATGGTATATTTGTTAGGCAATAATATCCATTAAGTTAAAACATTACAGTTAAATGATCAAATTAAATGAATTTCTAACTTAACTTATTTTATTATTATTATTATTATTATTATTATTATTATTATTATTATTATTATTATTATTATTATTATTATTATTATTATTATTATTATTATTATTATTATTATTATTATTATTATTATTATTATTATTATTATTATTATTATTATTATTATTATTATTATTATTATTATTATTATTATTATTATTATTATTATTATTATTATTATTATTATTATTATTATTATTATTATTATTATTATTATTATTATTATTATTATTATTATTATTATTATTATTATTATTATTATTATTATTATTATTATTATTATTATTATTATTATTATTATTATTATTATTATTATTATTATTATTATTATTATTATTATTATTATTATTATTATTATTATTATTATTATTATTATTATTATTATTATTATTATTATTAATTATCATCATTATTATTGTATCAATCAAACTTTAATCACATAAATTCTACAAATGAACATTCTTGTATAGTTTCAAATTAATTTTACCATAATGATATGCAGAGATATTATCCGTGGAATTATACAGCTAAAAGAAATTTTGAAGAGATGAATTCTTACCAGTTGAAAACAAGAAGTTTAATTTGTATTAGTAAAAAACAACTGGGAACGCTATAAAATGTTTGTTTTTCTTTATTCGATTTAAGGAAATAAAGAAATTCATTTTAACGAAGGAAGATTCAAGTGGCAGAAATTAAGCAATCAAAGATAAATTGAAAATTTTAACAAAATTATTAGAAAATATTTTCAGAAAATATATTAAATAATACGTAGTAAAGATAATTGAAGGAAAAAAAAAAGAGATTCTCGTCTCTCAATATGTTAATATCAGGAAAATTTCACTTTAAAAAAAAAAATCAGTTTGACTTCCGTAAAATTCAGCATGTAACTGATTAATCTAAAAAATTAACGAAAGTTTCTAACTTCGAAAGTTTTAAAGGAAAATATAGAGTTGTGGCTTGGAAAAACGAAACGAAAAAATGAAATTAAGCTTTTTTTTTCAGGCCTATTAAAAGAGAAAGTGTAAAAGATAAGGAAGAAGAGAGAAAGTAAGGGAAAAGACTTCAAATGTGATCAATATTTCATTTTATCCAATGCAAAAGAGAAATGATCTCTAGCCGTTAAAAAAAATGAAAAAAAAAAAATAAAAAGTGAAATAAGAAAAGGAATTTTAAAAATGCAAGAAAAAAAAGATGAAAAAATCTTAAGCAAATTTTATTTTAAATAAATTTGTTAAATCTAAAATTCATCAAAAATCATCAAAACTTCAATTTCAATGAGCATTTATCCATCGTAAAATATTTCAATAAAATAAATATTCCTTAAATGATCAAAAAAAAAAACAATCATACTTTTCACAAATATTCTTATGCTTATGTAAATTTTTTGCAAAATGATTTATGTCTAAGGATATTAATAGATAAATACAAATAATTTCATACGAAATTCAATCATAGCTGTATATATCATAGCAAAAATATATTAGCAATGATTCAAACGAACATAGCTAATTCTTAAAAATGCAAAATTTGAGATTTCTTTTCATAATCACTTCTTTTTTTTTCTAATTAAAATAACGAAGAAAAATGATACATATGAAAATTATTATTTTTTTTATAATTGAAATGAAATTTTTTTTTTTGTAATTTCTTCATAAAAAAATTAGATATTTTTCCTTCTTGAACTTACTCATTTTTTTTTTCAATAATCACAAATCATCTTCCTATGAATAATCAAATTATTACCGTTTCTCTTTAAGACTTCTCGTCATTTAATCATAGATTTAATTTAACATTTCTCCATTCATCCATTTCCTATAACAATTAATGGTTTTATTTCACATATATCTGCAAGTTTAATTAACTCTAAAATAGATTAAGCATTTTTTCCAATGCTACTACGTATCATTTCTCACGTAAAGCGTACTGATAAATGATGAAAAAACGTGATAAGCGTATGATTGAAACAAGAAAGTGATACACGTAACATAGAAAATGAAAATCTTACACACGTCATAACTTAGTATGTGAAATATGAGATAAGAAAATTCATATAAAATTTCTTATTAAATTTCTACAAAGAATTTACAAAATGTTAGTTACGAGATTCACAAAGTATATTCTATTAGTTATAGAAACAATTATAATTAGCAAAATGAACCTAAAATGAAATACTATGATTTAAAACTTCTTCCATATCTTATCTACTTTCTATTTTATCATAAAAAGGAAAATTTATAAGTACTACTAAAATGAAATTAAAAATTATAAAATATATCTGTGAAAGAGAATGATGTAATATTATTGAAAAGAAAAAAAAAAGATAAAATGAAATAAAATAAAAAGAAAATTTTATTACTAAAATGAAATTAAAAATTATAAAATATATTTGTGGAAGAGAATGATGTAATATTAAATTATTGAAAAGAAAAAAAATAAAATAAAAAGAAAACATGAAAAATCATTCTGCAAATTAATTATTTGAAGTATCATCCAAAATCAATCAATCATTTCATCTTTTTTGCTCTATGCTAAATAATCTCTCTTCAATAAACAGCTTTATCATTTCAAATATATATATATCATACTCAAATGCTCCTCTTATCTAATATCTCCTTTTTCTAAATAATTTAAATTTTCACTCTTACTTTTTTATTATATATTATATATAAAAAAATTTTTTATCCAATTCATATCCTTTCATTGATGAATTATCAAAAAAAAAAAAATAATAAACGTAATCTATATTAAACTAATTGAATTATATTTTTTGTGTGCAAGAAATTTATTATTTATTGGTTCATAAAACCATTGTTAATCTTTCCATTATGTCAGCAAAATCTTTTATTGGATAATACAAATTGATAACTTCAACAATGCAAAAAAAAAAAAAAACTTCATAATTGGAACAATGAAAAAAGCAAAAATAACAAACAGATTAATAAGAGGAAAATTCTATGGAAATTTAAATTCTTAAAAATCTAACAAGCTAAGTTACCAAAATAGTAATCGACTATTTCTTTTATTTTTTCTATTCGAAATTTAGGTTATTCATATTTTGACTAATAATAAAAAAAAAAAAAACAACAAATGATGCAATTTTTTGATATTCACCGGAGATGTATAATCAAGAAGACGAAATATTAAATGTAGCGCACATGCAATCACTTCTTTCTGACAATAATATATTCCTAAGCAAAAACTTTCGTCACAGTTTTTCTTGATTTCTTTTTTGTTTTCTTTCCTAATTCTGAAAAATCGGCAAACATTTTCACTTCTGACTCTTCTTCCACTTCTTTTTGAAAAAGTTTCAAAGCCGCCAGATTGAAACCACAGATATCCTGCAAATCAGTGTTCCGCTGATACAAATTATTAACGATTGAAGTTTGCTTTCAAATAGTCATGATTACAAGCACTTCTAGATAATTACGACTATGAAAATGACCTAAAAGTTATTTAAAAAAAAAACAACGTAAATTTATAGCACTTTCACCTCATCCTACATTTTCTAAAATTTACTATCTAAATATAATTATCTCAATCTGTGTTTCTAACTTTTTTTTTTAAAAAGTGAAAAGTAAATTAATTAACCCGTAAATCATTCAATCCTCGCGGGACCTTGCGACATAAATCATCGAAAAGCGTTATCAAATCAGTTTGTGTTATGAGATAATTGTGATGAATTCTAGAAAATGAAAAAATACTTTGAAACTTTGGAGAACTTTGGGGAACAAACTCGAAAATAAATATGCTAAACATTTAAAGAAACTTTCAATTCAATAACACCTAACATATATTTTCAATAATTTTTACAAATGTTGAAAGAATTTTTTTTGAATACAGCTCAGGTTGAAATATGAAGTGAATATGAAATTACATATCAGATGAATTATCACAACAAAATTGCCTCCTTGCTTATAATAATTGCTAACGACAAAAGATTAAAACACTTCTAGCAACAACTCATTTTACTGAACTTCATATTTAGGAGATTTAGATGTTTATGTGAAAGTTACTTCTGCAATAGCAGAAATAAAATTTAAAAAATTAACAAATAAATGAGTAGATAGACAAATGGAAAACTTACTTTACAATGAAAATTAGTACACGTGTTGCTAATTCTGCTTTATAACCTTTTCCAATACAAACACCCAAAGCTCTGATAATATCCGGCACAAAACCGAATGGCACCATTAACAAACTTTTTTCCAAATGACTAGAATGAAAACATTGAAAAAAGAAAAATTCTCAATAACTTTTAAAATACTCTCAAAATCAGGAAACTAAAATAAAATTAAATTAACCTCGATGGAACACGTTGAATCACATCAAGTACAAAATGATCAAGTGATGCGCTTTCAAAGTATGACAACAGTGGATGCTTTTCATGCTGCAAAAATAATATAACTATAAGAAACAAATAATTTCTTTCCTTCAAAAAATATAACTAGAAATCAAATATAAAATATTGGTAAAAATACCTTTGGATCATCCAACATAGCTATCTTCTCATTTCGCATGATCTCTAATGCTTCAATAATATCCTCAGTCTAAAAAACAATCAGTTTCATAAAAAAGTAGTACTGAACGAACATAAAATAAGATATTCTTCTCAGAAAACAAAATTAAAAATGGATTTGCTCATTCAATGCAAATAATTCGCATAATAAAAAAAAAAAAAAGCTAACGATTACATTTAGCATAACAGCAAAGTAAATTCTTAAAAAGTCTACACAGATTCTGAATAGAATATCATACGTTGACAGTAAATGTCAGTAGAATAACTCAAAAGATAAAAGATTTAGATCCATCTTTTTACAAAGTTTATACAATGAATAATTTTTTTTTTTTGATGTCAATCAATAATTCACATCCATCTTTTTTAAAATTAGTTTAGCATTAATGCGCTTAAATTGTTCTAATATATAAATATAAAACAGTGCAAATATATGAGAAATAATATTAAAAATTAACCGATTTAATACTTGCGATAGTTTTCTGCACTGCTATTTCGGCTTCATTAATTTTTTCTTCACCAGGCACAACATCATTCAATTGAATAAGACGTTTTTCATATTCTTTTTCTCGTTCCATTGCTTCTTCTTCTTGAAGAACAATGATTTCTTCTGTTAGCTCCCACAATCGGATTGATTTATCGTGAGAGGAGGAAATCTATGACAAAATATTTTTAGAATTGAAATTTAAAACTTTACTTCGCTTTCTTTAAAATAGAAAATTTTTTAATTTGAAATTTAATTCTTTAGTTGTTCTTTTTAAGTCTTTAATTTTGATTTCCTTTAGTTGTATTTAAGAACTTACGACACATTTTCCATTAGTAGTTTGTGCAAGAGCTCGAATTTCCGCTGAGTGTAGATTTAAAACCTGAATTCGTTCAAACTTCACTGCATCCCATTGTTTGATCAAGCCGTCTTTACCGGCAGACCACAGCAAATTTTCTTCTGGTGAAAATAAAACGCAAGTCACACTGAAAACTATGGTAAATTAATACAAGTCTAATCATTTAGATAGAAGACCTGTAATACTAGGCCAAAGGCTTTTGTGTTCGAATAGGGATAGCTGGAACTTAAGCCAAGAGATTCGTTGCATACATTTGAATGTAAAAAAAAAGCTTCAGAAATAAACATAATCCAAGTTCTGGCTACAAATTTCATAAACTGGAAGCAAAAAAAAAAAGAAAAAAAGACGAGCAAAGTAAATTTACATGTCATCGTGAGCATGAAAAGACTTGTGACAATCACCAAAATCTAATCCCCATATCTTGACGCTTTTATCGGCTGATCCAGTAGCAACTAATTTATTATCCTAAAAAGGATAAATTTAGAAAGCATTCCTAAAAGCTGAGATTTCTTTTTATTTCACTACAACTTCTGCATCTATAAAATAATTACAGAATTGAAATAAATATCTTACTAAGCAAAGTATAACCACAAACCATTAGCATTACAGTTTCAAACGGTAAATGTAGGAGTTAGGAAAAAAGAACAAACATTTTAGATTACAAGCTGATTGTTAAGCTTAAATTTTACTAAAAAAAAACATACATATGAAATATGAATGGCTGTAACAGGGAGTGAATGTCCATAAAGCGAAACGAAAAATTTGAATGTATCCACGAAATGAACACATGCTGTATTATCTAGAAGTCCTACAGCAAGAAAACGTGAATCATTACTAGCAGCAACGCATAATGCTTCATCTGGTACTTCCAATACGCGGCAAGGCTTTACTGATAGACGTTTCCTGAAGAATTAAGTTATAATATTTCAACAAAATATACAACGTAATATCATAATATCCTCCCACAATGATTACGGGAAATATAACATTTAAATATAATTGAAATTTGAACTATTCATTTGTTTATATTTCATTACAAAACATAATATCTAAAAAATATTATACCTTGTTCCTTCACTTACTAATTCGTAATTCCAATATCGAACCGTCTTATCATTACCACACGAGACGAAGCCTCTCTAAAATTAGAAAAACATTTCGAAAGTTCTACAACAATGATTTCTCCGAAATATTACGTTTAAAACAGCTTCACAACTTCAGAACTATAACTCAGTAAAAGCTTTATACCTTATCAGGCGTTGGAATAAGCTGCCAAACAGCTCCATCATGAGCTTTCTTAACATTTCAAGCATTTCATTTGTTGCCAATTCAAACAGAAAGATGTTGCCCTCCTAAAAGTATTTAGCCTAACAAATAATCAATCAAGAATTTGAATATATCAGCAAGATTTTAAATCAAAGATAAATAAGTTATCAAACGTAAACTTACCTTAGTTGCTAAAATAATATGTTTATCGCCGGTAACAAATAGTGACGCAGTGATATCTGCCATTTGTTCATCCTCTAATGTATGCGAAATCTGCAAAATAACATAAGGATTAAACTGTTTAGTTCCATTAAATTTTCATATCAAGAAAAATGGAAATTATTGAAAAAACTTCAGTTTGCTTAAATTCTTTGAAAATTGAAAAAATGAAACTTCCTACCTTGAGACTATGCAAATTCCAAACAATAGCCGATTCTGCGCTTCCTGATACAAAACTGAATCCACTTTCTGCAACTGCGAGACATCGAACATCTGTACGATGACCTAACTAAAACATAAAAAATAGTCGCGCAAAAAAAGTGGAATTAAAATTCTAAAAGTTATAACAAAACGAAGCCATGAACTATTACAATAACTATGATTTTAGAAAACGCTAACCTGATTCAAATCAGCCAAATCAGCAAACTGCACTTCATTTGATTTGAAATCGACTAACATTGTTTCAGAGAGAACTGTATTCTCTGCGTAGAGTATATATAACTAAATTAAAAGAGTATTAAATCAACAATTCTAAAAAAAAATTTTTGCCTTAGGATTATAGAAAAGATTATAGAAAAGTAAGTAACCATTTGATTATATTTTAAAAGTCACAATATGCAGGTGTGTTTTAAAAAAAAACCAAGTTGGAACAGAAACAAAAGGTAGTCAAGGAAATAAAGCATAAGACAGTTATATAATGTCATAATAATATTTCGAGCATTGGAGCGAAAGGAAGTTTTACTAATTTTATTTAGTGAACTATATTTGCCTGAAATAATCAGAAAGATATTTTTGCCTAAAAAATGAAGTTATATGGATATGATTCAAATTTTCATTTCTTTAAGCTTATATTGACACAAATGATTGCTAATGCAATTGTAGATAAATAAACACTTCTTATAATAAAAGTACGACAAACCTGATATTGGAGTATTTCATCTCCACACTGTTTCACACCTGAGCTAAAATCAATCCATTTCACCTTCCCATTCGGTTTATATTCACCTATTCGTGAGATCAAAATGGTAACATCTTTTGCAATATCTGTTTCCGAAATTGCTCCCGCGTCACCACTGCAATTGCCAATTAATAAGTTGCCAGTTTTACTGGTACAAGTTTCTTTTCATTACTAATATTAGAGTATGCCAAGAGAAAAAAACTTTGAAATGTTAAAAACTACCTTTCAGTCGATTTTTTCCGAGCCTTTCGAAGTTTTTTCATCAAACGCTTTTGTGATTCATCATCATCATAGATTCGGAAGATATCGACACAGTGTAACGAACCCTAAACAGTTTCCTGCTTCAATTTATTTACACAGAACCACGAAAACAACAAATAAATAAAGTTGAAAAGGAAACAGCGATCGCCACAATTACAGTGGAAGATCGCTATTTCCTCTAATAATTTTAATAATTCATAAAATTTTCCTAATAATTTATAATTCATAAAAAGTCTAATAATTTATAATTCATAAATTCAGAACTATAGATCTTCTAACCACTATAATCTTTTTTCAAGCTACAGCTAAGAATAAGGATTTTTATCCCACTTATTTCTTGAGGATAGCAAAAACACATCTCAATATATTACATCATTTTTCCTTTAATTAAATTATTTGTTAAATGATTAGTAAAACAAAATTCAACATTGTTTCAGTAAAAAGTCAACTATACATACTTACCACACATGCAATAAGTTTCTCATCCCGGCTAACAGCAAGCTGAAGAGTTCGTCCTTTAGAACGTCTCAAAATTTGTCCTTTTTTCACACAACGTACAATGTTCTAAAACAAAAATTCATCCACTAAATTTTAAAAAAAAATTTTTTTGCTTAGAAATTTCAAAAAAATCAAAGCACTTGCCATAAGCATTATTTTCTCGTTGAAAAATTTTTCTATTTCAAGTACTTAAAACACTCACATTTGCCTGCGTATCTTCAGTATATTCAACAGAGTTATCGTTAGCTTTTAATTTCTTCGTTGAGTTATTATCTTCGTCATCCATCTCCTTTTTTTCTAACCAATTAAGTTCAAAGACTCGTAGTTCTAACTCTGCCGATCCAACCAGTAGAAAAGTATCGTTTTTGAGCAGCGAAAACGTGTAAACCTTTAAATACAAAAAGGTGAAGCAAGCAAAAATTAACAAAAATTGAGGAAAAAAAGTAATCCAAGATCATTATTTCGTCCAGTCAATTAGATATAGTCTTAAATTAATTGATTTCTGATTTTTTTATCAGATTTAATGATACTAATGGTAGAGAAAAAGTGGAGTGATTAAAACCAGGATAAATTTTAGTAAGAATATTACCTCGGAATGACAATCTGTTATGGTGAAGAAGCAACTTCTTGAATCTAAACTCCAGAACTTCACATATGAATCTTTTGAGCTAAAAAAAAATACGAATATCAAAAAAAGAAAAAAAATTACAGTATGGATCATCAGGTGCTACAATTTACTTTCAAATGTTTCATAAAATAATACCCTCTAAATATTCCATAAAAAATGGTGGAGAAAAAAAGAATGGAAAAATACCTGCTAATAAGAAATCGTCCATCTAATGTAAATTGCAAATGTGTCACCGAATTTTTGTGCCCGTTTAAACGAAATAAACCAGATTCATTTACGATATCCCAAATAACCACCGCTGAATCCTACAATTACAGATCATGCAGATGAAATAAAACAATACAAGTTAGCTTGAGAAATTCTGAAATACGATTTCCCACTAACAAAAATTATTACATAGATTATCATTCTTAAAAGTGATAAGGGTCAAAATGTGGTGATTAGGGATCTGGACTTCAATTGAAACTCAAGTTTCAAACTCATGTTTCTCATTATCCTTCATTTACTTGAAATTTCAAGTAAAGGAAGGAAGTAAAATCGATGGCCTACAATTATATATGTGAAATTCGTGGAACAAAATCATGATAGTACAGAATTTTGGTTAGACATACAAAACCTAAAAATTTAAAAAATACCTTTCCACCAGTTGCCAATGTCAAACCATCCTTACTAAATGCAATACAGTTAACACCTGTTCTGTGTCCCGAAAATGTGAGATACATTGACCGATCTGAATTTTGGATAGAAATTCGAATTTATTGAAGCTAGTTTTTCTAAAGAGATGCTTTTCAGCTTCTCCAGATATTTACAATTATGACTGCTTATACGTGAAAACAAATAATTTACAGCTCACAAGAGTATTCAATTTTTGATAGCCTAATGGTCTACTCGAATTTCATATGTTTGTGTGGAGAAAGGAAGTATAATACAGACATTTACGAAAAAGTTAATTATATTCAGGAGAATAAATAGCTAAATAAACCCTTATCATATCATCTACATAGAAATAAAAGATTTCAAACCATCGCTTTTCCGATCGTACAATCGAGTTGTTCCATCGACATATCCAACAGCAAGGAACCGTCTATTCCCACTAAATTTAATGGTTGAAACACACTTATTCGACCCTCTGATTTCATCAACCTGAAAAACAAGATTTCTGAATCTATTTACAGATACTTACATAATCAAAAAAGCCCGCAGCTTCAAAGTTTGGAACTCATACTCAAACAGTTAAATTCCATCTCATCTCTTTTCTCTCTAATTCAAATGATTGGTAAGTATTACTTTAAAAAGTAGCCAACTACTTAATGCTTCCTGAACCCTTCTAATTTTCTTTTGTGAACTGTTCATATATAAAAAGCTTAGCTTTAAATTCGATCACTAATCGAAAAAATTTATATATGGAAAAAAATTAATCTAATTTTCAATTATTTGAGTTAATTTCCCATAAAAATATGTGCATATAACACAATTTTACAAGATTTCAATTAAATTTTCAAATTATTTCTAGATAAAAGCTCAAAAAAAAAAAAAAACGTAAACTAACTTTCTCTCCTTTTCTCATGTTATAAAAATGAACATTTTCACATGCTGACACAGCGCAAATGTTATCAGTGATAGCGGCAACAGTTCCACTACTTGATGCTACCACATTACAGGTACCATCGTGTGTATATCGCAAATATTGTTTGGTAAGTCCCATTTCTGAAAATTATTTAATCAAATTTAAACGACTAATGTTGAAATTAATATCGGAAAAATTCTGTTTTCTCTTTTTTTTTTCTTTTTACCATCGGCTATTCAATGAATGGTCAGTTAAACAGCTCAAATGATGAATTTAGTTTCTATTTTTATTAATACAGTCTGACAAATCCAATCCGTTCCTGAAATATGATAAAAGTATAGGTATAACAAATTTTGTTCCTGAATTCCTGAAATATAATAAAAGTGCAACAAATTTGCTGGAAACCCAGAAAATACTACTAAAACTCTCAGCCTCAGTAGTAGTAGTAAGAAACTTTCAAGCGACCCCGTTTGATCCGTAACCATCAAATCGATCTGCAACAACGAACAAACGTGGTTTACGCTTCAATTGGATTGTTTGAAAATTGAAATCCCGTAGCTGTATAATTGAATATTTTTGGAATTTATTAACAATCAAGGAGAAATAAAGTAAAATAAATAGAAAAAAATTTTAAAGTTATTCTCATAAACAGTAAATTTACAAATTAAATACTTTACCTAAAAAATATTAATTTAAAATGTTTACCTTAAAGAAAAAAGTATGCTAAATTTAATTTAAGTTTAACTCTGTTGCCATAAAAATTTAAAAAGTTCAATAAAAATTGTATATTAAATGAAAAAATTTTTTTAAAAAAAAGTATATTACAACATTCATTATCTAAAAAATATTTAATTAATAAAATTTTCCAAAAAATTTCAGAATTTTAATTATTTGAGTTACATTTAGAGTTCATTGAAAAATAATAGAAATACATTTAAATGATATTATTGTCAACTTCTACAATGATATAATAAATATTATTATAAATAAATCCTAAATATATGATTTTAAGAATTAAAAATATTTTATAATTCAATTAATCATCAAGCATCTTCCTATTTTCCATTAAAATTTATTGAATTTATAAATTGAAAAATATTTTTAATTGGTAAAATTAATTTTGCTGCATTCTGTACAAAGCATTTTGAACTGAAATATATGCTTATCATAAATAAATAAATAAATAAAAATGTTTCCCATAATTTATTAAAATATTTAAAAATGAGTAGAATTCACAGTGAGTAATATTATTGAATGAATATTTTGAGCAAGAAAGAAAAATCATTTTGAAATAATTTAATTTATAAACATTTTTTACTTCTTTAAATATTTTATTCGTAGTATAAATATTTGTTTATAGTAATATCAAAATTATTTATATTTATGTGTGTTTATTGTGAAAAATATTTTATTTATTTTTATTTTTATACTTATATATTAATCGTTTTCACTTTATTAAATTGTATTTGCACAATAACAAAGAAAAAAATGTTTTAAAAATTTAAAGAAAAAAATGATATTTTGTTAGTTTTATAAACAAATAAATTTTATTTATTTATTTATTTGTTTTTTGAAAATAAAAACAATTACTAAATTAAAAAAAATTGAAGAACAAAGAGGAAAATTTGAAAAGATTTTAACTAAATGTAATATAATTTACATATTAATTTCCTAATATGTAAATTATTTATTTGAAGTATAAGTTTGTAAACAAATTTTTATTTACTTTATTGTTTTATACATACACTTTAGAAATCGGTGAAATGAATAGTGTAAATCAACAAATTGAGCAATCTCAACAAGTATTTATGTGTATTTTAGTTGCTATAAAATTTTAAATTTTAGAAAATAATATAAAAAAATTTAAATAACAAATTTTTGCTATTTTTAAAAGCAATCTGAAAAAGTAAACAAAATTTGTTTTAGTTTGATTTTTGATGAATTGTGCAAGAAGGAAAAAGAATTATGAATTTATATTCAAAGCCTAGAAATGATTGATAAATAATTCAAAATAATTGATAAGATTTCTCTCACGTGATTCACGTGAATCAATTTGTTAGAGATTTTTTTGATGATAATTTTTTAATTCTACTAAATTTTAGTTATTTTAACTAAAAAAAGAATCAAAAGAAAAAAAGAATTTTAATTCATTGCCTTTTACTGATATGATAACAACAATTTGCTATGAATTATGATAATATTTATAAATTTAAATCTGCTAGTTAAAATAATATTTAAATCCAAATACAGATGAATTTATTATGATTATTAATAATTTAAAAAAAAAAAGGAAAACTTATTTATTGTAATTTTTTTTTTGAGCTACTTAATAAATTGATTATTTTATCATAAATTAATTTACTTTTAATAACAATTAGTACAATATTAAAATGATTAATTTGATTATCACATGTACTAATTAATCAGTTATCAATGTTTTAATTTATCTTATCATTTTCAATTAAAATTAAAATTTTATTTTAGCTAAACAAAAATACACCATATAGTTGCTATTCAAATAGATCAATCATTCGAGAGTTGCAATTCTCGGTGATAATTGATGATCATCGAATACGTGGACAATTTATTGATTCATTACCATTTGCGGTTAAATTTTCAACCGAAAATATTGATTTTATTGTACAACCGGATGTTGATAAGGTTTATAATAAATAATTTAATTTAATAATTTCAATTAAAAATTAATCTGAAATATTTACACTTATTAGACAGAAAAATTCATTTAAATTTCAGAAAGTGTGAAAAAAAAAGAAATTTTTTTAGATAGTAAATGTGATAGAATTTTATGTTTGATTAATGTAATTTTACAAACCTGAAATTAAAACGAGAAGAAATTTTTTTATATTTTAAAATATATCGTTGAAATAAACAATATTTATTACATTGTGTTTAATTTTTGAATGAATAAATTAAGATTATTTTATAAAAGAAAAATAAACTTTCTTTAAGTACTTTTAACTCTTACAGAGAAATAAACTTTCTTTAAGTAAACTTTTAGCATCTAATTTAAATTTTCTCTTGTAAATATTAATTTTATATTTTAATTAATTTAAAAAATAATTTTATAGATGGATAATATAGTTGTGTTACTATATGGCCGTGCTCAATATGAACTTTCGGAGTGGAAATATACGGCACAGCTTCGGATTAAAACAGGAAGTGGTAAGTTTTTTTTTTTAAATGCAAGCAGATGTCAACGTAATGAACGTAAACTTACGTGGTAACACTTACGCAAGCTTAGTTGCGTATTACGTAAAATTATTGTTACGTAAGATTGACTAAAGATTATCATATCACGCATACAACTAATAATTGCTTTGTTTAACAAAACAAACTCACTTGCATTTTTAGTATTACAAAAAATAAATTTTACAAAATTGAAAAATTTAGATTTTAAATTTAGATTCTTTTAAAAGATTTTTCCATTTTTTTTTTTCAGCCGAGAAGCAACAAGGTGTACGTGTAGTGGACAAATTGCTTGTTGAATTTGGTAATCGAATACCGCCACTGTCATTAAATGTGACGGATACAAAAGTGAAACGAATTAAATTTGAAATGCGATTAATAAATAAGGTTAAAGTTCAAATGGATAATTAATTTATTAATTAAAGTATAAGGTTAATTAATTTATTAATTAAAGTATAATGCATTTTTGAATTTTAATAATTTATAAAAATTTTATTTCAAACTAATTTTATTTTCTTTTAAAATTGAGATTAATAAATAAGGTTAAAGTTTAATTTTTAATTAATTTATTAATTAAGCATAATGCATTTTTGAATTTTAATAATTTATAAAAATTTTATTTCAAACTATTTTTATTTTCTTTTAAAATTACAAAAACATCAAAAGGTTACAGTTATATGAACAATTAATTAAATTTGAAATGCGATTAATAAATAAGGTTAAAGTTTAATTGTTAATTAATTTATTAATTAAGCATAATGTATTTTTGAATTTTGATAATTTATATAAAATTTTATTTCAAACTATTTTTATTTTCTTTTAAAATTACAAAAACATCAAAAGGTTACAGTTATATGAACAATTACCAACGTTTCAAAGTGGTGGCGATGTTATATTATTATTTGAAGAAAATGAAAAATTATACGTTGATAAAGCATTATTAGCTATACATTCTCGTTATATGGGTAATTAAAATAATTTTAATTAAAATAATTAATATTCGATTTAAAAAAAAATACCAAAATTACATTTAAAATAATATTTAAAATATTTTGGAGTAAAATTTAGATTAAAGAGTTTGAATTGTTGTTAAATTTGCTCAAAAATCATTAGTTTATTACTGTTATAAAAAATAAACATTGATAATTGAGCAATTTATTAATTAATTGTTTGGTAGATTTGTACTTTAATTAATTATTTTAATTAATTTAATTATTTATGCAAAATTATATGAAAAATAATTTAATTAATTATATTACATTAATCATTAATTTAAATTATCCCTTAATTTTTTAATATGAAATGCTAATTTGATATATTCTTTAGCTTTAGCAGTGATTATTTTAAATTTCAAACTCCAAAATTAAAATTAACTCAAAATTAAAAAAAAATTTTTTTTTCAATTATTAAAAACCAAAAATTTTAAATTGTTGAAAGAAATTAAATTGAAATTTGTTTTTTTTTTCTTCTTTTCTTAGCATCAATGCTTCATGATGCTGCACCAAATGCTATCATTGATATGTGCTTCTTTGATCGAAATGACTTCTTGGAATTACTTTATCAAATTTATGCTACTAATCGACCAATTTCCGCCAATCTTTTTGCGCTTTCACGAGCAGCGATAAGTTATAAAGCTGATATAATCCTTGCTAGAATCACCAAATTTATATCTAATCTTGATGTTAGCATATTAATTTAACATTGATCATTTTATATTATTTAGTTTAATTGGCTAAGATTATTTGATGAGTTGATCAATGAAATATTTGATAGATTGACTGATAATTTCTATAGTCTGATCAGATGAGTTGATCAAATGAAATAGTTTGATAGATTGACTGATAATTTCTATAGTCTGATCAGATGAGTTGATCAAATGAAATAGTTTGATAGATTGAGTGATAATTTCTATAGCCTGATCAGATGAGTTGATCAAATGAAATAGTTTGATAGATTGAGTGATAATTTCTATAGCCTGATCAGATGAGTTGATCAAATGAAATAGTTTGATAGATTGAGTGATAATTTCTATAGCCTGATCAGATGAGTTGATCAAATGAAATAGTTTGATAGATTGACTGATAATTTCTATAGTCTGATCAGATGAGTTGATCAAATGAAATAGTTTGATAGATTGACTGATAATTTCTATAGCCAGATCAGATGAGTTGATCAAATGAAATAGTTTGATAGATTGACTGATAATTTCTATAGCCTGATCAGATGAGTTGATCAAATGAAATAGTTTGATAGATTGACTGATAATTTCTATAGTCTGATCAGATGAGTTGATCAAATGAAATAGTTTGATAGATTGACTGATAATTTCTATATCCTGATCAGATGAGTTGATCAAATGAAATAGTTTGATAGATTGACTGATAATTTCTATAGTCTGATCAGATGAGTTGATCAAATGAAATAGTTTGATAGATTGACTGATAATTTCTATAGTCTGATCAGATGAGTTGATCAAATGAAATAGTTTGATAGATTGACTGATAATTTCTATAGTCTGATCAGATGAGTTGATCAAATGAAATAGTTTGATAGATTGACTGATAATTTCTATAGCCTGATCAGATGAGTTGATCAAATGAAATAGTTTGATAGATTGACTGATAATTTCTATAGCCAGATCAGATGAGTTGATCAAATGAAATAGTTTGATAGATTGACTGATAATTTCTATAGCCAGATCAGATGAGTTGATCAATTGAAATAGTTTGATAGATTGACTGATAATTTCTATAGCCTGATCAGATGAGTTGATCAAATGAAATAGTTTGATAGATTGACTGATAATTTCTATAGTCTGATCAGATGAGTTGATCAAATGAAATAGTTTGATAGATTGACTGATAATTTCTATAGCCAGATCAGATGAGTTGATCAAATGAAATAGTTTGATAGATTGACTGATAATTTCTATAGCCTGATCAGATGAGTTGATCAAATGAAATAGTTTGATAGATTGACTGATAATTTCTATAGCCTGATCAGATGAGTTGATCAAATGAAATAGTTTGATAGATTGAGTGATAATTTCTATAGCCTGATCAGATGAGTTGATCAAATGAAATAGTTTGATAGATTGAGTGATAATTTCTATAGCCTGATCAGATGAGTTGATCAAATGAAATAGTTTGATAGATTGAGTGATAATTTCTATAGCCTGATCAGATGAGTTGATCAAATGAAATAGTTTGATAGATTGACTGATAATTTCTATAGTCTGATCAGATGAGTTGATCAAATGAAATAGTTTGATAGATTGACTGATAATTTCTATAGCCAGATCAGATGAGTTGATCAAATGAAATAGTTTGATAGATTGACTGATAATTTCTATAGCCTGATCAGATGAGTTGATCAAATGAAATAGTTTGATAGATTGACTGATAATTTCTATAGTCTGATCAGATGAGTTGATCAAATGAAATAGTTTGATAGATTGACTGATAATTTCTATAGTCTGATCAGATGAGTTGATCAAATGAAATAGTTTGATAGATTGACTGATAATTTCTATAGCCTGATCAGATGAGTTGATCAAATGAAATAGTTTGATAGATTGACTGATAATTTCTATAGTCTGATCAGATGAGTTGATCAAATGAAATAGTTTGATAGATTGACTGATAATTTCTATAGTCTGATCAGATGAGTTGATCAAATGAAATAGTTTGATAGATTGACTGATAATTTCTATAGCCTGATCAGATGAGTTGATCAAATGAAATAGTTTGATAGATTGACTGATAATTTCTATAGTCTGATCAGATGAGTTGATCAAATGAAATAGTTTGATAGATTGACTGATAATTTCTATAGCCTGATCAGATGAGTTGATCAAATGAAATAGTTTGATAGATTGACTGATAATTTCTATAGTCTGATCAGATGAGTTGATCAAATGAAATAGTTTGATAGATTGACTGATAATTTCTATAGTCTGATCAGATGAGTTGATCAAATGAAATAGTTTGATAGATTGACTGATAATTTCTATAGCCTGATCAGATGAGTTGATCAAATGAAATAGTTTGATAGATTGACTGATAATTTCTATAGTCTGATCAGATGAGTTGATCAAATGAAATAGTTTGATAGATTGACTGATAATTTCTATAGTCTGATCAGATGAGTTGATCAAATGAAATAGTTTGATAGATTGACTGATAATTTCTATAGCCTGATCAGATGAGTTGATCAAATGAAATAGTTTGATAGATTGACTGATAATTTCTATAGTCTGATCAGATGAGTTGATCAATGAAATAGTTTGATAGATTGACTGATAATTTCTATAGTCTGATCAGATGAGTTGATCAAATGAAATAGTTTGATAGATTGACTGATAATTTCTATAGTCTGATCAGATGAGTTGATCAATGAAATAGTTTGATAGATTGACTGATAATTTCTATAGCCTGATCAGATGAGTTGATCAAATGAAATAGTTTGATAGATTGACTGATAATTTCTATAGTCTGATCAGATGAGTTGATCAAATGAAATAGTTTGATAGATTGACTGATAATTTCTATAGTCTGATCAGATGAGTTGATCAAATGAAATAGTTTGATAGATTGACTGATAATTTCTATAGCCTGATCAGATGAGTTGATCAAATGAAATAGTTTGATAGATTGACTGATAATTTCTATAGTCTGATCAGATGAGTTGATCAAATGAAATAGTTTGATAGATTGACTGATAATTTCTATAGTCTGATCAGATGAGTTGATCAATGAAATAGTTTGATAGATTGACTGATAATTTCTATAGCCTGATCAGATGAGTTGATCAAATGAAATAGTTTGATAGATTGACTGATAATTTCTATAGTCTGATCAGATGAGTTGATCAAATGAAATAGTTTGATAGATTGACTGATAATTTCTATAGTCTGATCAGATGAGTTGATCAAATGAAATAGTTTGATAGATTGACTGATAATTTCTATAGCCTGATCAGATGAGTTGATCAAATGAAATAGTTTGATAGATTGACTGATAATTTCTATAGTCTGATCAGATGAGTTGATCAAATGAAATAGTTTGATAGATTGACTGATAATTTCTATAGTCTGATCAAATGAAATAATTTGATAAGTGACTTAAAATCCGTATTGGGATGAATAGATTTTACATCAAGAATAAACATTTTACTAATATCAAAAGTGTGATATCCGGTTTTCCGTTTCTTCACTGCAATATATTTCCTGTTAACTTATTACATTTCCAACCGATCAACTAATATTAATCATTTTAATTAATTGCTAATACTTGAATTAAAAATTTTTATTTACTTATTCAATAATATAAACTTTTTTCTGTTTCATTTTCAGATGGATATAATATCCAAATTTCAATTATCAATTCAATTAGAATTGGATAATACACTTATCGAATTAGTTTATGATGCCGAACAGAGAGGTCAATGAATATTATTGTTTTTTTTTTTGCTTGAATAGCAATTATAAAATAGAAAAAGAAAATTTAAATTTAAAAATTAAAATTTAAAAAAATAAAAATAAAAATTATAGGTATATGGAGAGAATTGATTGAAGAAGGATTTGAACCAAAATCGCTTGGTACTGAAATTTATCATCGTATTATCTGTCCAGCAATAATTAAAGTACATTTAGCATTTATTTAGCTTTTCTCTTTTTAATTTCTAAAATTTATTTAAATATTATTTATTGTCATTTAAATTTTACATATTAATTAATTAAAATGAAAAAAAAAATTTTATAAAAATTATTAAATTATAGGCACGACAGCATCGTTTAGGTGCTAATCCTTACATTTCACATTTACAATTTAATTTTCATATGCAACAATATCCATATACAGTACCATTATTAATACCAGGTCAAACATTATATGTAAATAGAGGAATATTATCATTGTATAATATTAATATTTATGATGATTTAGAAGGTAAATTATTATTTAAAAAAAAAAAACTTTAGCATTTTAAACATATTATTTAAATTATTATTATTATTTATTAAATTTTTCATTCATTTTGAAAGATTTTAAAAAATAACTTTAGCATTTTATAATAATATCTAAAATCATCAATTTATTTATTTTTTTTTTTTTTTAAAATAAAATTTAATTTTAATTTTATTTTAAATGCTTGCATTTTTTTTTTTTTTTTTTATAGATGGATATTTTTTACGAATAACATCAAAATTGATGACATCTTGCACAAATGCAGGTATTACTATAACAGATTTAATTTTAAAAATGTTACAATATATGTATCCTAGTCAAACAGTTGTCCCAGGGCCATATATTAGGCCAATGATGTTATTGGCCGAGGAACATGGAATGAAACGATTGTTGAACAATTTATGCGAGGTTATTTGCGCAGCATTTTTGTCAAATGTCAAATGTCATAAATATTATTTGCATAAAAAAAAAAAAAATTCAGGAATGTCTTCATGGCATTTTTAGTATAAATATATTTTTTATTAAAATTTAACTATTACAAATTTATCTAATAAATGAGACATTTATTTAAAAATATTAAAATGAATTTATTGCGCTAAAATTTAAATAGTCAAAACAAATAAACTTAGATTCGACTGGTTTGAATTTATGGGAATTGTTTTAAAATTTAAAATTTAAGTAATCAAATCAAATGAATTTGTTAGGTCGAAATAAATTTGAATTTGTGGGAATTGTTTTAAAATTTAAAAATTTAATAATCAAATCAAATGAATTTGTTAGGTCGAAATAAATTTGAATTTATGGGAATTGTTTTAAAGTTTAAAAATTAAGTAATCAAATCAAATGAATTTGTTAGGTCGAAATAAATTTGAATTTATGGGAATTGTTTTAAAGTTTAAAAATTAAGTAATCAAATCAAATGAATTTGTTAGATCGAAATAAATTTGAATTTTGGGAATTGTTTCAAATTTAAAATTTAAGTAATCAAATCAAATGAATTTGTTAGATTTAAATAAATTTGAATTTATGAAAATTGATTAAAATTTTTATCATTGAATTTAATTATTATGTATTATCATCGAAGATGCTTGCACTTGAGCCAACATTATCACCAACAACAATGCTTGAACATTTTGAACTTGCAAATCGTTATCATCATTTAAATTTATTAAATGCAAATCTTATACGCATGGAAGGAAGGTAAATATTTCAACTTTATTAAATTTAAATTTAAATTTAAATAGTAGGAAAAAAAATTCATTCATTTTTTTTTCCCATTTTTCTTTTAGTTTCAAACGAAAAGTTGGTGAAATGGTTGCATTAGAGAAATTTGATGAATTACCAGATGAAATTCAACAACAAATTTTGGATCGATTATATTCTGGATGGGCATTAAATGATCAACGTTTAGCAAAGTAATTTTTTTTTTTTATAAATTTAAATTTTTTTTTTTTTTTTTGGTGCAAAAAGAGAAAAACGAAAGAAAAAAAAATCAAACAAACAAAATAGTTTAAAATTTTATTTTAGATGAAAAATTATTATAAAATTAATCAATAATGCTATCTTTTAATATATCATTTATATAAAATTTTATTTTTGTTCTTTTTTTTTAAATTTATATTTCTTTAATAGTGTACCAACTACAAATATGGAACGAACAATAACATTAAATAGCGGTGGATCAAAGCCAAATGAATATGAAAACGATCCAAATTTGCTAACTTTTCAAGGTATGAAAACAGCAGATGCATTTGGTTCTGTGGAAGAAATAAATATTATTGATGCTTAAAATTTTTATAATTATTATTTTATTCTGAAATTAAAAATTGATATAATACAATGCTTGTTTATATGAAATAAACAAATTTTTTTTTATTCCTTTATTTTATTGTTGAGAGAAATTAGAAGCTAATTTGAAGCTAAAAGATAGCTAATTAAATCAAAAATAATTAATTGTATTTATTCGTTTGTAAATTTATTAATCGTTAATTTTTATTTTATTTCAACATTTAATTGTATATATAAAGCAATGAAATAAAACGATATTTTAGGGTTTTTTTTTTTTTTCAATAATTTAAATGTTGAAATAATAATTAAATTTGTTGTTGTCGGTCGTTGTTTTCATTTATTTCATTTATTCGTTCTCTTTCTGGAAAAGAAATTTTTTTTTAACAAAATGTTGCAGAAATCAATCAAATCATTCCGGCATTCATTCAGGAATGCCGGAATGATCAGGAATATATATTATGGTACAATTGTACTAAATATTTTAAAAGATATAAATATATGAGCATTTTGTAAAATTCAATTTATTTCAAAATATCTTCCTGATTTAAAATTTTTGATTCCATAATTGATCAAAAATTTTTGTACAAGTGCTTTTTTTTTTTATTTTTCTTCACTTTTTTTTTTTTGAAATTTAAAAATCTTTTTAATTATGAAATAATTTTGCATTCTCAAATTTTACTTGATACTATTTAAATTTAAATTTGAAAAAAGAATGTCAATTTTGTATCTTTTCAAATACATTTTAAACTTTCTGCTCTTTTTGTAATACTTGAAAAACTAATTTTTTTTTAAAATAAAGTATAGATGATCGATGAATACAATGATATAATAAATTGACTTATAAGTACTCACTTTTTTTTTTTTTTTTCAAAAAATGAAATCTCTAAAATCTTCTAGAAAATTCATCAGATAAATTAAACTTACATCTTTTGATTGCTTTTTTTCTTTTCGAGAATCCAATTGGTCACTATTCGATGATTCAGATTCATCATCTGCAACAGCAATTACCGCATTTGATGCTAATTTTGTTAACTTTTCGGCTGGCTTTAACTCTTCATTTTTTGATAACGGCAATACGGATAATGTCTGAGTTGTTGATTTTACCGGTTTCACATCACCAGTTAATTTAATCATTTCTGATTTTAGCGATTCGTTTGCAACTTTTGATGATGTGGTTTCTGTTTCCGGTAGAGATGGTATAGTTAAAACTTTCATTCCTAATTTCTTAGTGGATTCGGTTGATGATAATGCTGATGAGATCAGCAAATCATCAGTCTCTGATTTTCCGGAAGGTTTAAGTGATTTCGATGATTGAGTCGGAATTTTGATTTCTGGCACTGTAATCTGTTTTTTTCGTGGCGTTAGTACTACAGATGCATGTTGCGCTTCTGGTGTTTCTATGGATTCTTCTGATGGCGGTGATTTTGCAGATGATTGCTGCGTTTTTTGTGTTTTTATTGATTCTTTTGGCGCGAATGATTTTGCAGGTGGTTGTGGCGCTTCTGTTTTCTCAGATGATTGCTGCGTTTCCTGCACTTTTATTGGTTCTTTTGACGCCAGTGATGTTGCAGGTGGTTGTGGCGCTTCTGTTTTCTCAGATGATTGCTGCGTTTCCTGCATTTTTATTGGTTCTTTTGACGCCAGTGATGTTGCAGGTGGTTGTGGCGCTTCTGTTTTCTCAGATGATTGCTGCGTTTCCTGCATTTTTATTGGTTCTTTTGACGCCAGTGATGTTGCAGGTGGTTGTGGCGCTTCTGTTTTCTCAGATGATTGCTGCGTTTCCTGCATTTTTATTGGTTCTTTTGACGCCAGTGATGTTGCAGGTGGTTGTGGCGCTTCTGTTTTCTCAGATGATTGCTGCGTTTCCTGCATTTTTATTGGTTCTTTTGACGCCAGTGATGTTGCAGGTGGTTGTGGCGCTTCTGTTTTCTCAGATGATTGCTGCGTTTCCTGCATTTTTATTGGTTCTTTTGACGCCATTGATATTGCAAGTGGTTGTTGCGCTTTTGATTTTATGACTGATTCTTCTAGTTTTTCAGATGATTGTTGCGTTTCTTGTATTGCTATGAGTTCTTTTGGCGCAACTGATACTACAGATGCCTGTTGCGCTTCTGGTGTTGTGATGGATTCTTCTGATGGCGGTGATTTTGCAGATGATTGCTGCGTTTCCTGCACTTTTATTAGTTCTTTTAACGCTATTGATATTGCAGGTGGTTGTTGCGCTTCTGCTTTCATAGTAGATTCTTCTGATGGCGGTGATATTTCTGGTGCTATTACTGGTGGCATCGGTACTGTTTCTACTGCTGGTTGCTGTATTTTAGGTATTGCTATAGGTTCTTTTGATGGTGGCACCGATGGTGACAAGACTAATAAAGTTGGTTGCTGTGAAGTAATTTCATTCGATTTTACTGGTGATTTTATGCTTAAATCAGAATCTGATTCTATCTCTGATTCCTTTGATTGAATGCTCAATTCAGTTTTACGCTCTTCCATTACTTTTAACTTTTCAGATTTATCTTGTTCTAGTGATTTGATCTTCTTCCGACTAAGTTTTTTAGCTTTTTTCATTAAATGATCTGAGGGTAACTTTGTTGTCTTCTTTAAAGGTAAAAATTTTCGATCGGAATCAGTTGTAACTTGACCGGAATTAGCTGTAACCTCTTTCATTCCTTTTTTTTCAGATTCGGTTGTATGACGTGTGATATCATCAGCGCATTCTGTTCGATCAATCTCTTTTGTCTCCTAGAAATAAAAAAAAAAAAAAGTTCAATCGCATAGTTATTAAAATTCAAAAAATTTATTGTCCAACTGAAGATTAGTTATGTTAAATTCTAAAATTTGAAATTTCACAGGGCAAAAACTTCATGCAATCTCGAAGTTGATTTTTGAATGCAATCTCGAAGTTAACAGTGATGCAGTACTATCGATAACATTTCAGGAATCGGACATTTACCATTGATAGGAAGAAAATTTCAAGTTATTATTCATTTAAAATAACTTATATCGTCTTAATCCTTCATTTAAAATTTACACATTCACAGTGTCACCTCTATACATTCCGTAGCTTTTTCTATTTCATCATCAGTTTTTCTTTCTTCTTGGCTTTCCGGAATATCATCCGAAAATTTCCGCTCTTCCATTTCCTTTGATAAACTTCGACGAGGTTTTGCTAAAAAAAAAAAAAATTAGACTAAAAATTGTTAATTTGAAATTGTTACTGCTCGTTTCACTTTTTAATGAATGCATGAAAATTTTACAAATTTTTTGGGATTTGTTTCAAAAAAAGAAAAAAATGGATGAATAATCGATTTCCTATTAGATATACAAATCAATTTTAATGATTATCTTCGATTATTATCAATTATATTTTCTATTTTTGTTGCCTTACATTTTGTTTTTTTCATTTTCTCAAAAACACAATTTTAAATTTGAGTCAAAAAACAATTTTGCATGCAGAAATTGAACACAAATTTAAACTATGGAACTCTTTTTTTAAACTTAATTTTAAAAAATTGTTAAATTATTAAACTTAATTAACTATGCTACCTGAATTTCTAATATTTTTTTAATTTCTTTCCTTTGTTTGAACCAAGAGGAGCACTTCTAGTGACATAATTAATTTTAAATTTTAAACCTGCTGATCGTTTCACTTGTTTTTTAGATGTTTTATATTCTTTTCGCTTCTTTTCCTTCAATTTTTCTTTTTGCTGCTTTTTTTTTGTTTTTTCAAATTTTTGTTCAGCTTCATCCTCGGCAATTAATTCATTAGCATCCTCTTCAGTTGTCTGAAACTATCGGTTGACACAACAGTAGCAATTAATAATGCTATCATTAATTTAAAAACAAAAAAATTATGGATTATAAAATTATAACATAAGCTAACAGTATTAGCAATAGGAAAAATTAATAAGTAATATTAAATTTTAAATTTGAACATAACAATATGATTTATATTACTTTATATTAAAATGATTTCTCTACAAGAAATAATTGCTTATCAGTATAAACTAACTTGATACTTATTGAAAATTAATTTAATTAATTAGCAAATGACATAGGATAGAATTAAACTGAAAATTTATGAGTGAATCTTTTGAATTTAGCATTTATAGTTTAACACATAATGTTTAACATTATAATATATTAATTAAATTTAGATGATTATAAAATTTATTTTGTTTATTTTATCAATCAATTAACATATCAACTAACATCCGGTTTTAACATCATGGATGCTTGTGTTGGAGCATCCGGTTTTAGCATAACTGGTGAACAGAGGGAACTAGTCAAAGGAGAAGATAACATTGAAGAATTTGAACCACTCGATGAAGTTGGTGTTGTTGTTGTTTTTTCTGTTGTTGTTGTTGTTGTTTTGGTTTCAGTTTTTGTTGGTTGCAAATCTTGCTTCCATTTAATTTTACTACGCATTCTGCTATGTGCCGGTCTTCGTTCTACTTCAACCTCCTCAAATTCCGTTTTATCATTTTCATCATCATGTTTTGTTGATTTTCTTAAAAGATATAAATTAATATATTATATTAAATATTCGTCATAATTCATATCATTAGCTAATAGATAATAATGATTATCAGTTATAACGAGTTAATAGATAATAATGATTATCAGTTATGGCAGTTAATAGATAATAATGATTATCAGTTATAACGAGTTAATAGATAATAATGATTATCAGTTATAACGAGTTAATAGATAATAATGATTATCAGTTATAACGAGTTAATAGATAACAATGATTATCAGTTATAACAAGTTAATAGATAATAATGATTATCAGTTATAACGAGTTAATAGATAATAATGATTATCAGTTATAACTATAACAGAAAAACAAAAATCATAAATTTTTGCAAGTTATTTAAAATATCTCGAATATAATTTAATATTTTGCCACATAAAAGATTCATAAAAATACAAAGTAGTAATGTAAAACATTTATTATTTAACAAAGTGAAAAATTTAATTAATTCATAAACTATTTTAAGGAAAAAGGGTTTTTATTTGTTTATTTTGCACTTAGAATAATTTACCTTCGTTGTGCTTTTCGCCAATTTTTTCGTTTATGTTTATCTCTAAAAAAAAAAAAAGAATATATTATAAGTCGAATATTTAATTTTTAATCTCTTTGATTTATGTGTAAAAATTTTCTTCTCTGTCTTCAAAAAAAAATAAATAAATAAATAAAAAATAAATAATAATATATAAACATAGATATGAATAAGCGTTTGGTTATTTTATGAATTGCTTAATGAATGAATAATAAATTTACTGTCAACTTTTAATTTGGAAAAAAAAAGATATTTGGTGACAGTTTTTTTTTAATTACTTAATAATGACATTTTCTTAGTGCTACCTGTTTTATTCTGAAATTAATAGTAATTTAAAAAGTAAGACAAACTGCACTTAAAAAGTATAATTATCAAATTCTAAGGAATTCAGTTGTAAATCAAAAAACGGAAACTTTTAAAAGTAATTTAAATTTATATTTAATTGAAATTCTTATTAAATCAAATACATTCTTAACGATTAATCCGATTGAAATAAAAACTAAAACATTAACTTATAAAAAAAAAAGTAGAACGATGAGAAAAATAATTTAAAAGATGAGCGATATCTAACGTAGAGTTTAACTTTTAAATTAATTTTTAAGATAGAAGATGAGAAATATTTGAAATTAATTGTAAATTTACATATGACAGAGATTATAGCATAATTTAACTTTAAAAAATATCATAAAAATGTCAACATATTAAGTAAAATTTATATACCTTGATCGACTTTTTTTAGATTTACTTTTGCTTTCTGAAACAATCGATATTTTATTAACAAAAAGATAACAAAAAATGTTATTACATTTTATGAATGAATTTATTTCATATCTTTTTAGAAATATTCAATTAATGATAGATTAATTATTTCCAATTCTCTCTTCTAGATCATAAATTCAGAGTAAAATTCATGCAAACTACTTTTTTTTCTAAGTTTTCCTCCTATAATTTATTTGTATGTTTTTTTTTTTTTTTTTAAATTGATTTTAAGAATTTTTAAAATTGATTTTTAGATAAAATACTATAATTGTTGTAGGGGAAAAAGTAATTGATAATATCAAAATATTAAGAAAAATTTGAAATGAATATCTAGATATGATAGAATTCAAATGCAAAATAAATCTAATTGATGTCAATTTAACATATAATTTAAATTTAATCATTTTCATTCAAATCTTTTCAAAATTTTCAAATTTATTCACTTAAAAAGTTTTTTTTTCGTATTACAGCAAAGAGTCAAAATAAAATTAATTAATTTTTATAAATTTTAATTTTCATTTAGAATTGATAATTTCAAGTGTTTCAATGTTTTTTTTTTTCGATTTCAGAATACTTACTGCGAAAGGGCCGCATTAAAACAATTGAAAATTCGATTTGAAACTTTGACTCACTCTGAATTAACAACCACTTATTATACATTTAAAATTTGCAAATGAGGAATTGAGATGATTGTGACAATTTATATTAATTAATTCCAGTAATGAATAATATATATTTCATGCATTATAAGTAATTTCACTTACAGATTTCAATTCTATTCCATTTAATTTAATTTAATTTAATTTAATTTAATTTCATTTTATTTCATTTCGTTTGATTCCATTTCATTTCATTTCAGGTTCAATAGAAACCAAATGACGATATGTGACACTGACTGATCGAATATTTTATTCCTTCAAATCTGTTCATTCTCAACAATTTACTACTATTTCTTGAATGATTAAGTGTATTAATTTTTGGATGTAATATGTTCGATGTTTAATTGGTACTTCATTTCAGAATATCTATTAATTAACCTATGACCTCGGAACATATAATACACATGTTTATTGATTCATTCATTTACCTTACCCAGCAACTGAAAATTCCATCTCAGTGAAAGTAGAATATTTTGTAGGAATGTCATGAATTTAAGGAAGCAGTTAGTTTGTGTGCTTTAGGAGAAAGAAGATTCCAGCTGTGAGTGTAAATGTTTTAGAGGATGATGTCACGTATTGAATTAGGTAAAACGTGTTTTAGAGGATGATGTCACGTATTACGCTTCTTTCCTGTGTTATATGAGCATGAATAAATGTAATCTGAGCAGTTACTAAAGTTATACTTGTTTGTACTTTCATGATTAACGCTTTTGCATGATTTTAATGTTAAGAAATGTGGTATAAGTAATGTTAAAAAATTGTTTTTAACATGTCAATTATATAGACTTGTTATACACTTTCATATCAATTCTACCTTATTTACCTTTCTTGGTGTTTTATCTGTGTAAATCTTTTAATTTTCTGCTTTTGCTCATTATTTTGCTCAGTACCAATGTCTGAATTAAATTTATTATTCTTATATTACTAAGATCTTATTTACATTGGTTTAAGTATATTACTTAGTTCATATTAGATATTCTTCATTTATTTCATTTCAGTTCTCACTTATTTCAGCTTATTGATATATATTTTAGCATATTTAGGTCCATATTAACTACATATGAGTATCACTTGATTATTATATAATAAGTATCCCTTAGCTACTGAAATTCATGAGCTAATATATATATTATTTTCTTTGTATTTGTTTATATTACGTAACATTGCGTTGTTTTTATTCAGTTTCTTTTTTCTTTTGGCATTCAGTTATTAATCATTTCAGTAATACTAAAAAGTGATATACAAAATTGCCAAATATGGGTGTACAGCTGGATCAACCCTTGTTCGATTTACCCGAAGTGTTCGATAATCGTAGTGGTTGGGGACCTGTTGGAACGTTGGATAAATTTCAGAATTTACCCTACCAACAATTCAATAAAGCCGATAAAATTGGCAAAGTAGCGGATTGGATCGGTGTCACGCAATATAATGATCGATTCAGACGTGAGTTTTTATAGATTACTTTGATTCTACTCGACAAGACGTATTATTCGTTTTGTTGAGTAGCAAGATTTGTAGGTATCGAGATAGCAAATAAATTGAAGAAATTTTGGATAGTTGGCAACAGATCATCCGGAATCTCACATTTTAATGCAGCTCCACAGTTGATTAATTATATTCAGTTTGATTTTTACCAATTGAAATGCATGAAATTCTGAGCTAAAGTTAAAGTTACACCAGCACAAAAATATCTGATAGATCGAATTTCAACATCGAAAGTTTAATGTCTTAATCTGTATTAATTTTAGGAGATGGTCGATACGGTAATCCATATACATCTGGTGCTGTTGGTTCGCAGTATGATTATGTTCACGACGAGGAAGATGCGACATTTCAACTTGTTGATACAAGTAAACCCCAACGATCGAACATGCAGAAGAGTGGTCGTATGCGACAACAGCAACAGTTCTATGTAAGATTGGTTTCCTTTCTTTCTATTTGAGTAAATACGCAGTTGGCTTAAAATTGCCGAAATCTTTTTGAAATAATCAATTAAAGAGAGAAGTTTCGCAAGGTCATTTTCTCTTATAAATTATTTAACGTAAAATTTTATTGTAACGAGTCATTCAGTTAACTGATTTTAGCATTCAGTCGAACTTCTGCATTGACTTTTTAAGACTATAGTTGATGATACCACCATAACTATCTGATTTTTATGCATGAGTACCTGATTGATTTATCTAATAATAAATAAGAAATGTTTACTTTCAAAATAAATAAGCATGTTATACTCATTAGCTCTCTCAATTTTTTTGCATAAATTCTTGCGTTGTTTACAGCGAAGATTGGTTCAAAAAGAAAATGAACGAAGAAATCAAGCAAATTATGGGCAAAATCAAAAGATTAAGCGTAGCATTGCAAAGTAAGTTAGAATGGAACGGTTTATCTTTTTCTTTTTTTATTACAAAAATTCTTTATACTGACATTGTGATTTTTTAAGAGAGCAGCAGAAAGCATTCAAGCAATGGCAACGACGTGGAGGTGGCACACGTGGTCGTGGTCGTGGTGGACAAGGTTATAGTCGGTGGGACCAACGTAATCAAAAGCAATTAGCTGCAAGTATTGCTGTACGTCCTGAATGGCAAGTTTTGGAAGAAATGGATTTCCCACGTCTTGCAAAACTTAATCTACCAAATATTGATTCAGGCCAAGATATGTATGTTTTGATAAATTTATCGTTCTAACAACACAGATGATAATGTAAAGAAACTCATGTGATTGCGAAAAAAATCTGCTTGAAATGAATTTGCCAAAAGAGATCAAATTTTGATGATTTTGCAGTTGCACACTTTTTTTCAGAAATGGCCATCGTTATGGTCAGCTTTATTATTACGATAAAGCATTTGATCGTGTTACGGTGCGAACGGAGAAACCGTTACAGCGTTGTGGTGGTACATTTTATAATTTAACAACAACCGAAGACCCTATAATTCAGAAGGTTAATTACTTAAGTTTCCTTCCTCAAATGCTTATGTTTTTCATTGGAAATCAAAATCAAATTAAGACCATATTGTTTTGTTTTATTTTTTAATCAAAAACAGGTTTCGTTTCAGTTAGCTCATGAAAATGCTGGGAATGTTTTCGCAACAGATATGATATTGGCAACGCTGATGGCGGCTACGCGATCAGTGTATAGTTGGGATGTTATCGCGTATCGTGTTGGTGATAAGTTGTTCTTTGATAAGCGCGATACGGGTGGTTTTTCGAATCCAGTTGGTATGTGTTGCTCCTTGATAATTTCACCTAATAAATGCTCTCTAAACCATTAGATGATATTCGGAAGATAATTGTTTATGCTTACTCTTCTAAAATATCCCGTGAAAGCAATATGGAGCAATTTTTCGACTAAATCTAATCTATTCCTAGTGGATAAGCTTGAGTATTTGCTCGCTTAAGCAAATGACTACCAGAAAACTACCTATTTTATCTACCAGATTTCAGTGTTTTTACTTTTAGATGCTTTAACCGTGAGCGAAACCTCACCAGATGCTCCAAATAGTGACGATACCACAAGTATTAATCATCCACGTAATCTTGCTACGGAAGCTCTCTACATAAATCAAAATTTTCGTCGTATGGTACTCAAAAGAGTAAGTTTATGATACATTGAAGACATTCATTTTTACAAGTAACATTTCTATAAGTAATATGGGTACTAATATTGAAATTTTGCTGTATTGATTTTCAATCGAACTTTAGAACGAGGAACCGTTCAAATATGATAATCCACGTCTTCCATTCGATGAAGGTGATACGGATGCTGATTCATGCGTTGCATACAAGTTAGTTTTGTGCAATTTCTGGATATTAATCTGCTATTTCTTGTCTTATTAGCAATTTAGACGAACTGAAATTTATTCCGCTGGTCGATATTTCATTGTCGACATTTCATCACTAACACATTGACTTTATTGTCGAAATTCTATATTTATAAATATTTTGACAGAAATTCAAGATACTATTGTTTTTAAAACTTAAAATGATGCATTCATTTTATACTTATTGGTTAGATCATTTACTCCTTATACATTTACTTGAAAGCTCTGACAGAATCCGCTGCTTCCCAGGGTGTTTTTAATTAAAGCAAATCTAATCAATTTGTGCTTGCACTAATCTTGTTTTGTTAAGATTTTATTGTTTTATTAAATCCAATTTACTTTCATAGAGTTAGCTGAATATAGTAGGTGAGTTATGGATTGGAGCTTAAGAAATATAAATGTGTCGAAACACTGTCATTAACGAAAATTTGATATTTATTGATATCACCTATAAAAATATTTGTGATGAATTAAAGATATCGTTCGTGGTATTTGGGACGTCAAGCAGATGGTACGGATGTTCGTCTAATTTGTCGTACGGAACATGATGGCGTTACTACAGGACCAAACGGCGAAACACAAATGTTGACTATAAAAGCATTCAATGAATGGGATTCAAGGGTTTAAATTTAATTTGAGTTACATGCACGATAATAATCAAAATAGAAACAATAGGATTTATGAACTTGAATAATCATAATGAAATATGAAATAGAAAGAAGTGATGAGTATGCAGTGTTGATAATGTAATTGTCGAGAAAAATACGTTGGTTAAAAATTAAATTCCAGATGGCCAGTGGTGTTGACTGGAGAAGTAAGTTGGACACGCAAAAAGGTGCAGTACTTGCTACAGAACTGCAAAATAATAGTTGCAAATTAGCCAAATGGACATTACAAGCACTTTTGGCTGGTTCAGACCAAATTAAATTTGGGTTGGTTTCTACTTTTTTGGAATGGAATTTCAGAGACTGGGAACAGTATATTGAAATTTCAGCTATAAGCTTTTAAGAGGTGTAGGAACGACTAGTTTGACATGTAAGTGTAAGTTGTAAAGTGTTGGTGCTAAAATTTTCGCTGTAGTAAAAGTTCTTACATTTTGGGTCAGTGAAAGTTTTTTTACTAATTCTTTGATAATCGGACAGGTTTACATTTCCGACTGTTTTTTTTTTTTTACATTTCTGTTGCTATTGGAAATTTAAATTTAATTTCGGAATTTCTTTTTAGATACGTTTCACGTCTAAGCATACGCAACAGTGCTAGTCATGTCATTCTGGGTACTCAACAATATAAACCAACTGAATTTGCGACAAATATTACATTGAATTTGGATAACGCTTGGGGCATTTTGCGCTGTATCATTGATCACTGCATGAAACAGCCACCGGGAAAATATCTTTTGCTAAAAGATCCAAACAAGGTTTGAGTTTTGTCTTTTTAGCTGTCGTGGATTGAACTGGGAAGAGAATAATGGTAGTTTTTAGGCTGTATTCCAGCGTTAAGTAACAAATATAAATTCTTGCGACTACAAAAAAAAATGTAAATCCCTACGATTTCATTTATCTCAGTCAATAATTAGTCTACTTTCACCACTTTTTATATTTGGTTAAGGATAAAGGTAATAAAGGTAAGGTTTGTATCTTTTTTTTTCTGATGTTTGTGATCAAATACTCATCCTTGGTTTTATAAGGGTCATGTCTGTGAATTATAAGGTCGACTTTTCAGTACTGTCCGTATTTCAGCTGTACCAATAGAGTAATTTGAATAGTCTTTTTCAGCAAGCAGTACGACTTTATTCATTGCCTGAAGGAACGTTCGAATCCAGTACTGAAGAAGAAAGCAGTAGTTCGGGTGATGACAATTCAGATGATGATGTTTAGATTCAGAGAGAATCTGGGAATTGTTAAAAACCTGGAGAAATTGTGAAATATCTATTAGCTTAGATTTTTATGATTCAAGTTTTCTTGATATTTTATGTGTTTTTCATGTCTTTGTTCACATTTTGACATGATTCATTATCACAGTTGTGAAATTTCTGTTTAAGAAAAATATAGATTTTTAAAATCTGAAGTTTGTTCTGTTTTATGGATTATAAGTTAATACTGCATTGCAATTGTAAATGTTAAGATTTTCATCTTCTTTATCCTGACTGAAGATTTTTTAGATTCACTAGGATTTCTCGAATCTCTTTATGGATTTTAGGATGAATAGGGGAAAATTTTTTTTATCCTTTCGTTTTCCTATGATTTCCGAGTATTTGTTACTGTTATGTTGTTGTTGTATTGCTCTAATTTGTTAAAAATGACGGTGAAGTATTTTAATGAAATGGGAAAACTATCGTACGGTAGTACTTCCAACATGCAATGATTCAAGCGGAAACAATCCAAGATGAGAAGACTGAAAATATTTCCATTATTATATTATCAGATACGAAATATATTCATCAGATACGAAATATTGAATAAACAAGTGAAAATGATAGCATAACGATGAAAAAGTCGGACCATGAAGAAGAAAAAAGTGCCCAGAAAGTTGATATTCTTGTAATTTCACTAAAGAAATTAGATTTCTGGTATAAATGTGAGTCAATTTGCATATGTGAAAGGAAGATATTAATGAATAATATACCGTTTATGAAAGATTTTGTTGCTTTTTTAGCACATGTTCAATAAACTTTTTATAAAATCTCTTCCAAACTGTAATTCCTTATGCGAAATTTCAAAACTATTTTTGATCTGTTGTATTCAGAGTGTAAATTAGCTTAGTCATCATTTTGCACTTTGCAATCTTTCAGTCAAATATTTAGAATGGTAGTAAAATCTTTTCAGGAATAGTTTTAAAAATAACATCCTTTTGCTTCATTCCTCCATCTCTTCTCCTTCTTTCTTCCCTCCTTCCCTCTCCCATGGAAAGAAAGAAAAGTTGTGGCGTAGCGAGATATGGTATCTGGTCTGTATGAGTTGTTTTTGTTTTTTTTTTTTTATTTTTGGATAGAAGTATTGGTTGTGCTAAATGATTGTAATACTTTGTCTTGATAATCCAATATCGAATCGTGAAATTCTCTCTAAACTGAAATATTATTTTATTATTCAACGAATTCGATTTTTTTTCTTTTTTCAAATATAATTATTAGTGCATCTTTTATTTAAACAATTGCTTTTATTCATACTATTGCTGAAAAATCTTTGACGTTACTTTATATATGTTACATTGATTATTATTATTATTATTATTATTATTATTATTATTATTATTATTATTATTTTGCATTATTGTTACTTAATTTCAGGTTGTTTAAAATTAATTGATGATTGTTAAATGGTGGAATAATTTGATTTTTAGTTTCAGATTTGGTTCCTTTTTAAAAGTACGTTAAACGGAAGTACTGATATGCAAGCAGTATTAGCATTGTGTTACTTCTGTGAAACTCATGGTCCTCGAGTATTGATGACAACACAATCGATTCCCGAGAATCTGCGGCAGGATTATTGTTTACCAACTACTAGTAAAGGATCTCCAACGTTTATCTCGGCTGGTTAGCTTGTCATTTTCCAATTTGCAAATGTTTCGTGTGGAAATAAACTTAAAAACATTGAACTCTAAGTCTTTTAAAATTTTTTGACGTTCTTTATATATGTTCTTCTAGTTCATTACAGATTCTTTTTGATGTTCAAATTGCAAAATACAATTTTTCTTTTCTTGTTTATAAAAAGGAATGAGCAACTTTTTTTGAAAGGCATAAACACAAAGATAACGGGATAACTTGCACGAATAAATAACGTAGCAAAGATGAAATATATATTAAAGATTTGCATATTTTTAATTTGCAAGAGATGAAAAATGGGATTATGCTGCCTTTATCTTATTACATATCAATCTAAGTAGCGGAAAAATTTTTGCAATCTCAAAATGTAGATAATTGCTTAATTTTTTTGTTACTTATGTTATTGATGTGGTTTATTTTTCTTTTTTGGTTTAAGTGATTGTACTCTATTTTACATTTATCATTTGTTATGAGCAGCGAAGTGATGTGACTTCTAATTTTATTTAGTTTAATCTCATTTTTTTTTTTTTCAGAAAGTTTTCGTACTCATTTAACTGAAGAATTACGTTGTGTTGCATGTACATCGTTCGTTGATGGTACTGGTCTAATTACAGATGATGTTGAGGCTGGAATAAGCTATATTACTACACAGGTAATAGATTTCTCAGAAACGTCATAGTAATTGTACGCCCATACTTTTCATGTTTTATTGTGCTAATGTTTAATCAATTCTAAAGAATAACACATTGTTAATTAGTTAATAAAGGATTTAAAAATTCAAGTGTAATGCTTTGTGTCTAATTAAAGGTTTTGATTGGAGTGTCTAATTATTGTATTAGTTGTAGATGCTTTTTTAAATACACATTTTAGGTTGCATTAAATGACCGAGTATATCAGTTGGTGAAATATTCGTGTCTTCATTCATTAAGTTGTGAAGTGACGGCCACTCCGAAAGATGAAGCGCCTATGAGTCCGATGAAATCACGTGCAGCATCGATACCGCTGGGCGCAAAAAAATGGGAAAGTCCATGGGAAAAAACAAATACGGAGGCGAAAGATGGTGTAATTTTATTCGGGGATGATGAACATGGCTATACATTATCCTATACGTTCAGGTTCTGCATAAACAGATAGTATTTTCCTGAACTTTGATTTCGGAACTTGTCATTCTTTTCTTTTATTAGTTCAGATTTTATCTTTTAATTTCTTTCTGCACATTTGCTTTTATTGAAAAATTCTTCATCACTTGTCATGGATAACACATAAAATACTAAAGAATGTAATGTTATAAATAAGTTGTAACAGTTCAAGTTTCTTGTTTAGTCAAATTTTAAATGAAATCTGTTCTCGTGAAATTTTTCTCATGTAAATGAAATTTGTTTGCTGTGATTCTGCATTTTTAATTCCAGATTACGTGATTACAAAGCACGCGGCTTTTTACGTCTTCTTTCACTTATCCTTGTATCTATAGATAAATTATTTATCACCAGCAATTATCACTTCTTTGTTTCAACAATGTCATCTGCTATTCGATTTTTGCAGGTTATGCTATGTTAAATAATATATTTATGAGTTATAAACTTATTTTTAATTTATTTACTTCGTCCGAAAATGAAGGATAGTTGGGCAGATTTATTTACGAAATTCCATGCACACTAAAATTTGGTGTGCAGATGTTCATCATAAAATCAGTGAATTGTAATGGTTTTTGTATGACTATCCCTTTTTCATTTATTTTTTCTTTCAATTTATCTCAATTTTGAAAATGTTTAGATGGAATCGAATATGGTTTTTGACCGTGAACAAAATGATCCAACCAATGAAATGCTAAAGCAGGCTGCAGCATCACGTTCCTCACTACTACCAGCACATTTTTTGCGTGCTCATGTTACTAGCCTCGAATTGGATACATCACGAAGTTTAACTGTAATTACCGGTCGAACAGATATTTTCACACAGTTGCACATGTAAGACTTTTTTTTTTTGGTTAGGATTCAAAGACTTGAAATAGCCAGACCAGACAAACTGTGTCTTATTATCAAATCATTTATTTGCCCTATATTCCGTTTTATCTATTGGTAGTTGTTACTGATGAACAACTTTTTTTTTGGCTTTACCTTTGTCATATATGTAAAAGTATTCCATTACTTCTTTTAAATACCATAAATTCTGTTTGATAATTTTTATTATTTAATTTCTAGGTTTATGGTTTGTATATTGCGTACACAAACACGCCTCTGCAAAGAATATTTATTGGAAGGAGTGCCAACACAGGATATGCTTGTAATGAAAGAACGTGAATTAAAAGTTGATAATGGAACAAATGCTACTGATATAAGTTGTTCAAGACGTTTGGATTGTTTTCAAACATTGCGAAAAATTGCACATATGCTTGAAAGTTTACCAAAAGTTAATGGTCAAAGTATCCTGGAAATTGTTTTAACACAATTGGTTACTGGTGGTCAGGTTATTTTGTATTTTATTTTCTGGAAAACATGAAAAATTGCTGAGTTGATTCATAATTTCTAGTTGGCAAATGCAATATGGGTTAAATATCTCTAAATTAATATATTTAAAGAAATTTTATTTCTTTATATGAAATTTTTTTTCCAGATTGTCTTGAAATGTCATAATGAAGTTATAGCTAAACGTTTTCTGCTTGCACTTTCCAGTCTACTACCATTGGGTTGTGTTCGTATGCTTTATGCAGAGGAATATAGACATGTCTTTGTGTAAGTATTGAATTGTTAACATTTTCTTATATGCTATGTATTATTTATTATCTATTACGATTTATTTAACTATGAAACTATTTCTTTGCTACATACAATACAATAAAAGTTATTATTGTAAGTTATTATTATGTAAGTTATATTTAAAAATGTAAGTTATATTAAAAAAGTTATTATTTTTTAGAGAAAAATTTGAGATACTACTAAAAAAAATTGTTCACACAAAACTTTTAAAAACTAAATTTTCAAGATTTTTAAAGTCAAACTTACTTATAGGTCGAATTTATTTGGATGTCCTCATGAGACCGAATTATCACCTGATGCAGTTGATATTGTGGTTTTATCGTTGGATATATCATTTGACAGAATTCATTCAAGGCAACCGACAATAGAGGAACGTGAAGCCTGTTCACTTTCTTCAGGAAGCTGTATTTCACCTCCATTAAGCACTTCATCTAAGGATGATAATGTAAGAGGATTACTGCGATCATTTATCTCATTTAATATTGCATATGTTCTGGCTATAGCATAAATATTTGTTGAATGTATTCGTACATTTGTTGAAAAAAAAGTTAATGGTGCAGCTTGTTAACCGTTTCTTTCATTATGTTTTAATATATTTATTGTAATCTTTTTTTGTATTTTGAAAAAAAAAAAAAACTTGATCTTTCTATCATTAATTAACATATTATCCTATCCTAATTGTCTCAACAATTTCTCATTCTTAAATTTGGCAAAATAAATTTGAATTTAATGAGATAAATTTTAAAAATTTTTGGGAAGAATTCTTTTTTGTAGATTGTTTTAATGATTAATTAACTTTTTAATTACTAACTAAATATTGGAGGTCGATGAAAGTTTGGCGAAACAGTTGATTGAAATTTTATCTCCCAGAAAGTCGCTTGATTTCGAAGATTATGCATTTACACTGATTGCATATCCGGAATGTACGGCACCAAGATATGGTACACCTGCTATTGTTAATCGCTATAAACAGCTCATATTAGGTAGGCATAGAAGCAATTTCTTCAGATATATTATTAATTACTATTATTAGTCGCTAAATTTGTATTATTAATTGTCACATTTGTTAAGATGTGACTTTTCATTTATGTAATTAGATGATTTTATTTAAGGAATTTAACAAGATTATAGTTTTTTTTTTTTTTTTGAATAATTTTGGAATTAACATTAATCATTAAGAATCTGGATTACCATCAATATTCATTACCATTTAGTTTTGAATAAAACACTGTCTATATACCTAAAATTAATCTTTTAAAATTCTCGAAAGGTGAAATTAATCGATTCTGTTTTCAGAGCATTGCTTGTTTGAATTTTTTTTTGTTTCAGTGCAATTTTTCGATTTTAGATGATGATCTCACATGTCGTGTTCTGGCATCTGTCATCGGAAATACAAGAGAACAATGGCTAAATAAAGCAAAATTGGTTTATCAACTGGGACGACAGAAAGAAAAAATTGATCTGAAAAAAGTTCTTCAAATTATGCGGTGTGCTGAGCAGGTTTGAGATTTTAAAGTTTGAGATTTTAAAAGAAATTATTGGATTTTAGAGACCAATGTTTTGCAGAAATAGATTTCTAACAGTCTTTTCTACGTAGTTCTCTTGATTATTGCAATTTTCTGAGAATAGTTTGTATGATAGAAAATAAGAAAAATAATTGAATTTACACACACTCAGAATTATAGTATTTCAAATATATTTTTATAAAATTGCATTTTAAATATAACTCTAAAATAGTTAAGTAATTTCTTAAATTCTTTCGTCAAGTCTCATTAAAATAGCGCTTATTTAATGTTTTTCTTTTTTTTTCAGGATGGAACAGTCTTGTTATTTTTCCAGGCTGGTTTATCGGATACATATAAACAGCAAATCATGGATGTTATCAAAAAAGGAGTCGCTTAAATTGGACAAATAGTCACCGAACATTAAATTCTTGTCTGTTTAAATTTTGTATTTACCGGTGTTTACCAGCTGCTTAATTTACTCTACGTTTTTTATCATTGTTTTTTTTTATTGTTGTTAGTTTCGCGAAAAACTGAAATATCATGATATTTTATGTGATCATAAGATGCTGTACAGTGAAATTCATTTAATTTTGAAACACGTCTTTCATTTTGATTTCAGGCTGTCAAAATGTATTCTTTCCACTGTTACTATTATCGAGTACTAATAAGGCAGTAATGAGAAGTTTTAGAATAGAGATTTATAGTGTAACATTTGCTAACTATTGCTTTTTCTTATGTTATTGTAAGTGTTATAGCTATGTGTAGTTTAGATAATGAAAGTTTAAATTTTAAAACGATTAAAGTTTCTATTAAAAGTTCAAATTGCATTGATTTGTTTGAAATTTATATTGCAGATAGTTTAGAGATGTTACTATCTAATATCTTCTAATAACAGTCAGATTAATAGTTACCGGTCTGGATAAATTATTTTGACAGTTCAGGTATATGCATTTTAGCGATTCCATACAATTTTTATAAATCATTTGTTGAACAATATTAATTGCTTTTCTGTATAAGCTGTCCTTCGCTTATCAATTTCTTATATTGGAAATTTTGATAGCGTTGTGATACCAAAGTAATTTTTTTTTTCTTCTTCGCTCTCAATTTTTTTTTTTTTTTTTGTGTGTGTGTGTATTATTACGGGTTCTTACAAATAGATATGGTTTTAATCTCTGTATTTTTGCCATTACTTTTTGGCTTCCTTTTTTTTTTTGTTTTAAAATATTTGTGCTTCCATTTATTTCTCTAGCATATTGTTTGGTAGTTTAGAGTTTAAAAAAAGAAAAAAAACGCTTCACTTTGATATATATGGAACAAATTAGCAGAGTTGAAAGTTTAAAAATTAATAAATTTAATGTATATAAGTTTCTAACAGAATAACTTTAAATATATGAATTCATTATCTTATGAAATTGCACATTTATTTACTTAATTTTTCATTTCATAACAAATTCCTATTATCTTCTATCAATTTCTACTTGTTGTACTTCCTTACTGTAACAAGAATGAAGTTGTGCAGAGAAAATCGTGAATGACTAAATTAATATTAAATAGGACTATTTAAGTTTTATTTTTGATAAACCAATATTAATTAGTATTTGAGATGAAATTTTAAAAAATTCAAACTAAATCATATCCTTTTGAAATTGGATTAGTTTGCATAATAAATTCTCGAGAATGACATTTGTCCTATGAATGTTGATTGAGCAGAATTGATGTAATTTGTTCTACCTTTTTCCTTTTTTTTTTCCGGGAATATGAAAAAAGATGATACATATTTTTGTCTAAATTTAAATATTTTAAGTGATTTATTCTATTTATTGACAAAATAAGCAGAAAAAAATTGCACGAAAATATTAAAATATTCTATTAACTTTATAGATTAACAAAGAGTAAATATAATAGTAATCTGTATGATATAAGTGAGATCAATTGGAATTTTAAACAGAAATGTAAAATTGTTTGTAGTTTAAAAAATTTTTAAATTTATTTTCAATCTCGAGTATATTTATTAGTTTTGTTATTGCTGCAACATACTCGTAAATGCTTCATGGTTGATTGTTGACAGGTAAAACCTTCGAGACAATCATCATTGTACATTGTATTGTTATCGATATTCGTGAAACAGCTATAAATTTAAGTATTAAATAGTTTTGCATTAATAAATTCATATTTTAATATGAATTAAAATATATTTTAATTTCTCGACTTCATATTTTAATTTAATTCATATAGCATTTCTCGATTTTATCTGATTCAAAAAAAGTGGTTTGAAAATTCATAATTTTTACTTTTTACGATATATTTGAAATTGTTTCTTTTCGACTTTTTGATAGTTTTTTTTTTTCTTCCTATCTTAATTAATGAATTTATAATCGTTCCTTTTTCACTATCACTTAAGATAATCTAACAATAAATATAAATGCTATTGCAAGTTAATATTTTCCAGTAAAAAAAAGCACTTAAAATTTAAAAAACTTTGAAATATATAATGAGTCACAAAAAATTTTCATAAAAATGGTATAATTTCTAATTTAAGTATATGTTAGATTCAATCATCATTGTTAGCTAAGCTTTATAAAGAGAGAAACTTTAATAATTTAAAAATAATGAATGTATATTTTAAGATTAATTTTTACTCAAAACATACCGTTTAGCCTGATTGGTAGCCGAATCTAATTGCGCTTTTTTTCCTTTTGGACAAAAACCTATTGGTGAACAACAAATAAATCTGCCATTAAGTAATGATGATTGCTTACATAAGTAACCTTTTGGACATATAAAATTGTTATTGCCACAATAGAAAAATCCATCATCAGTAAATTTTCGATATGGAATTCTGTAATGTAAACAAAAAAATTGATAATTAGTGCATAGGTTTAATATTTGAATATATTCATTCTATTTTAGATGGGAAATGTATAAAGTTAAATTAAAATAATTGAAAGAGAAATATACCGATTATCAGGACAAATTTGTATTAATTTTTTCTTTTCCTTACAACATGTAAAATCATTTGTTGTAGTAAAATTGGAACATTCATAATTATCAGGACAAATTGCTGTTGATGAACATGAAACCGGAATAGCATCATTCAGGAATGTTTCACGATCTAAGCAACGTGTCACTTCTTGAATAGCTTTTGGACAGCAAATATGTATTCCTATAATAAGTATTGCTTATATTTTATATTTTCAAATTAAAATGTTAAATTAATGAGGAAAATATGAAATATAATATTAATAGAAACATTTTATTAATTTTATTTAATTGAATTTTGTTCAGTTTTAAAAAAGAAATAGTTGTGTTTTTTATTTTGTATATTTAAAAATATTTGAAATAATAATATTTGAAAATAATAATTATTTAATACTACCATTTATATTGTCAACTTCTTCACATTCTTCATTTAATTGACAATCTGTTAAATGTTCACAATATTTGACGGAATTTGGTGTAATACCGGACGAGCAATGTGATTCAGCAAAGCAACAATACATTTTTGTATTCGTAAATGATGGTTGACAGACAAAATGCTGAAAATTATGCATTATTTTTTAATTTACTACAATGATTCATCGAATTTTTTAAATGAACATTTTACATTTTAAATGTAAATTTAAAATTTTTGAAATTGCAGAATAGCTTAGTTCTATTTCAGACAAAATGCTGAAAATTATGCATTATTTTTTAATTTACAACAATGATTCATCGAATTTTTTAAGTGAACATTTTACATTTTAAATGTAAATTTAAAATTTTTGAAATTGCAGAATAGCTTAGTTCTATTTTCATCTTTTTTTCTCTTATACGCTACTAATTTTTCAAAAATTAAAATAATAAAATTTTTTATAAATTAAAAAATTCAAAGCTTTTTCTTTTTGTATTCGTTGCTTATTCATGTATTATTGCATCTAGAATACTTATGAGTTGTAAATTTAATTAAAGAATTTGAATTTTAAAATTTAAGTAAACTAAATCATTTGAATAATATTTTACTTCTAAAACTTCAAAGCGCTAAAATGAATGAGTCTAAACTAAAGTTTGAAATATTTCAAATATTATGTCACTTTTTCAAAAAAAAAAAAAAACTTTGATATTACTTCAGGACAATTATCTTCTATATCCTCTGAGCATTCCAGCGGTTTTCCATCTTTGTAATATGCAAATCCATTTGTACCACAAACTGCTTCTACCGAATTAACTTTTATTGCCAATGATCTAAAAATGATCTTTTAAAATGATGATCAAATAAAAATCAATAATTTCACACTAAAATTTCTCCTTGGCAAATACAATTATTAAACAAATGATAATTGATAATCATTTTTGCAATGACATTGCAATAACAAATGTGATTTATGTCTTTTTATATACTTTTTTTTTTTAAAATGATAAGATTTTTAAATGTTTTTAATAAATGATAAATTTACTATTGATGAATCAAATTGTCAACTTAAACAAATCCAACATACTCTTAAATTCTATCTTTCTAATTAACCTGAAATTTTGTTAAAAAAAAAACGAAAACAAAGAAAGATTACAAAAATATTTGCAGATTAATACGAAAATGTTAAAACTTTTAAATAATTAAATAAAAAAGGAATAACAAAAGCAGCATCGCAATATTTGTAATTTCTTACCTGAAATGATTATTTGCATTTGTTATCATCAATTGACAGCAAACATTTAAATTAGGTTTATTTGATTTGGAACAAATATAGCCTTTAGGACATTCATTAGAATGTCCCAATGTTGAACAAAAATGAATGTAATGATAAGAGATAAGAGCAGGAATTGATAAATCATGTTGACATCTTATATCACTGACAGATGATAATGGTATAATCGTTTGTTTATTTTCAGTATGAATATTATTACCACAACAAATGTAAAAATTTGCCTAAATCATAAAATAATTCATTATAAAAAAAAAAAATGATTATATGCAATTCAAAAATTTAATTTAAAAATTAAATTTATTTGCAGAGAATTTGCTAATTTTATTATTGTTTTTTTTTATGATTATTCTCTCTCGTTATTTTTAATATTTTTTTCATTTTAACATAAATAATTTTTTTTTTTAAAAAAATGAAATGAAAATATTAGTAATTATTTATCGTATAAAATTTAAGCTTAATGAAATGATTACATTAATACAACATAGCATAGCTTATGATTATTAATAAAAGCTTTAATAAAATATCATTAGATAAATTTAAATTTTATACGATAAATATGTACACTTAGGAAAAAAAAAGTACTACTGGTGATTACAAAAAAAAAAAAAAAAATTGTAATAAATACATTCAAAGTTTATTTATATACTTTGTTTATTTTCCTAAATATAAACATTCAAATTTTTAAAAAACTTTTTTTTTTCCTAAACATCCAAAATTTTTCATTTTCAAACATTCAAAAAATTTCCTAAACATTCAAATTTTAAAATAAACTTTTTTTAAAAATTAGGGTGGTAATTTAACATGAATAACCCAACGGGCAAATATGATTATTTATAATAGTGCATAAACGTTGATCGATTACTTACAAATACATTAGTACTTATTTACAAGTAATATATTAGTACCACTTACAAAGTTTATTGATATACCTAATTTATTTTTTAAACATTCAAATTTTAAAACAAACCAGCGTGGTAACTTGACATGAATAACCCAACGGGCAAATATGTTTATTTGTAATACTACATAAACGTGGTCGATTATTTACAAGTAATATATTGGTACCACTTGCACATCGTATACCACTTCCAAAACGACAACAAATATAGGTACCGTGATATGTGGAATGTGTACATGAATAACCAAAAGGACAACTAAAATTTTAATCAATTTTTTTTTTTGATTTATTTTGATTTATTTACAGTAGTATTTCTTGATTTATTTACAGTAGTATTTTTTGATTTATTTACAGTAGTATTTCTTGATTCATTTACAGTAATATTTCTTGATTTATTTACAGTAGTATTTCTTGATTTATTTACAGTAGTATTTCTTAATTCATTTACAGTAATATTTCTTGATTTATTTACGGTAATATTTCTTGATTTATTTACAGTAATGTGTCTTGATTTTTTTACAGTAATATTTCTTGATTTATTTACAATGGTATTTTTTTGATTTACTTTTAAGTGATTTATTACAATAATACTTTTTGATTTTTTTACAGTAATATTTTTAATTTATTTACAGTAATATTTTTGATTTACTTGCAGTAATTTTTTTTTGATTTATTTACAATAATGTATTTACAAGTATATAATTATATTCATTTTCTTCTTTGTAGTATTAAAATTTTTAAATTTGTTTTCAATTTATATTATTTTCCTAGCTTAATTTACCCTATATCATTTTGTTTAAATATACTTCCATTATATTGTCTTTTTTTTAATTTAAAAATGCTCTTTTTTTTTTACTTATTTACTAAGCTAAACATTTTCCAATGTTCTTTTTGATATTTGTTCCTAAAATTCAAAATTAAAAGAAAAGGACAATTTTTTTTTATATAAAAAAAAATTACCTTGTATCAGTGATACCATTGCAAAATTGCTTATCACCTGTTTGATAATCTTCATATGGATGCCAAAAAGTTGGACATTCTGGTTTTATTATTTTTGTTGAAATTGATGCTGTTATTACTTTTGTTGTTATTGTTGTAGCAGTTGTTGTTGTTGTTGTTGTTGTTGCAGTTGTAGTTCTCGTGGTTGTTTTCATTTTCTTTTTTTTTGTCGAAATTGATAAAGTACTTTTAAAGTTTGCAATTTTACTTGTTGTTGTTGATTTTAAACAACACACCGATATATTTGGATGATTCGATTTTGCACATTCATAATTTACAGGACAATTAGTTGGATATGAAAAAGGATTGCATGCATAAGTTTGACCTGAAAATTTGACAAAAAAAAAAAAAATTGATGAAAAATTAAAAAGTCAATTAAGAATTATGATAATTATATAATAAACAATTAAATTTTGCAAAATTAACATATATATATTTGTGAATTAACAAATGAATGAAATAGTTTGAACATTTTAAATTTTTTTTTAATTTCATTTTATCCTTTTTCTTTTGCAATAAATAATTTTATACCTTCAATTTGATAGAACGTTTCTCTTCCATCTTCACAAAGAGCCATCTTAGTGGGATGTCCACAACATATCCAGGTAGATAATTCACGTGACACTTGACATGTATAACCATTCTGAATTAAATAAAATTAAATAAAACCTATTTTCAAAACTTTTTTTTTTTTAGATTCATTTATTCTACAGTACATCATAGATCTGTAGAAACTGAATCACTGATAACCTAATTAATAGATAAATCAAATATTGATAATTTAAATTTATATTCTTAAATTCTCAGTTCTTCTTCAGATTGTTTACAAACTGATAAAGTACTTATATTTCATTCAATCCTTATCATTTTTATCTAATTAAAAGCACTTAAGTTACTCTTTCGAAACATCTTTTGTTTTTTCTTTTTTTTTAAAAAATTTATAAAATTTAAAATGCCAAAAAAAAGAAACAAGAAATATTTCTAGAATAATGAATTAATAAAAGACTTAAAAAATTTTTCTCAGAAAGGTTTGTTTTCTTCTTTGTTTTTTGCACAAACCTGACTACATGAAGCACCTGCTCCGACACAAACTTCCACCTGTCCGTTTGCAAATTCGAAAGCAACCTGATCATCCGGACATATTCTATTTGATGATAAATTGTAGCAACATAAGTATACGTCAGTACTGTTTACGGATTTCACGCAAACAGCATTAGTGGGACATGTTAATGGATTATTTGGTGAGCAATAAATCTAAATTATCGCAAAATTTGCAATTAAATGAATAGTTCCTTTTTTTTTTGATAAGTTTTAGAGCTTAAAATCATTTTTAAAAATTATAACATCAAATTTTCATATGTTTATCTTACATGAATTATTTATTAATTTTATTTTTCCTTAATGAAATGTTATTGTTATCTATCAATGACTAAATATTAATCCAAAAAAGAAGAAAAAAAAGTTAACACTGAACCAAAATAAATAATTTGAAGAATAATTTGAGAATTGTTTGAGTTTTTTTTTTTTTTTTTTGAATTAAATTATTCTCATTAAACTGTTTCTTATTTATCAAACAATCATTTTATTTCTTTGTTTATATTTGTATTTGATTAAATCATTTGCACTATATTATGAACAATAATTGATATCAAACTTTTTCTAACTATGGGATATTTTGATAATGATAATGTCACATATTTGATCTTTAATTTAATAAAGTAAAAATAATTTTCAATTTTAAGTAATATAATTAAATTCGATACTTTTTCATCATTTTCATTTAAAGCTGGCATAAAATTAGATGGACATTGAGTGATTATAGATGATGATAACGATGATAATGATAAGAAATCACGGCAGCATACGTAAATATCAAATTCATTGATAACAACTTTATTGCAAGTATGATTTGTTAGGCATAACGTTGACGTTGATTGCGTTAGAAAACAATAATAAGGTGTATCACTATCACGCTAGAAAAATACGTCATTATACGTAATTACAAAGTTGCATTTAAAAAAAAAAAAACTAAAATTTTTATGTTCGAACTTTTCCTTCAAATCAATTTTATAAATTATAACATATTAATGAACAAAATGTTTTTTTTAAAAAAAATATTTAAAATTAATTTTGGAAAAATTAATTAAATAAAGCAATAATTTATTATTTTTATTAGAAATTAATAATTTATTACTAACCATTAAAAGTTTTTGTTGTTCTGGAAAAATTGATTGTATTGCTTGTAGAATAGTTTGAATGGAACAGCATAAATATTGATTTCGATTATCGGTAGCTTGCAAACAAATGTAACTAAAGTTTCAATTTTAATATATTATATTCCGGTGATAAAAGTATTTTGCAATTATCAGTTTATATTAACTTCTTATGATGTATAATTTCCGGAATTCCTACATATTTTAGTATTTTTTCCGTTTCTTGCTTTTGTTATCTTGTTGCTATAATGCAATATTTAAGTTTTAGAATTATTAATTAAATTTAATTATTTTTCGATTAATTGAATTTAATGTCATGTTAAAATTATTTTATTAGTTTAATATGATCTAAAATAATGGTAATTAAATGTGCTTAAATTAAATGAATAAATTTCAATTTCGAAAATAGTGGAATATATTTTTTTTTTATTTTTTATAAATGATTAAATTAAAATAGAATGAAAAAATGTTAATGCACTAATGCACCCTTTAGAACAATCATCTGATCGATTTCCGTTTTGATTGCATGGTAAACCGGATTGTGCTAGTTGATAATCCGGTTTGCTAGTTATTGTTTGTGTAACTTTCCGATTTTCATAGCAACATATGTGAACATTTAACGAATTAGGAGCTGTTCTACATGTGGCACTGCAAATATGGCAATTTTAATTTAATTATTTAACTTTTGCAAATAAAATTATAAAATAGGTAATTACAAATAAAAATTATAAATTTGATTAATAATTATAGAATATATTTTGTAATTTTAAAATGTAATACTAAAAGTATACATTTTGTATAATATAAAATTACTCATTATGATGGGAAAAATTTACCCAGCTGGGCAAACATAAGTTTGACCAGGTTTAGTGCAATACATATTATTATTGCCAGATATTGCTGGTATTTGTTTAGAAGATGGACAATTGTACGGTAATTTATTTCTTATTAATGAACAGCAAAGCATAACACCTGGACGAATACTTGCTTCACATGAATAGCTATTAAAAAAAATAAATAAATAAATTTAAATAAATTAAAAACAAAATAAATTGACTAAATTTTAAATTGTTAAAAATTAAACTAACTTTATTTTTTCCTTTTTTTTCATTTTTCCTCTTATTATATTTATTAATTTCATTCTCTTTTACGCTTAATATTTCAATGAAATGAAATATTAATTAACAAATTAACAAATTAACAAAAACTTTTCCAAATTGTAACAAAAAATAAATTTCAAATTTAGATATAGTGCTGAAGAAGAATGATTCTACGAATAACAATAATCCATTTATATATTTTTTTATTTGTTAATTACATATCTTTCTTCTTCCTTTTTTTTATTAGAATCAATAAAAAAGAAACTATTTCTAAAAGTTGCAATAAAATAAAAGAGCGAAAAAAAATTTTATTTGAAATAAAGTGTAAGATGTAAATTTAAATAAATCAATTTGAGAAAAAAGAAAACAAAATATTGTTTACAACTTAATTTTATGGTCATTTGAAATGATTTACTTAAATTTATGTTTTATTGAATTAGAAAAAAAGCATATAGAAAAATATAAATATAAATAAAAAAATAATTAAATTTTATTATATAATGAGAGAAAAAAAATGATTAACAATAATTTTTTAAAAAAATTTTACCCAATGGAACAAATTGGATTTTGCAATGTACATTTTCGGGCAATTCCAATTGGTAACATTTCAACAGAACGATTTCCATCGGCACATAATAAGGGTAATAAGTAATGTTTATCTATAATATTAGATTAATTTTATTAATTATTAGTTAAAAGTTTGATTTTCCAAAAAAAAAAGAAATTATTAATTAAATAAATTATTTTATCAAAATTAATTAATGTCAACAAAATTAACAAAATTGCACAATTACTTTTATTGTTTAACTTAATTTGCTGAGTAAAATTAAGCAACTTTATTGACTGAGACTCATTTTATAATGTTTGTAAGATTGGACAAAATTATTTTTTTTTTTTTTTTTTTTTTTAAATATTTTAAAAGCTTAGAAACTATTATATGTAAAATAATTATAGCTAAAACAATTCAAAAATCAACTTGCAAAAAAGGAAAAATAACAAAATTTCAAATTCAAATTATACTAAATGATTTAAATTATAATTCCTACTCACTCAAAATATTCAGTTATAACTTTGATAGAAATATTTAATGTCCATTATTATTAGATGTATATCCAATGAAAAGCTATGAACAATGGAAAAATTTCTTTTTTTTTTTTTTTTAATTTAGATATTAAAAAAATTTTTTCACAAATTGTTGGAAAAATGTTTAATTTTTGAGAAGAAAAATAAATGCTTTTAAATTTATTAAAATTAGTTTTGATAAAAGAATTACCATTGAATTTTTCCTCACATTTATTACTTTTTTTTTTTTTTATAGAAGAAGTCATTTTACTTTTGAATTAAAAAAAAAAAAAAAGTAAATATACCATCCAATTGACTATGAAGTATATGCTGAAAATATGGATAATTGTTGAGTGGACACGTTAAGTTATTGTCAAAGGTACTTTTAAAAATTGGCCATTGATAATTCTAAATGTTGACAAAGTTATTATTCAATTTGTAAACTACTAAAATTTATAACAATTTTCAATTTTTAAAATCTTAAAACTAATTGGAATAAAATAACTAAAGTAAACGAAATGAATTATTGCTCAGCAAACATTACAAATAATAACTTTATAACTTAACAAAAAAAAAAAAAAGAAAAAGTCAAAAAAGGAAGTAATACAATTACCAAATAATTATTACTCCTTTTTGCAATAATTGATTGTTCATAAGAATTGAATTGAACTGTTGACATGGATTGATTACAACAAAGAAATTGTAAAATTGTAGTAGATGATGATATTGATGGTAAGCAAACACTATATGATGGACAATAACCAGGTGGTATACATGCCAATAATTGTCCTCGAAATATAGAAAATTTTAAAAATTTTCATAATGCTTTATAAGTATTCAAATATTTTCTCAAATATTACTTATTAAAAATTCAAAAATGTGATATTATTAAAGGTATTTATTAGTTGTAATAAATTAATATTTGAAAAGTTTTAAATTAGTATGTTTATTTTATAAAAATATATACTATATCATTTGATATATTAAAATTAATTTGCAGTTCTGTTAATAATTAAGTAAATGATTAGATAAAGTTTTTTTTTTCGAGAAAATTGAGCCTTAAATTTATCATTTTAATTTGCAATAGCTAGAATTAAAAATTTAAAATGAACAGAATTGAAAAATTGTCATTGTAATTTTGTGTCAAATTAACACGGTATTAATTAAGTATTAAAATAGATAAGTTCAAATGAAACTAAATAAGCATTGTTAGCATAAAATATGAAATTATTATAGCAAACGGAATAAGCATTGCAGTGTAAGTGAAAATTTATCAAAATTAGCAAATTTAAATTTAAATTAAAACGAATATTTGGAAGGATTAGTAACAGAAGCAATACCTAAAAATTTTTTCGCTTTTGTGGAAAATTTATATTGAAATAATTGAATAACTATATCATAAATTAAAAATATAATTTGAATAATAATATTGTTAGAAATATCATATAATAGAACAAATAAATAAATTTAATTTTTTAAAATTAAAATTAAAAAAAAAAAAAATCTCTAAATCAAAAATTACAAAGGCAAATTTGTTGAGTAATCATAAATTTACCATTACTACCGGTTGCAATTGATTGTCCATTAAGACATTGGCCAGGTTTTCTGCAACAAACCGTTTCCTGAAAACATCTGTATCCGGTTGGACAGTGAGCTGTCAATGAGCAGTAACGTGGTTGACCTGTTGATTGTTCCAGAAATGGTACTTCATCTATAGGACATAACCATTGCACATCTTAAATATACATATATATATGAAGAAAAATTTTTTGCTGTGAAAAAATTAAAATTTTTTAAAATTTATTAGTTATAACAAAAATTTTGATAAAAAAAATTTGTATGAAAAATGATCAAAAATTTCATTTCTTTTACAAAAAAAAATATATATATTTATGCTTATTTCTTTTATTTTAATTCATTGAAATTTTATATTTTTTGAAATAAAATTTTCAAAATTTAAATAATATTATTGCAAAATTTTACTGTTAAAAGGAATTGATGTTGCATTAGAATTGTCAATTATAGACAATAAATGAAGGAAAATGATAATAATTAATTGATTAATTCGATTTTGATAGTACATCGAAATGCTGGTGTAATCGGTCAATTTAGTTGTACCGTAATGAGTGATTGAATAGAGGTGGGAATGTACCTGGATTTTATAAATAATAAAATTTCATATTTGTTAAGCAAATAAAAGCTAAAAAGGAGGAAGAAAATGAAATGAAAATTTAAAAGATATCAATAAATGGAATAATCAAAGAGAGAGAGAGAGAGAGAAGGAAGGAAAGAAAAAAAGAGAAATTTTTTTTTTAAAAAAAGTTTGAAGAAAAAGAAAAAAAAAATGATAATATCTTGAATTATCTGATATAAAGAATATGAAATAGAAATGAATTGTTAGCAAAAATAATTGTAAACATTATTGTTGTGTCCATTTTCCCTTTTTTTATTTATTTATTTTTTATTTTTTTTTTTTAAAGAGCAATTAAACTATTTTAATACTTTTTGTTAATTTCCTATAAGCCACTTACAAATTTACACCCAACCATTGGGTAAAGTTAATTTCATTGAAACGTAAACGTTTACACTTTATTCATACTAAAAATCCTTTAAACTATTAGCCAAATAAAATGTTTACTTGACCAATATAAGATAGTACAAATTTGAACAGATTATAAATTGAAATGTTACTATTTTTAGGAAAGTTATAATCGAATTTTAAAAAAGGGCATGACCTCTTTTAGTATAAAATAGTAGTGGTACTAATCTTGATCATTTATATTTATTGATTGATTTATTGATATTGATAGCTACGGATGTCATTTAAATTTCAGTCAAATTTGAATTATTACTGAGCAAATAACTTTTGAAGTAAATAACAGTTCGAAATTATTGAATGACAGTTTTCCTTCCAATTTTAATTAAATCAACTGATTGATTGACTGATTGATTGATTGATTGATTGATTGATTGGTTGATTGATTGATTGAGTGATTGGTTGATTGATTGATTGACTGATTGATACTAACGGTTTTAATTACAATTTAAATTTTCGACAAAATACTTTAAAAAAGATAATACCATTAGTTAGCCAAAACATGATGACATATATACCTTATATGAATTGATCTAAAATTTTAATTAATTAATTATTGATTGATTGATTGATTGATTATTGAATGATTTTTTTTTTATTAATTAAAGACATAAAATTAGAAATTTATTGTAAGATTTCTTGAGAATTTTGTTGATTGAAAAAAATCATTGAAGAAAGTGTCAAAATGAATTTTGCAAAAAGAAGTAAATTAGTTCGAATATATCTGAAAAATTGTCAATCTATTTCCGTATTTCCGATTCATATTTTGACTTAAACTTTTTTTTTCGATTCATATTTTGACTTAAAAAGTATTTCCGATTCATATTTTGACTTAAACGTTTTTTTTTTTTCTAAATGAAATTCGACTAATAATAAAAATAAATGTTACAATTATGATAGTTCTTGTAATAGTATTTGATAAAATTTATTTATCAATTTGGATATTGCGATGAGTTTTTTTTTTATTAATCTTTTATTGCTTTTTTTTAACTTAATATTTGTTATAATATACAGTTAGACGTACGTATATGACGTCAAATACGTGTATCTAAAAACGAAGGAAAGATTTTATACACAGTTATGTATAAATAAATGAAAAAGCGAAAAAAAAAAGGAATAAGCAGATGTAAGTAATAATAATCAAAGTATATGTTTGTATTCCGGAAGTTACAAGGTAAGAAATGTCCGGAATGTTAACTTAGGTTACTTTAAGGCTTCCGGAAGATTAATATTTTCTTGAATTAAGCTTATTCCTTATAGTTTTAGCGTAAAATTGGTAATAAAAAAAAATCTTTAATTTTATTTGGAAAAAATTTTTTTTTGATAACTTATGCCAACTCGCTCGCATGTATAAGAAGCAGAGAAAAAAAATTTTTAAAATGGTTGCGCAGAAATGCACGTACGCATTTTGGTTATTGCGTTTTTGTTGTGAGTTATGAGATGTCGCGGGGGGTTCTCCGGGATTTTTATTAGTTGGTAAAGGAAGAAGAAATGCATTATTGCATTATTATCTCTGATATATCATCATTTTAACTGTGAAATTATCCTATGTGAAATTTTCTGAGAGTTTCTTTAGTTCATTCTCGAAAGTTCGAAATTATTAGATATTTTGATATTTCTCTTCTTTCACTCTTTTCTTATCTTTTCTTACTCAAAATTAATTTAATTCTAAAGCATTTATATTTTTATGTTTTTTTAACATTTTATTTATATTTTTTTTAACATTTAACAGATTTTAAAATAATTTAATCCTCAAATTTGAATGTAATTACTCTTGAATGTTTCAAAATTCAAGATGTTTACGGTATTAATTGACAAAGTTATCATTTGAGTTCATTTTTGCATTTTATATTCGCATTAATCAGAAAATTTTTGAAACACTAAAACACTCTTAGAGATTAGAAATTTTAAGCCTTTTGTTTTGTATGTATTCGAGATTTTATTGTATCAATTCGACAGTTTGTAGTGGGTAAATTTTCATAAAAACTATCCTGAAATTTTGTGACAGTATTATTTATGAATTATCGTATTATCAGTCATGAAATCTTGAATCTTAAAATTTTCTTTTCTTTCTTATATTATTTTGCTTCGTTAAATCTATCCTAAATCTAGGTCTAATTGATAAGCATTTTATATTATATTTTTACTCTGTAAATAGTTAGGTAAAGTTTTTTTTTTTTATCAGACTAAAATGGTGAATACCTCATAAAGGATATGAGAGAGAGAGAGAGAGAGGGAGAGAGGGAATTTATCGATTTTATTTATTGGCAGGAATTTATGATTTGAGTTTAGCTTTACTTTTAGACTGTAGTATGCGAAAGATATTAATCTCTCAATTTAATAACGAACAAGTACCAATGCTATCATCTCATCTTTCCAATATACGCCGTATCAACAGTGATCCAGCAGAAACACAATCAAGAAGTGCAACCGATAACCGAATTAGTTTTACGGTGAGAAATACTCAACAATTATTAGAGTTTTGTAGAGAATATTTGAAAAAGTACTGTTACCATACTACTTCATCTACAAATGATAATGATAACAATGATTAATTACAATTTTCATTTAATAGCATTTGGTAGAAAAAAATTCCAAATGAATTATTCACAAAAAGATACTATCGATTGAGTTAAGATAATTAAGATCATCGTTTATCGATGCTAAAAATATGCAAACTGAGTCACATTTTCGGGAATTTTCTTTTTTTTTTTTTTGGTGAGCAAAATTTTGAAATTAAAATTTTTTATTTGTTGAACAATTCCATCTTATTCATTCAGCAATTCGTTTACCATGCAACTAGTAAAATTCTTGACGAATTCTCAGTAAATTCAAACAATTAAATAAATCAATAAAAGAGAATGTTGAAATAGCCGAGAGACGAGTACAAAAGAGTAGGGACAGACATACAGAATAAGGGTGATAGACATATGAATCTTAAGTTTAAGCATTAGTTGACAGTTTCCGGTGATCATTGGCATAGTTATTCCGGTTCAATGAATTTTGCATAAATGTTGAAATGGATGGAAAAAGCTGGGACCGTAAAGAGGAAAATGTGATACAACGATACAAACAGTAGTGTTTTATAATTTTTTTCAGAACAGTTTTTGCAAGGAATTCAAATTGATCTACATCTTCTATTCATATGACAAGAACACAATCCTTAGAAGTTTATAAAAGAAATGTAAAGCTGAAAACAGCAATAATAATTTTACTGATATAAGAATTGAATAAGGAATTAATTAATTAATTAATTAAAGAAACCATGACCTAATATTAGCATTAGTTTATTAAGTTTCAGTAGTTTATCATTGTATTTTTCCTTCCTTTCGCACTTTCCCCTCCAATCCGTTTGATGATGATAATAATGATTTGCAAAGACACAGTTCAATATTGTGATATGAAGACAAAATTATTTGGTAAGTTTATTTGGAGCAAAATTTGTCGATCTCTGACAAACATAAAATCAATGATTTTGGTAAATCGAATGTTGCTACTTATCATTATTCCTCCTTGGAGCTTTTCAAGCGACAATTTACGAGATCCTTGAAAGATATTATTCAAATAAAATTTTTTGATTGCGAAGTATGAACATAGGTGATTTTAAACTGATTAAATTGTTATAACGGACGTAAATATAGGTGACTTATTGATCCAGTCAATTTTTGTCTTATTTTTAGTCTGAAAATACCGAAACGGGACAGATTACAAGTTTTTTTGCTGTTCGCAAGCGTCGAACTAGCGAAGAAAGTATTTCTTTGCTAAACGGAAAGAAAACGAAAGCATATGGAGCATTGGATCCCACTAGTATTTCTTCCAGTCAATTGGTTCCGTGTTGCAATTTCTTCGACGATAAAGAAAACGGTATTAATCGTGAATTCCTCAGTGAAGCGAAATTTGCTACCATTATCTGCATATACATATATAGTTATTATTATTATTACTGTAATTATTATTAGCTTCTTACTATGGATGATAGTTAAGAGATGAGCCTCATTATGCATTGAAATGTGTCGCTTTTCCGGTGAACAGGTAATTTTTGTTTACCGTTGTGACAGATAAAACATTCAGCGGAGAAATGCGATTAGGTAAGATTAATTATTACTATAATATCTTGTAATAGGTTAATTATGAGCTGATACAATGTAATGAGACCAAATATCTACGTTATAGCTTTCTTCTGTAAGAGATTTGTTTGAATTTGAAAGCAGTTAATCGAATTCAAAAAATAACTATTATAGCAAAATGGAGCGGTGTACAGGTGATTTTAGAAAATCAGAACTTTTAGCATTGGAGAATGTCGTACAAGTGGTACCGGATGCTGTTTCGAATACATCTCTCGGATTTTTTGAAATGCTTCCACCTGAGTTACTATATGTAATGTTTGACAACATTCCAGGTTTCTCACTTCGTTGATTCTCTTTTATAAAAATTTTTAAAAATTTTAAGAGCTGAGAGAAGAAATTTTGTTATGTATTGTCTTTCCAAAAGGATAAATGACAAATGTTCACTTTCTATTTTTACTAAAAATGGAGCTATAATTTCAGTGCTACAGTTAAAACAACTATGTCTTTCGTCCAGTACACTAAATGCTAAAGTCTGTGAATACATCTCAATGGCTAGTACACGTAGGCGGTTTTTCACAGAAACAGGGACAGCATACTACGGTGATTTTGAGAGCGCAAAAGATCCATTTTATGCTTGGGGTTAGTTCGGTTTGATTTTCAGGTGATGTTTTTTGTTAATGAAGTTGAGGTAGTATCATATGATGTATGATGTAACAGTGTACAGTCTGCTAGATATATTGGACCCAGTCATTATTTTAAAATAAATACAAGTAACATTCAATTTTTTCAGGTATGCTTCTAAAAGCTTGCTCAATTGTAATGAGTTTTCATAGCAGCCATGTTTTCTTGGCAAAATTCTTCATCAAGGTAAAAGTAACACAACTAGTTCATATCCTCATATAGTTTTTCAGAATTAAAAACTTTTAAAATATATAATTTTCAGAACAAAAAGATCGAAAATTGGTGCGGTTGGGGTCGATGTTTTATGGCGGTAAGTTTAGACCAAACATATCTTTTATTAATTCGAGTTGTTTCCAACCGCTAATTTTTTCTTTTAGTGGAAACTAAGTTGAAATTTCCGGTGCATTTTCTTGGTTTATAGCAATTATTCTTAGTGCTTGTTAAATAGTCGACGCTCTGATGCTCAAGATAATAATGTGTTAAGGAGACAAGTTAAGACTTGTCTATTAAATTAAATTGGTCTAGTAAATTTTTTCTCTATCTTCTCTATTTTCTTGAAGTGATAAAAAATTAATAACTTTTTCTTTTTCTAGTTTTGCAAAGGATGGACGTACAATGAATGTGAGATGCTATTCCGGGCGGTGATGAGATTTACTGGCTTAAACGGCATTCTCAACCGTACTATGTCAAGAAAAGTCAAAAGCTATTCTCACTTAGAAATAGAGGTAACAATTGCGAGATTTACTGTAGCTCAGTTTTTCAAACAAACTTTTTAGATACGAGCCCGCCTCCGAGGTTTTTTCCTGAGCTGTTGGGAAAAGAATGATGAATCTTATGGATTCTGGATTTCACTTATTTTGCGCACTCAAAAGACTATCTCTCAACAGGGACAATTATTTATGATCATATTTGGACCTTTGAAGCTGGATGATGATAACTGCGGTAAGGAATGACATTTAAGTTCATCTTAAAGAAATTTTTGGATTTTGAAATTAAAACAAAACAATCACCAAAATTCATCATTGTCTACGATTTGAAGATACTATATAATTTCTGCTTATTCAGAGGTCATTGACTGGGATCTGTTAAGTAATACATCGATTGAAGATCGTCGTCTATGTGAGGAAATAATTGGTCCTATGTCCTTTAGTATCCACTGTATGGTCAGTAATGAAAATTTAATGGGATATGCATGGAGTGATTATCATATCTTCAACTTGATCGAGGAAATTACAAGTAAATAATTTGTGGTCTGTTGTTTTCAAGGAATTAAAATTGTGCGCTGCTTAAATTATATTTATTGATTACTCTCAAGCTCTATCACCTTGAAATAACGAAATCGCTGGCGTGCATGAAATGACATGCTGGAATTGCTGGAACAAGTTATGTGATAGAACTTCTAAGTTCGATGGAGCAGTATGTAATCTAATAGGATAAAAAGTGAAATGCAACAACCTGATATTAAATTTATCGCATTGACACTAAAAGGCTACAATCTGCAATTAAATGATCAAAGAATCCAGACTCAGATCAGATCCTTTTGTTTTAATATTACTGAATTATTATGCTGTTGCATTCGATTATGGTCATTTCAATTTGCTACTCAACTTGCAATTTCACTAAACTATAATTGAAATTGAAAAGTTTTTCCTTCTTCTTTAAGCAGCTCCACATTCCTGGACTCTTGACAATTTTGCTGCACTTTTGGCTCTTCGACCAAAACTTATCCATATTGCACTGCATGCTCGGATAATACATGGTCATCAAGAAGAAGCGGCTCATCTCTTTCACGCAATAAATTCGGTATGTTTATGTGCAAATTTTCCTAACCATCTCTCAAATGAAAGTTATTATTAAAAATTAAGTTCAACGCCTTTTTGCAGAAATACCTAACTATAATCTGGAGTATTTTAGATGCATCACTGCAGAAATTAAAAAAAGTAGTATTCTTTGCTTACGTTATTTAATTTTTTGAAGGGAATAAGATGCTTATTGGCGCATAATTTCAGAAACCGATTTTTGCCATATATTTACCACAGAAAATATAAATTCAGCAATTTTTATTTTTCAAAAATCTCATAATTTATTAGACTCCGTTTTTAAACTTAGGTTTTGCATCAATGGGGTATTTTCTCAAGCACAGCTGTGACCGGTGTGCTACTAAAAACATTTCGAGCCTTATCTGATATTCGCCGTCGCCTTTTTTTGTCTTCTTTTTTGAGAACCGAATCAGAGCTATTGAGCGATGCTCTAATGAACGAACCTTGTGGGTACTTTTATTTATTTTAAATCATTAGAGAGAATATGTGAAGTTATTCCAAGGAATATGAAAATAAAATTAACTAATAGTAACTAATTATTAGCATTTTATGCTTTTTAATCTTTTTATATTCATATAACATGCTTTTCTCTAGTCGATCGCGATTATTTTTATATGGAATTAGCTGTTGGACGCGCTGTATCGCCGCTAGTAACACTGATGGCGTCAAATGTATGAAAGCAAAATTTTTAGTCAAGTTAAATTTTGTTGATCGTTATGTTATGTTGTATAATTTTTTTAATAATATTTTGTTTAATTTGATCATGTTTGTTTGACAATTTTTAAAATATTTTTTTACATAATTTATTTGTTGATAAGGATAAATTTGTTCTGTAATTTTTCAATGCACAATTTCAGACATTCATTTGAAATTTGCCTGTGATTAAGCATGATCCGGAAAAACTTTTAAGCTGTAATATTTATTAACCGTAACACGGATGATAAAATGTGGCAAAAAATTTATTGCTATTATTTTTGACTATTTATCGAAATCCAAAATTCTTTGTCCAAATAAACCATTAATTTAATTTTCTATGCCAAATGAATTAAATTTGTGTGCATTTTATATGATCGATATTGTTTTGTTTTGTTTGTTTGTTTTATTTCTTTTTGAATGATGCATTTTTGTGAATTATTCGTTTATGTAAATTATTTTCATTCCTTAATATTTTTATTATCTATGGTCAAAGCAACATGTCAGTTTTTGTGAGTTAATTATTTTTATTGGATGCAACAACTATTGAAATCCTAATATGATATAGCAGAAATTCAGTTACTACTGTTTATCATTAACCATATCTAAATTATCAATCAACTAGATTGTTATCATTATGCAAAAAAGTCTTTGGTCTTTTCATCTTTATCAGAAATCAATGCAAAAGTAATTATAATTAATTCCACTAGTAAGATATAAATTAATACAACTGAAAAGAAAATAAACTAACAATCAACAAAAAAAGTAAGCAAATAGACTTATAAAATTCCGAAGAAACTTGAATATTAACAAACTATTAAATATATTTGAAGAAAAAAGGAAGATTATACATTTCTTTTGCTATTACAAAACAATTAACCAAAATGATTAATGAGGAACTTGAAAAAAATTAAATTTGGAAAAATTTAATTTTAGGATCAAATATAATAATAATGGTTATTAAATGGGTTACATATATGCTCTAGTAGATAAATTAGTACATTTTTCGTTTATTTCCGATTCTCTCCAATATGACTAAAAATAAAATTAAATGTTTAAATTTATTATTCTCACATAAATACAAAATAATTTCAGAATTATTTTAAAATTCCAAAATATTTGAAATGATCGAATTTCACTGATGTCTTTATTAGCGAATTTCATAGTTAAATAATAAATATAACATTCACTGATGCCTTTATTAGCAATTTTTTTACATCTTATGATATTTGAACTCTCATAAAAATTAAACCAATCAATAAATTCATAAAATACCATTAATGTTCCAGTAATTTTATTACATTCATAATTTTATTTTATTACATTCATAAGTATGAAAAATTAAAAAATTTGGAAAACAAAGAGTTGTATGAAAATTAGAAATGCATTTAGTGATGAAAGAAAATTGAAATAAGCAAATTATATATATTTTTTTAATTTCCACCTTTCGATTCTCATAAACAGATTATCAGTTCATTTCCTTTAATTTTATAACAAAAATAAAAAAAGATGAGAAATTTACATGATTATATTAAATTTTTTCCTTTTGCACTGAATTCTCTAAAAATCAAAGATTAATTCTTAAAAGTTATATTTAAAATAATAATTGTTTTTTATGCATTACATTTGCCTTGGTATTACTATTTGTCGTCACAATGGCGAAGCTATAACGTAGTGAACAAAGACTATTGTTCAAAGTGCTTTTTATCCACTTTGTAACCTTAGCATCCATAAAATCCCTCCCCATTTCCTTCCTTACAAAGCCATTCATTATAGTTCTTTGTTTGGTATGGCTCGGTTGCGAGGTGTCTAGCTTGCTTATATCTTTAAATGTTTTATAATTGAGTTACATTTGTGTGTTATGTATCAATTCATTATTGTATGTTATATAATTTTTAATATTAATCTGTAGTTTTAATTACTCAAATTTAAAGTTTGAATAACAAAGTATTTCACGAAGACTATCACAGTACACTTACACAGAACGGAACCGGTACAGATTCGAGAATCTAGCAGTATCGAAGACAAAGAAGTCAACGACCTGAACTATCAAGAAAGGGAATCTATTTTGTTTCACAAGCAAACAGAGCAGTAAGGAAGAAATTCTAAATTTGCTTTTACATGATTTTTGGCGTTTCTTAGTTCTGTTTGCCATTATTTTCAGAAACAAAAAGGAAAAATTATAAATCACAATTTAGATTGATTGACTATTTATAAAATTTCGTCTGAATTTAAACTAATTTATTTCATTGCTATAAAAAGTTATAAATAAATTATTAGAAATAAATATATGTGTAATGTAATTCAGTAATTTTAGACCCAAATTATAATTCAATGTTTTGCAATGGAAAAAATTTTTGAAGGAAAAAAAAATTCGAATGAATATTAGTTGTTATATTATTCATTTTCACCGTATAATTTTAAAATCATACAATTGGTTTTCGATTTTTAGAAATTAATGATAGATTTTTTTTTAAAAAAAAACTTTATTTTCAAATTACTTACAAAAGATTATTTCTATCATACCGATCTGAGAGGAAAAAAAAAACGATGATTAACAAAAAAATTAACTACAAAATAGTAATAACTTGGAATAAAAATTGTTTAACTGATTATAGAAATTTGTGATGAAGAAGAAAAAAATCTCAAAAACAATGAATATTTTAGTTTCCTTTAATTTAACTTTTAAAATTTCAATCTCGTCTATGATAGATATACTCTTTTTATTCCATTTAAATAAAATTTGATCAATAAAAAAAAAAAAATATTTTGAATAAAAATAATTGACGTAAAGTGAAACAAACCAAATGCTACTGATAAATTCATAATCAGTGAACTAAATAAATTTTACAAAAACATTTTAATCATACAAATACATTAAACAATGATACAATTTTAATTGAGGTATGAAAAAAAAACGTTACAAACTATCAAAGAAGAAATTTGTGCAAAATTTTTAAACATTCACAAATAATAAACAATAAAAGCAACAAATAATAAACAATAAGCAATTCATTTTCCTAAGCTATTATTTTTTAAAAAAAAATTTTTAATCCTTACTCAAAATTTAAAAAAAAAAAGAATTAACAATTTCATACATTTTAATTGATGAATAGCAAAATTTATTTATTAAAATTAAGGCTACGTAACATGATGAGCACTACAATACATAGAAGCCTATCATATAAGGCCTTAAAAACGATGAAATATTAAATAGCAAAAAAAAAATTTAAATTGCTAGCAATTAATTGTGCTGGTAGATTGTCTTTTTCGAAATTTCTTTTGATGCTTTTGAAATTGTTCCCTGATTTCAAGCAATGATACCGGTCGATTTTTATTATCAATCGATTTTGGAAGAGTAGTTTTTAAAGTTTCATGAATTCGCTGCTGCTCACTTCTTCGTCTTGAATTTCGTAACTGAGGTATCAAAGAATGACGTCGATTGAATGATGTTGACAAATTTGCTTGTAAAGTTTGTTTTGGTTGATAATTCACTTTTGGTTGTGGAATATATGAGGGATAATTGCGACCTGATATCATAGTACCAATCGAATTTTGCATCAATGAAGGTGATTTATCCTTTAAATTTCATTAATTACAATTGTTACAATAATAAACAAATATGAAAATAGAAATGTATGCTTTTGAGTTTTTTATTTTTTTAAATAAAAATTACCCTTAAATTTCACTAATTGCAATAATAATTGAATATAAAATATATGAAATGCATGCTTTTGAATTTTTATTTTTTTAAATAAAAATTACCCTTAAATTTTACTAATTGCAATAATAAACAATTAGATATGAAACATGGAAATGTATGCTTTTGAGTTTTTATTTTTTTTTAAATAAAAAATACCTTTAAATTTCACTAATTGCAATAATTAGCAGTTAAATATGAAACTTGTAAAATGCATGCATTTTCCCTTGAGTTTTTTTTCTTTTTTTTTTTTAAATATAAACTATTTTTAAATTTTACAAATGCAATAATGAGCAATTAAATATCTGGTTTGAGATTTTTATAGAAATCACCTTTCAATTTTACTAATTGCAATAATAAGCAATTTAATATGAAACATACAAATTGCACACTTTTTGAATTTGTTATTTTTTGAATAAAAATTACTTCTAAATTCCAGGTAATTTCAGTTAAGAAATGTATGCTTTTGAGTTTTTCATTCTTTAGAATGAAAATTATAAGTTAGATTTGAAATTAATTATAATCAATAATAAATGTAAAACAGTTTCGTTTATATTATTATACACACTTAATTAAAAAAAAAAATTGTTGTTTAGTTATGTCAAAAGAAAATTATTAGAAAAGTAAACAAGTAGAGAAATAAAGAATATCAAATATTGAGTGATAATTAATTTTAATCAGAAGCAATCAATAGAGTTTTATTAAAGTGATCTTTGACCGAAAACTTTTTCAAATTTATCACTTTCGATCTTGCAATAATACAAATAAACATGTATGAATATTATCAAGCTTACTGAAGGATTGAAATTATCAAATAATTCAAAATAATCCTTATCAGATATCACTTCAAAATTTAGCTAATATCCATTAGTGATTTAAAATCATTGATTAGATAAAAATTTGGATGGTAATTACAGTTAAAAATAAAAGAACAAATTATTATACCAAATAGTAATGAATGAAAAAAAAGAAAATAGCAATATGAAATTAAAATTTTTAAATTGTTTATTAAATTTAATTAAATATAAAAATAATGGAAACAAATAAAAGACTTACAAATGTTGCAAATAATGATAATTTTCTCAATCGATCAGTAGCAGTTTTATTTGTGGATGGTATCGGTATTTTACTTGTTCGATACTCACGTGCTACACGTCGTTTCTCTTCACGCTAAAAAAAAAAATTGTTGAAATTGAAGTTTAAAGTATCAATAATATCTAACCTTTGAACCCTTTTAACTGTCATATGTTTCATTTGGTTAAATTTACAAATTACTGACTAGAAAATACTAAACCAAAAAAGTTTTAAAAAGAATTTCCTTTTTACAAATATAAAAGGAAATTTTAAAAATTTACAAAATATTGAATTGCATTATTTTTTCTTTATTTCAAATTTAAAATGACAAACTTTTTCTGTTCTCCATAAATATTGCACAAAAATTCGCTTTTGAAAACCATAAACTTCAGTTGCATCTGAAATTCTACAAACAGTAACAAAATTAATTATAATAAAATATCAAAATTTAATTTACAATTGTGATATCTGTAAAATAGTGGCAAAAAAAAATCAATTTTGTATATTAATGATTAGTAATATTAAACTTATATTAGTAGTATCATTGAAATTTTAAGTTCAATTATTTTCTCATTTACATTTCAAAGAATTTTTTGTTTTCACTTTAAGAAATTATGCAAATTTCAGCTTTTTTACAAAATTAATTTAAAAGAATTATAGTTTGGAGAAACAAAAAAGTTTAAAATAATAACGTAATTTTAAATTTTGAAGCAAAAAAAAAATGAAAATTAATCAATAATTTAATTACTTTTCGTAACTGGACTAATACAACTGATAATTCGATGAAAACTGATACACGTCTTCCAGTGACTGTATATCCGTGATACTCTAAATATTAAATTTTAAATTAAATTCACATTTTAATTATTAATTAATAATAATTAGAAAATAGATAAAGTATGAAAGTATATGATTGATTAACTTATTTTAACAAATTGATAATACCGAAAAATTTGTTCTAATGGAATTGGTTCAATGCTAGCTGCTCGACCTCTTCGTGCATATGCACAACGCAATTCACCGCGGCAGAGTAATGCATCAACCTTAATTAATTAATTAATTAAATAATCAATTAATTTAAAAAAAAAACTATTTATTTACAAAAGAAGTCAAAATTTTAAATTAATGGAATGAATTTATTTACAAAAATAATCAAAATGTTATTTATTTTAAACTAATCTTTTTACAAAAATTCAAAATGCTATTTTAAATTAATGAAATGAATTAAATTATACCTCATAAAATGTTTTCATCCCTTTTGATAAGTAATAACGTACTCGAGAACTTGTTTGCTTCCACCATGATTTCGAATTTTCAATTATTTGTTCAACATCAACCAAATCACCATTAATTACAAAACAATAATTTTCCATAGCCAATAATGGTGGCTGCTAATAGAATGCAAAAAAAAAAGAAATATGAGTTATTTTAAAGTTAAAAAAAATAAATTAAAATTAAAACTTTTTTAATTAAATATAAATATAAATGAGTAAACAATTATGTTAACTAAAATAATTTGAAAGAAAGATTTGCTTTTTCTTTTTTAATCTTCAAAATTTTGATCCATATTGTCATTAAAATTTTTGGAAATTACCTAATTATTTTAATACTATTTTCAGTATGCAAATTTTTCTAATTATTTAAATATATAAACAAGGTACAGAAAAAAAAAAGAAATAATTATGATGTGATAATTGATAGATTTCAATTTTGAATTAGAATTAAAACTTATTTAAATAAATATGAACTAAAACAATTAGACGCAAAAAAAAGCAATTGTTTATATAATTTTACAAAATTTTGATCAATTTTTCGATCAAAATTTATGAGAATTAGTTAATTATTTTAATACCATTCTCAATATGCAAACTTTTTTTTTTAAATTATTTAAACACATAAATATTAAAAAAAGATTGCTAACCTTATTGATATATTCGAAAGGACAATTTAAAACACTTTTCAATGTCATCCGTGTATCCAAAGCTGTATTTTCAATTGAAAATACAGTTGAATCACCGTGCATAATATCTTTTTCCGAATCTGATACTATTAATTATCACAATTATCATTAACTGATAAATAATTTATTTATTATTTTAATTAATTTATTCGTTTTTTTAAATTATTTTGATAATTTACAAATTTATTATCAATAATGAATAATGTGAGATTCCCCTTTTTTTTTTTTTTCAAATCAAAATTTTATTTTATAGTGATAAGTTAAAGTCATTTTAAACTTATCAATTTTTTTAAACGAGTAAAAAATTTTATAAATTAATGAAAGATTGACATAATTTGCAAATTTATTATCAATAAATTTGTAAATTATATGAAATCTCTCATTTTTTTTCCAATCAAAATTTATTTTATAGTAATAAATTAATGAGATTTAGTGTTTTTTTTTTTTAAATAAAAAAAATGTATCATTGATACTATTCCCTATAAAGCAAGTAAATAATAATTAAAATAAAATAAAAAATAAAACAAATAAATAATAAATTAAAAAAATTTTTTTTTCCAATCAAAATTTATTTTATAGTAATAAATTGATGAGATTTAGTGTTTTTTAAATAAAAAATATGTGTCATTGATACTATTCTGTGTAAAGCAAGTAAATAATAATTAAAATAAAATCAAAAATAAAACAAATAAACAATAATTTAAAAAAAAAGTGGTGAAATTTAAAAAGACCTGAATTTGGATCAGTTTCTTGCTCTGATATTTCATCTCGATCAACTTCCACCGGAAATGCAATGATTGACTCACTTGAATCACTGCTAATACTATCACGATGAGTGACACATGTTGCTTGAACCCTCAAGTAATGCAATTTTTTAATTTAATCATTTGAAAATTTTTTGAACAGTAATTATTTATTAATTGATTTCAGAAGTAAAAAAAGAATAAATCAATCAGTTAGAAAATTTTGATTTAACAAAATCTAAAAAATTGATAAGAAAATTTCTCTTATAGTGTTTTATAATAACAAATCAATAGAATTTATATGAATAAAATTTTATTAATTTCAAATTGTTTTTTTTTAATTGTTTTTTTTTAAAAAAACAAAATGAACAATATAAAAGTTAATATTTTCAAAAAAAAAACTACCAGAATTTAAGTTTTATGATTGAGTTTTTAAAAAATACCAAAAAAAAAAATCAGCTTTTTCTGTTTTTTTTTTACATTATCGATTAATTTTTTCTTATTTTTTCAAAATTATAATTTTAATTTATGAACATATGAAATGTTTAATAAATGCACAACAATACATTTTTATAAAAAAAAAAAAATGAATTTAAAATAGCACTGTACAATATTGATACATTTAATTGAATATATTTAGTTTCTTTTTCTATTTTCTATCATGTTAATCAAAATTTTTTTCTTCAAAAGTCATTCCAAATTTTAAATTTAAATTTATGATTGAGAAAAAAAAAACAACAACAATTAACTATTGAATTTAATTTGATACATAAGCACTGTATGATTTGCAGTTCTGTTTACATAATTAAATTATCATTATTTAAGTAAATAAAAAATTGAACAAACATTTGTTGCAGTAATGAAAATGAACGAAAAAAAAAAACTAAATTATTATAAAATATATATTATTTATGTAATACCCGAAATGTTATTTCATGATGCTAATCAAATTATGCAGTTAAATTTATTTAAAATTTTAGCATTTCAAAAAATGGTGACAATTAAATTATTCGAATAGATAAAATTTGGAAATAAATTCAACTAATTCATAAATTTACTACAAATTCATGAGAAAATGCATATTAAATCTATTTAACAGTGAAAAATTAAAAGTAAATTATAAAAAAGAAATTCATTTCCTACCATTTTCAGCTTCACTTTTTCTTCTATCTAAAAATTTTATTATAAAATAATTTAACAGAAATGTAAAATGATAAAAACTATCACTGCTTCTATTATTAGCAAATTATCTCAGTGATAAAAAAAAAAAAGAGTTTCAACCAATTTCAACTAATCAAATAAACATTTCAACCAATAGTGATAACATAAAAATAAAATTTTTCAACTAATCAAACAAATAATAGAATCGTATATTAATTATTACATTTAATGTATTATTAATTAATTAATTAATTAAATACAAAATATTCAGTTATACTGTATACAAAATCAAATTATTGTCATTTGAGCATTAATACAATCAATTGTACACTGCACGAAAATGTATGAAAATAGATCAAAGATATTATTGAATGATTATTTTATCATATTCTGATAACAATGAATCATCTGAGACTTTACATACTGTAATTAATTTAATTATTTTGACAATTAATTACAATCAATATTGTGCAATTCTGTTGTATATATGGAAAAGATTCATTGGAGTAACGATTTGTGTTATCATTTGAATTATCATTGTTATCACTGATATCATTCAGAATAAATAAATAAATTATAAATTGTAACTGGTACACAATAAACTTTATAATTATGCAAATTATTTGCGAAGAATTTTTTTGAAAAAGAATTTTTTTTTTGAGAATATTATCAAAGAATAAATTTTAATGTTAAAATCAATTACTTTGAAATTTTCCTCCTTAATAATTATCCAATGATTATTGTAGCTATAACTATTCATCGTTCTTTTTTTTTTGAATAATTAATTTAACTAAATTTGTTTTTCTTTTTGAGAATATTATTAGAGCACAAATTTTAGTGTTAAAATCTATATTATCAAATAATAAATTTTAGTGTTAATTATTTTGAAGCATTCATTTGATAAATCATTAGAAAAAAAAAAGATGCTTTTAGCAAAATAAAATCAAAATGTTCAACTTTCACTTATCAATATTTTTCTCTTTTTTTTTTTACCAAAAAACAAAAACAAAAACAAAAACAAAATTTATCGATAGGTAAATTTTGTTGATTTTTTATTATTACTTATTTTAGATCTAGCAATTCTAGCAAGATCACGATTAAATTCACATTTCACGCGTTCTTTATCTGATTGTTTTGTATTACGCCAAATATGTTGCACAAATATTCGTTTATGAAAATGCGTATTTTTAATTTCAGTTTCGTTCACTTTATCCAGTAGCGTAACAATACGACGAAATGATGGACACGTTTTCCAGAAACTATAAATACGTGTAACGACGTATACCTGTACCAATGGTATGTTATCATGACGAAAAGCACTTGTAATTGATGAACGAGTTGAAATTGAATCAACTGAATGTGACTGATGTATGGGAATTGTTGATCGAATTGAATGTATTGAATTAAATGTTTGCGCTTTCGAACCGATAATTTTTACAGCAATAATTTTTCCTTTAGCTTTAATACAATTAACACGTTGAAAGTGACGTAAGTCATCCGAATAAAAGTATTGCGTTGGACGACTTGTATGACTCCAATGAATATCATCGTGTAACATTGCTTCTGATCCAATTGTTTCACCATCAATTACAAAACAATAATTATCATCAACAACTGCTGGTGGTAATTCATGACTGATAATTGATTCCGGTGCATTAAGCAAATTTTGCAAAGCATTTTCCGTTTCAACCGTTTGCTGATGTAAGCTATGAATTGGAATATTTTGATAGTATATAATATTCTGTTCAGATGGTACTTCAGGTATAACTAGCTGTTGAATATTCGGTTCAGATATAGCTGTTTGTTGAATATTTGATTGAGATGGTACCTCAGATATAGCTATTTGTTGAATATTTGATTGAGATGGTACCTCAGATATATCTATTTGTTGAACATTTGGTTCAGATGGTACCTCAGATGTGGTACTAGTCTGTTCCATTGAATCATAAGTATCTAAATAAAGCTCAGATGGTCGCATAATTTGCATATTATGACTGATAGATGATAATGTTGATAATGATGATTGTGATGATTTCGAGACGTATCCATTTTTGTCGCTGAAAACATTTCCTAAATTCTAATTTAAGAAATGAATTTCGGATTTAGAACAAATTCAAAAGTTTGAATTTTAAAATATTCAATTTTTCTTCTTTTTTTTGTTAGGTGTGGAAAATATTTTTTTTAAAAAAAAAGCTTTTTTAAACTAATTTTTTTCTTTGAAAAATAAACATTTCTTCAAAATTTTTGATTTCTTTTTCTTTTGTAAGACAAAAAATTTAAACATAGTTTACTATTTGCTATAAATTTTAGTTTAATATATTGCAAATAATTGCAGTAAGTGCATAAGAAGAAAAAAGAAAAATAGAAACAAAAAAACCTTTCTTTCGTGCCTTGCAAGAAGTGAAATGAAACAAACATATTAAAGTATAATCGATTTTGTCTTGCACAAATATCAAAATTGAAAAGTTTCGTGGATGAAAGTCAAAAATTAAAAAACGAAAATACAGTG